ATCCCGCTTGTGCACCTCGGCCATGACCTTGTCCCTTGCCGACCTCCAGGCCGCCTCGGCAATTGGCAGATTGTCCTGTTCGTCTCCCAGCTCTTCGCCGAATCGTTTCGCCTCGTATGGGACGGCTGATTCGATGAGTTGCGGGGCTGCAATCTTGAGCAGGTAGTTGATGTAGTCGCAAAGCATGACGTCGACAAACCGGTCCAGGGCCTCGATCCTATCAATCACGTTGCCCTCGCCCAGCTTGTTTTGTACGAGATCTTTGACCTGGTCGTCTCGAAACGGCGCGCACAGCTTAGGCAGGAGAGAAGCCATAGACGAAAAGAACTTTTCGTATGAAAAGCTTCCCATTTCAAACTGCTTCTGAGCAATGTCCACGTCCAAGATTTCGCCAATCAGGTTGTACATGGAATTTCCTTCCTTCAACGGACGCTGTAGCTTGTCCTTGATGTGGCTAGCCCTGAGCATAAAGATGCGAAAGTTTGCTTCGTTCGAGGCGTCTCCCATGGCCGCCCGCATCTGGAGATAGAGAGGCTTAGAATAGGCGGCCTGCTGCTCCACATACTCTTCGGCAGGAATCTGGTACTCCTTGTTAATGGCCAGCTCGTGCACAACGACGCGGTTGTCAGGAATCAGGCCATTCAAACCGGGCTTGACGGTCGTCGACCTGGCCTGGCTCTTGCTGGCCGGTGTCGACGGAGGCGTGAGCATCTGAGAATCAGACGAGACAAAGTCGTTGGCCGTCGTCTGAGTATCGCCCGATACGCTTTCGCTGTCAGCGACGCGAGGCTTGGTATCGCCGGCCTGTTTCTTGGCCTTGCGTGCCTTCCTCGCCTCTCTGATGGCCTGTACGAACAACTTCTTACCCCTTTCTGGGCCGGCCAGCCTCTTGATTCTTACAATCAGCATGGTCTGGCTGTCTTCAATGCTCTTGCGGTAGAGCGCCGCGGCGGCATCATCCGAAGTCTCCTTGACGGTGTGGTATATGGCGTCCAGCTCCACCATCTGCATCAGCATGACCTCAATGAGGGCATTCGAGTCCCTCGACTTCCACGCAATGAATGCGTTAGAGAACACCGAGTAGGCCTGTGGGAACGTCGTATGCAGTGAAGCGGGCATTGTGTACCGGTTGGCCGGAGTCAGCCAGGCCAGAATATTTTCAAAGGAAATTAAAACATCCTTGGCTTTGTCGACCAAATCCTGTAGCTGGGGGTTGTTGAGGTCGGTAGCAGGCAGTCGACGGCCGCCGAGCTGTGATTCCGCATCTCCGTCTTCCGCACTTTCGTCGACGCTGTTGAGTACTTGGTCAGGGTGGCCGAGGATGAGGAAAGCACTCAAAAACGTGCGAACCGCAGCCATCTCTTCAACAGAGCCCGGCTCTCCCTCTTGGAGACCACAGATTCTGAGAAGCTGGGCGGTGACGAGGAGCACCTTTTCCTGAGCAAGCAATTCAACAACAGTGTCGAATAAAGTATCTCTGATGCCATCTACGCTGAGGCCAAGGGCGTAAAACTCCTGAAGAATCTTCTTCCTCGCACACCCGCGCCACCAGGTCTGAATCTTGGCAGCTGCCTCGTCGTCGCTCATTTGTCGCACGGCCTTGGTCTGCGGCAGCGCTTCCGTAGACTTCTTGGTGACAACGCTCTGGCCTCTGGCGCGCTTGACTGCCGTCTTGTTTCGTAGCTCCTCCCTTCGTCTCTGCGCCTCGGCCATGCGCTCCTCCATCTGCGCCTTCATCTTTGCAATTTCCTGCTCGCGCCGCTCCTTGGTGGACTCGGCAATCTGCTTGGCCTTCTTGACCTCTTCTGCGCAGCTGGCGACAATCTCGGCCAAGTTGCGCTCCCTCGCCTGCTGCGCAGCCAGTGCGCGTTCCTCCGAGGTCGTCTGTCCGCGAGGCGCCGCCTTGGCCAGGGCAGCTCTCAGGCGCACCTTTTCGGCGTGGGCTGCCCTGTCCGCCAGCCGGGCGCGGCGGTCCTCTAAAAAGTTTGTCCGGCGAACATGCTGCGCAACGTATTTGCTCTGGTCGCCGTCACGGCGGCTGGATGGCTGGATGGAGGAGCATCGAGAGTGGGCGGAGGAGAAGGAGTTGCGACGGGACGAGGCAGCCGAGTCTCTGCGGCGTGCCTGTGAGGGTCGGTAGAAACGAGCGGCAATGCGCGGCGGCGGCGTGAAGATGCGTCTGTCGTTATCATGTTCGTCTTCCTCCACAGACGGCATGGTGAGATCAAAGTCCATGTCCATGTCAATGCCTAGGTTGTCGTCTGAGAATGCGCAGTCAGACTCTTCGTAGTTATCCAAAGGCTCGCCCAGATCGACAGAGTGACGACGCATGGCATCTGCGTCGCCGGTTTCGTTCATCATGGTAGCTTTCGTGGTCGGTCTGCCCGGTTCCGGTGATTTATAAGGCACCAACTCAGGCAAGATCCGTCGAGGCTGGTTGCTCAGTCGTGCGAATTCGGGTTCAAGGAAAGATTCGTAGAATTAGATTTCAAACATGCGCAACGTGGCGCCACGCAAGTCGGACAAGGCAGCAAGATTCACGGTATGTGGTTGCATGTGGCGGCGCGCTGCCTGGTCTTGATTCGCACGACGAGCCCCCGAAAAACTAGCAGAACCCTTTTCCCGAGAAGTGCCAAAAGTAAAAGGCGGCCACCAAGGTAATAAAAACAAAGAAAAAGGGAAGATAAAGGGAAGCTAAAGGGAAGATAAAGAGAGAGAGAGAGAGTAAAGTCTCACGACGGAGGGCGCGAATGTATTAGAGGGAAAAGGCAAGTCGCGGAAAAGACAGTCAGAAATGCCCCCGGTCCGATGCATGCGAGGTTTCGAAGGAGGAATCGACGGGACAGGGTGGTGAATCAACGATGACGGATGACTGAGGCGGGTGTACAGAAGGGGAAAGGCGGTGTTGCAGCCGCTGTATCTGTACCTGCGATGCCCTGCGATGGCCTGGAGGCTGCAGCGAGGCTGAGTACCTGTACGTGCTGTGTACACGTACCCCGTAGCGCTACAGGTGCCTGTTAGTGCCTGTAGCCCCGTGTTATACAGCGGTCTGCGATGAAGCTGCAGGTGTTTGGCTCCAAGATCCCTTTGGCTTGTTGAGTTCCATGGGTTCATCATGCGCGCCAGGCTGATTGCAGTGACCAGCATCATGCTGCACATCAGCAGTAAGCAATACCTGCCATTGATGCTACAGTGCCGGCCATTGAACGGCTTTGCGATACATCACGTCGTCTGTTCGAAAGCGGCATCATCATTCAATACTACTAAGGTACCTACATATTATTTTAGGGCACGTCCCCATTGGACCCCCAGCTGCAAAGTCTACCTACATGTAAGTGTAAGTACATGTACCGGTACCTCAGCCCGAACGTCATTCACGCAGCCAAAGGGGTCATGCAGGCGACCCAAACTCGACTGCCTAAACAAGAAGCGCCCATCTGGATCCATATCGCGATCAGATTCACAAGAATCGCATCACGAATCACATAAGCAACCACAGCAATGAACCAGTATCTCTACATTTTATTGTCTTTTCTTCACTTCATAGGTGCCTAGTACCGCTGCTACATACAGGTACCGCTACTGGGCAGTTACTGTACCTCTCCAGAAGTACCCCGTTCCGCACAAGACAAAAAACAGCGGGGGTGTTAATATGAGACGCCCACCGACTGATTGGCAATCACCTTCCATTCCTTTCCACGCCAGCCATCCCAGCAATTCTTCAGCAGCCTGCGTAGCCAGTTTCAGAGCTCCAGATGATGCCACTCGGTTATCAATTCAGCTGACGGCTGTATCAACATTGGAACCCTTTTCGTACAGTATACACCAATTGGACCCCTATACATCTCTTCCATTCATGTCGTGCCTCCAGTCCCCGGTTCTATTAATAGCACCGCCGTTTCCGAACCACAACCTCGCATCTCCAAGTATTACCGAGCAGACCAAAAAAAGAAGATGGAAGAAGCAAATAACAAGGGGCTGCCCAAATTCACGATACCCGTAAAGTAGCATCTCTAGATACATACCTAGTACCTAGATAGGCACTTCGCCCCCAGTCGTATCGCAACCCTTCGCCGCGCGCTTACACGCAGCACTACCAAATATCCTACGCTCATCCATATTGACGACATGAGACCCCTGCTCAAAAAGCATCGCCATCCCGCGTCCTCCGGACCGAAATCCATCTCACTTGGCATTTACCGGCATGCTCATTCTCATCTCCATCTCCATCTTCCTCTTCACCCTCATCCTCATTCTGATCCTCATCATGCAATGTAAATCCCAAAATTCCCCAGACACCCCAGATTTCCCCATCAAGGAACCTCCCGTGCGCAAGGCAAGACACAGAGACATGCATATGCACGTCTGTCTCGGGCCATCAATCTACCTTAGTAGTACTCAGTAGCATGTATCATGTACGTATGCACGCACGCGCCATGTCTGTCATCGACCCCGACTTTGTCTCGCATGCATCTCATCCCTGGAGCTCGTGTCTTGCAATGCATGTCATGTCCCACTTCTACACCAACTTGATTCGCACAGTAGAGCCAAAATAGTCGAGTTTAAAATAGCTTTTAATGTACTCGTATTGTCCCTTTTCCCTGGTAACAAACATGCCAAACAGCAAAAACAAAATGCATGGTATTAAATAACAGGAATACACATGTCGACCCCTTCCATCAAGCAACTATATACACACTCATACTCTGTAGTGTCGTGTTCGTTTACCAAATGCCATAATCGTGTTCCATTCGACAATTACGCTTCCTGTTGCTCCGCGTAATTGCTTTTGCTCTTCGTAAATATTAATTCCAACCCAACGCCGTTCCCTGCTGTGCCCGCTCGTCTTTTGCTGTGCTCCTCCCAATGCCTTGATTCCCCCAATCATCGTTAGGTGTAACGTCTTGCAAACCAAACACGGGATGCATTCTAGAAACTAATTAGAAATAAAACCAAAAATTGTATCATGCGAATTGGTAGCTCTCGCTGCGGGGCCTTCTGCCTGCAACGGCGGCCGCGCTTCGTTCATGCAGTCGGTGAACCCATTCCAACACCGTCTCGTAGCACAGCACATACTGCCGCAGGCTCTGAACCATGCTGAGTCTCTGCTCACGGAAGTCCTCTACCGTCTTTTGGATCAAATTAATCGACTCATCTCCCAGCCAGGATAGGTCGATGGATGGGTTCTCTTTGGCTCCATCTTCAAGTCTTGGCTCGAGATCCATGTCGAACTTGAAGCCCATCTCCCTGTTTGTCATGGGAGAAATGGCCTCGTCAGGGTCCATCATTCGAATGTCTCCCTCCGATTCCCGAGCAAGCGGCTGCCCGCCTGGTAATTTGGCCAGTCGTTGGCGCTTCATCATGTCAATCACACTGTCCACAGTGCAAAACGCTCCCGTCCGGCCGCATCCAGCGGAGCAGTGGACCAGCATGGGCCGGCTTGCGCTGTCGGCTTCGGGCTCGTCGTACCAGGTGATCGGCGCAATGTCATTGGCAATCCTGCTGGATCCTACAATCGAGGCAGAATCGACCGGGAGAGCCGCGCGCTGCATAACATTGGCGAGCTCTACCAAGGCAAGAAGGTGAGACGGTTGCGCCGGTGTCCCAAAGTCAGGCCAAGAAGAGAAGTGGAGATGAGTGATTTCTCTCATGGGAACAAAGGGGTGACCAGAGTGAGTAAGCGCAAACTTGCGAACAGTGACAAAGGTCGGTTCGGGTTGGCCTTGATGGGGAGGAGGGTTTCCTGCAGTCGTCTCAAGGGAAGTGGTCGTGTTGGCTCGCCTTCGGCTGGCCTCGCCCGTTGATGCGGTGCTGTTTTGAGTGGCGGTAGGTCGATGCCTGTCGAGATCAAGTGCCGCCTTCTTCTCGGAAAGCTTCTTCAACTTGATGGGCCCGTATTCGCAATCTTCCCAATATGTGTGACATTTTAACTGGCCCCCTTCCGACTCGGCCGTCAACATGACAATAACGCGCACATCCTGCTCCCAGATGACCGACCAAAAATCCTAAAAAGCAAGGTTAGCAAAAGGAGGCCTCCATTCTGTATAATTCACCTCACCTCAAATGTGGCGGGCAGGGGGCCCTGGCTCGCAATATATCTCTTGTTGCTCCTCGACGCGGTGAGGTGACTGGCATTGATATAGTCACAAGCGCCTTGAGGCTTGTCCGGAAGCTTGACACGCGCGTGCTCAAAGGGGAGAATGTCCTTGTAACGGTTCTTGACGCCCTTCTCAACGCCCGAGAGTTGCACCCGGCCGTTCATGGCTGGATTGTGGGCGGGATTTCCCTCGTTGAACGCGGCATAGGCATTCTGCATACGAGTCTTCTCTTCCTGCTCAATCTGCAAGAATTGTTTCGACACACGCTCACCGTGGTCGTGAGGAGCCGCCGCATCGCGAAGCCACAGAGGGAGCGAAATGGGCTCCAGTCCGTCGGGAACAGCAATGTCCAACTGACCGACGCCGTCTGCTAGGTCCATGTTCTGTCTGATGTTGCCGAAGAACGGACTCTTGGACGTGGGTAGCGTGACGCCGCCGATAACGGGAGCAAGGCTGCCCATGGCACCTGGGAAAGGCCTGCCTTCGGGCTTCACAGCCGTGGCCAGTGTGCTGTCGACCAGTTGGGGGAACGAGTGCTGGAACGCGTGGAAACCACCTCTAAGAATGGCAGTCTCCCCGAGGTACTTCTCGTTTGTGAACTTCTTAATTGTGTTCTGGGCCGTAACGATGTCATACGAGTCCGATGAGCCAGCGTAAGCAATAATCCTATCTACGTCCTTCCAGGTGGCAAATTTGTCCGCTGCCGGGCCGGTTTGGAAAGTCTGGTGCAGCGTTTCGGTGTTGTATGTTGCACGCTTCAAGAAGATGGTAGGGACACACAGGTTGAGAGCTCCCTTGATTCGAGAGGTGGCGTAGTTTGATGAAGGCCGTATGTCGAGCAGAAGGATGCTATCCTCCTCCTCGGTCTCAAGCAAGCTCTTGAGAGTTTCCGCAGTAATCAATGATGGCTGTCCGGCTTCCAGCTTGGTGGGCATTGTGGCAGCTCTCGTCATCGGTGTCAGTGTCAGATTGAACGAAGGAGGCTGGGTTATAGGCTCAGGCATCGTGAATTGGGTGTGTGTGTTCTCAGGTAGAGCCAAGGCCGTCTGAGACTGTATGGGGTCCATCGGCAACGGGGACTCGAATCTCGGGAGGCTATGGAGCTGCAGAGGAAATAATGAAGCTTCAGAATTCCGCTTCGAGTCGGACGATACATAGGCAGAGTCATGAAGGCTATCCTGGTCGACATCCATACGACTTGATGAGCCGTCTCTTCCCAGGCTTAGGTTTAGGGCACGAGGAAAGGAGCTTTCTGAGCCCGTATCGCTCGCATAGGTGTGCGCCCTGGGCGCTCGTGGACGTACGGGGGCTGGGTTGGACGTGGGTTGGACGTAGTGTGAAGTTGGCAGGGCAAACATCCTGCCCCCCCTGTTGATGTCAATCTGCCTCCTGAATTCCTCAAAATCGGGATTCGAGGTTTCATTGACAGGCCTGGGCAGAGCGGCGGTGAATGACCTCACTGACGAAGAGGTCGGACTCCAGTGATTGCCCAGGCCAGAAGAATCTCGAGGATCGTGGGATGAATTGGGAGCCAGTCCAAAGTAGCTGGGACTCGATGGCCGCACGTCGGGCCGCAGCGGAGACAGCCTGGGAGGATGGTTCTGGCCGACGGAATATGAGGCGTGGGGCGAGGAGGCGGGAGTCGTCGACATGCCAGTCTTGCCGGTGCGAGATGACTGTGAGAGGGAGTGGGAGTGGGAGGTGACGGGACCTGGCGATGGCATCGTGTGAGTCTTGACGGTGTAGTGGACAGGCGTCCGGTCGCCAGCCCGAGAGTCGTGCATGGCTTGGGCCTTTTCAAGAGGGGGTGTCGATAGCATTTAGATTGGTGCTCATCAGCAATTCTCAAGGCCCATCACTGGGAGGGTATTATGAGAATTCCCGACGACTGGTGGGTGGCCGGAGGTGGTGATGCTGAGATGTGATATAAATACAAGCACGTCTCTCAGCTTGGGGCTCCGCAAATGATCGACTTGAGCAAGCTCGCGAAGCTTATGCTTCTTTGACGCGTGCCAGTAAAAAGGTCGGAGTGGAATCGGGTGGATGAGGAGAGAGTCGTATCAAGTAATCGAGACTCTGGGCCGCGGCTCTTTAAGTCGAAACGAGGTGGCAAGAGTACCGAAATTGATGTGGCGTTGGAGTCTATGACAATGTGCTCACGGCCGATTCGGCTGTGCCAGGGTGGTAATGCAGTGGTAATGACGGCTCTGAAAGCTGGATAGCCTACTAGGGTTTTGTATGCAGCAGTGTAGATGGAATCCGTCACACCAGCAGGCCTGAATATGCTGGATGTTGTAAGGGAAAGGGGTGGGCTGGCGAGTAAATGGCGTAGCCGGTACTTGGTCTGGAGGCGAAAAGGAACGGACAGAAGCGAAAGGGCCGGGTCGAGAACGATAACCAAGGTGAAACCGAAGAATCCAAGCAGGCAGAAGGAACTCGATCTGACCAAGTGAGTTCAGTTGAGGCTGCTGTAGGGGCCTCTGGGGGGTGAGGAGATTGCGGGATGAAGGGGCAAAGTTTGTGGTGCTCTCGTGTTGCAAAATGTTCTTGTTGCGGGATGGGCCCAGTTGTGTTGAGGATGCCACCCCCGGACGGCCTATTTTTTTCCTCTTCTTTTTTTTTTCGGTCCCGTCCAGATTAGCGCGCAGAGAAAAGAAGGGGTGTGAGTGAGATGGAGCAGTGGGAAAGGGAGAAGAGACAGACAAAGATGGCCCAAGACGACGGAGCTTTGGAGGAGAGCAAAGCTGGGAATGTGTGGGAGGGGGGACAGGGGCCTTGCAGAAATGCTCAAGTACTGCAAGGTACCGGGCTGGGGGAGAGTACCAGCACCACCTGGGGAGATGTACTCGTACAGCGGTTAGTGGCCTGGAGAGCGCCAAAACGGTGCAGCGGCAGAGGTACAGGTACGGGCCTGATTGCCTTGTTCCGGGTACCTGTACTTGATCCTTTTTTGCTTTCCAAGGTTCATGTTACTTTTTCCTCTTATTTTACACGAGACAAGTCCACACGATTATGACGATGTCTGATTATGACTATGATGATGCCAGCATCCCACGGCAGGATCAGGCAATGCCTCCCCCGGATCGAATCCAGCACTCCAGACGCCGGATTGAGGAGAAGCTGAAGGGTTTTGCGGGCCTGGACAAGGCGTGGCAAGCCTGTGCCTGTGCTGTTACAGTAGCGACCTGAAGCAGAGCAGTACGACTGGGGAGTAGTACCTAGGTACTTGGAGGTACCTCGGCAGCCCACGATGACGGCGGCCCGGGGGCTGGAGGATGAGGTCGCTCGCTGGTGATCGCGTGCGGAAGGGATCGGCGCTGGCATGACAAGCATGGAGCAAGAGAAAGGGTCTGGATCTGGTCTATTCTTCGGGCTGCAAGCACAGCAAACCGGTTTGTTTACTCGGGATCTGCTGTTGCATGCCATGTACTCCGTATCGCCAGCGCTCCGTACTGTACCGTACTGTGATGTGCTGTGCCGTAGCGTATCGCATCCAGGTCCAACGACGTCGACAGCAAGTTTGATTTTGACAACGGACCCCCAACTGCTACAGCTGTCTCTGCCAGCACAGCTCCTGCAACGGCCTCCTCGCAAGGGCGTCACAGGCGTCTTGGTTATGGATCGCCCCCTGCGCAGGCGGCACTGAGGCTGCGGAAAAAGAGGGAAAAGAGGCGTGGCCAGCTTGCTATGGCTGGCAACGGCCGCCTCAAAAGGGGAATTAGCTGCCGGTGCCAGACATGGAAACTGAACAGGGCGTCACTCAAAGCGAAGCCTGGTAACCTGGCCCGCACAATGGAATTTGGGGCTGACCGACTTGTGAGATGGATGACGATTGTGTTTAACTTTGGCACTAACGGGGAAGCGTTCGCGGTGCATTAAGCTGCTTGCTAGCTATGTGGGAGCAATAAATTGCAAATTGATGCTACTGATGCTAGCCTGCACTACTACAAGTATTTCTGGCCGGAGAGTCATGTAATGTAATTGATCTGATTCATCCCTTCCGGGTTGACATGACGGGCAGTTGGTTGTCTTGCTTGAGAATGGCAAGGCTTAACACCAATGAGTTGGAAGCACTCAATACAGAACAACGACAGCCGGGTTTTGCCAATTGACAACCCAGGCCACACACAAAAGCCACGCAGAGAGAAGCCAGGCCAGGCCAGGCCAGGCCAGGACGCTCAGTCAAGCCCAAAACGCTGCAGCCACCGTCTTCTCGCATGGCCTCTCGACGCCGCGGCCCCACCACATCGTCATTGCGGCGCCAAGGGTCAAGGGTCCCCGCTAAGAGACGCACTGCTTTGGCCTAGTCTAGTGCTACAGACCCGCCGCTGCTAGGTACCGCCATTGAGCAAGACTGAGACTGCGACGTCCCCCATAAACCCCCCTCAAGCCCCCCGTAGGGCCCCCGTAAGGACCCCCTCACAGGCGCGCCAGGGCCAACCAGAGCGCGGGTGGCGCTGCCGCAAAACGTCACCGTGCCCCTTTGCGTCTTGGTCGGTTGAGTCCAGACTTTGGGAGCCCCAAAAGAAAAAGCGGCTCCGCGATGCTCCGTGTCGTCGTGATCCCTGTCGCGTGTACTACTAAGGTATGTATGTACCACCTGGTACCTTACCCTGGGGGTTGTGCTGTGCTGTTGCTGCTTGTTGACTTGACCTTTCCCGTTCATACTCATGTTGTTGGAATACCTGTGTGAAGCAAGAGTGAAGCTTGGATAATTACTTGATTGCATTAAAAAAGGTAAATAGGAAACCATTACTGTTTTATGCCCATCAATGCTCACCTGGGACACGATTAAAGATCAATGGATTGATTAGTATTGACTTGCATGCCCTACTGCATCTGCCAGTGCTCGTCAAGCTAAGCAAGTACATCGAGGTACCTCCCTCTCCACCACACCAGAGTAGAGCACCTATAACCTACCTAGTACCTGTAGGACACGACACGACACGGCCTCTTATCGTCTGGCTGGATGATTGATCCATGGATTGATTGTTTGCTCAAGCACCAAGCAAATCCCCCTCCCTCCCCCCCAAGCGGGTGCCTGCCGCCAAAGCCTGCTCCTCGCCATGCAATTGCCGGTTCCCAGTTCCCAGCACAAAAAAGTCTAGAACCCGCCAGACGCAGCATTCCCGCTGCAAAACGGACATGTCACTCCCAGACGCCAAGGCGAGCGGCCAGCTGAGATTGAAAAACGGGGGGCGAAAAGGGCAGCTTCTTGTCGCAGAGCGGAAGCAATGACGTAGCCGTCTCAAAACGGCATAACGGCTGTCAGCAGCCTGTCCGCCTTCCTAATGCATGTCCACACACGATTACTGTGCTGCAACTATTACTATTGCATGTTGTCGCAGAAGATGAATCACGACTCCGACAAGAGCCCAATCGCCCATATCACGTTGGATACGCATCCTCGTACTCGTACATCCGGTGCTCATGGCATGTCACTGACATGGAAAACAAAAAGTGATGGACAGGCACCGCCCTACTACAGGTCTACTGCTAAGTCTGCTATACGCCGCTGGCCCGCACTGGGCTCGACTAGACGGCACCCATCCAGCCATATCACAAGGATATTCCCTTGTCCCATACAGACACACTCTGTTCTGTTCTAGAGCTGCAACTGCACACACCATCCCTCCCTTCCACGATCATGTACTGTAAATCCCGTCCATTGTGTGCGGAGTATTCGGCGTGGCACCCAGTCAAACGTGGTATTTCGGCGTCAACTGAACAGCTTGTCAACCGTCTATTGCCTCCTCGCGGTCCAGACTCGTCCATCCGCAACACGCAGCGTCATATGTATTTGCCCGACATTCTCACACCGGCTGCAGCGTGTTGATCAACTGGTCATACCTAGACGGCCTGTCCTGTACATACAGGCAGAGCTGCCGGGCTTCGGTGCCCCTGGCCCTGCCATCCATCAGCTTCTCCAGCGGGTGCTTCGATAGGGCTTGCAAGCCGAATTACGATGGATGGGCTACCGTACCGTACCGCACCCTACTGTAGTTTCACAGCAGCCAAAAGTCTTCAAGTCTCCGGCCTACTCGTACTACCTTGGTTGCTGGGTAAGATACCGAGAGCATACATGGCATGGACCATCAAGAGCAAGGCCAGCTGGTAAGCAGCTAACGATGTACAACAATGGAGCAGCAGTTCTGCTAGCTCTACAGGTACTCCATAACACCTCACCACTAAGAGCCTGATGAACCCATCAATACGAATCAAACCCCCAGCACGCATTGCTCCCTCGCTCAGTCTAATAACGGAAAGCCGGAACCGTGGCCCGTCCGTCAAACTGCTCGCTAGAAACAACGGACTCACACGCCCATACTTGCGAGATTGTAGGAAAAGGGTATTCCGAGGGGGATCGATTTTCTTGGTCGGTCTGGTTGACATTTCCCTGCTTCAGCCTGGCCCGGTTTCCGAGTCACGCAATCTCTGTCGGGTCACGCAATCTGAAAACACCAGACCCTTTTCCTTCTCCACAACGTCTCGTGAGTTCTTTTTTGGTTTTTTATGCGTGTGCACAAAGCAGGGAATCTTCTGCAGGATTCAAAGGGCGGGGGGTTCCAGGCCCTTTGGATGATGGCCTTGGGACGCATTCCTCTTATTTTTTCTACATGGTTGTTTCCTCATGCTGTCTCACGTCGGTTGTAAGTGTAGGACTCGGGCTTTTGTACCCTGCTGACTGAGCGGCTGTCCAGCTGAGGCATTATCACAGGTCATTTTCGACTACCGCCTAAGCTAATCCTGCAGTACATGCATCTTATTCCCGAGCGTAGCGATGCCCTGTGTTGATTGGCCGAGGATCCAATCCGCTGGCCTTAATCATCATGCTTACGACTGGAGTCAAACTCGCAAGCAAAACCACGTCTTTTCCCACCTTGACTAACAACAAGCATCCACGTATCCCGCTAGGCGAGGTGCGCATGGAGCTGGGAATTACGCGCTGACGGGTTCGGAATCGCATCTGCCGTGGCGTGGAATTTCGATTCTTTGCTTTTGGGCAACTTGGGACGTTCCGGACATGGGTTTCGGGTCTGTGGTGCTTCGTGATCACTTTGTGTGGGTATCGTATCAGATTTGACACTTGCAAGCCATGTCACAGGTTTCTAAGCCCCGGAGTAATGCTGGAGATGAAGAACTTCACATCTCCATAAACCAGACAAGTGGGGTGGTTTCGGGTCGTGATGGCCCGAGATCGATATCCAGAGTAAACTTTTGCATCTTCCCATTTCCATTCCTCTTGCGGTGTGAAGAATCATGATTTTCCTCATGCATGGCACGTCTCAGCTAAGAATAGGCATCAGGAACTAACTTGTTGCGAGAGAAGATGTGAACCCATTTGAAAATGAGCAAGAGACAAGAAAATCACCTATTTTTATCCCTCACTTACATCTGTTGCACTTGTGCGTCAAACTCGACATCGATGCCCACTGATATGCCTCCCATATTGAGATCTACAGCACGGATGAGCAATGCCAAGCAATGTCTAGGACATGACGAAGAAGTGATTCCGATCGGACCGAGTCTTTATTTCTATTTCTGTCCGCGGTGTGGCTGCATTCAAATTACACTGAGGCAGACGAGGGAAACCAGCCTCTCCCACGTCTGCATCGTCTTTCGTTGGTAACGCATTTAGACAACTCCTCTTCAACCCCATCTATACCCAATTGCCACCGCGAAAACCAGATCAAAACCTACTGAAACTTGATTCTTCATGAATATCTCTCCTCGGAATTAATTAGCCAAATATGCCCACACCAAATAAAGTAAAAATAACGTTTCTCTTCCCACCTCCCCGTTATGCCGTCAAAACCCGCCAAAGGCGCGCCCTTTTCAACCCCCAAAAACTCCTCATCCCACGAACTACAGCCAAACACTCGCTAGATAAGGCGGATAAAATACAAAAAAAAAAAAAAAAAGCTCAATCAATTCCCTATCAGATTACGACTCAGCCGTTTTGGCGCCAGATTTTGCGGAGGCTTCCTCCCCCGCATGTTAATAGAAGGCGGGCTCCAGAGAACGGAGCCCCGAGTCCGTGTTTTTCTTAGTCATACGCCCGCGGGCTTTTGGTAGATGATGTTGAATTGAATGAGAGGAGGGCGTGAGTTCTTTATGCGATTCTTGGATGGAAAGGCGCCATATTCGAGTTTATGTTATTTGTGATAGAAAAACAATCAAAACTGCCAAGGCCCTGGTTGATAATTCCTAAACTAGCAGCATCCCCAGCTTCTCCAAAGCAGAGTTCAAAACTATCAGTCAGTCGCCATCTCACCTCATCTCCATCAAGACGAACACTAACAACTTTTCCAAAGAAAAATAGATACAAAATCCAAAATGTCTCAGCCGGCAAGCAGTCTCTCCGCGGAAGAGCGCCTCAAGGCCCGCAAGCCCGTCCCGAAGCCCGTCCCGGCTTACCTCCCAACTGCCGGCTCCCCCCTGGCCGTCGACAAGAGCCTGTACGAGGCCATCCAGCAGGCCCCGCGAGTCCTCATCGAAGAGTTTACCGTTCCGATCCGGTCAGGACGGGCTTGGGAGGCACCAGCGGGATCGATTGTGAGCATCAGCACGCCCGAGGGCCCTCAAGTTGGTATGTATCGTATCTTCTTCAACTCCAAGTATTGTCATATTGGAAACAAGCAATGACATGGCACACATCTCAATCAATGAATCAGCCAATTAACACATACAAAAGGCGACCTCAATATCTGGAACCGCCACAACCCCCGTGAACGCTTCTGGGCCAGCCGCACTCGCCAGCTTCACTCCACCCACGTATCTACCCACGACCGTCTCTGGTCCAACCTCCCCTACATGCGGCCCCTCGTCACCATCATCTCCGACAGCCTCGCCTGGTACGGCCAGGACGAGAACGGCGGCCGCGTCCACGACTTGCTGGGCACGCGCTGCGATCCCTACATCAACACCGTGCTCTCTGGCTCGCAGTACGACTTCCACTGCCACTCCAACCTGAGCCGCGCCGTAGCCAAGTGGGGGCTGAGGGAGGATGATGTCCACGACGTCTTGAACTTGTTCCAGGTCACTGGTCTGGATGAAAAGGGCCGCTACTTCATGAGCCCGTGTCCGGCTGAGAAGGGTGATTCCATTGAGTTCCTGGCCGAGCAGGACGTCCTCATGGCTCTGAGTATGTTTTTGATATCTCTTACACTAATAGTGTGAGCGTAACTAACATGATAAAATCAGGCACATGTCCCGGCGGTGATCTCTCCCTCTGGGGTTTTGGAAGCGACAGCGAAAAGGAAATGATCAAGGTCTGCCGTCCCCTGCATGTCAAGGTCTTCCAGCTGCAGGACAAGGAGCTCCTCCAAAAGGGCGGATGGAAGCCTGCAGAGACGGCCGGATACAAGGGCTTGCATGGAGTCTTTTCCCCTGAAGGAGAACCAAGTCAGCGAAAGTAAATTACAGCCCGCAAGTTGGCATAGGATGTAGAATAGAGATCCATTACTCAGATATCTCACTCCTTGGCGGAGCCGAAATAGTGTTTGGACTGCCACGCTGGAGTGGTTATGATTGTCTCATAGAAGGCAGCGGCATGTAGTACATCTCATATCATCTGGCACATGGTGATGGGGATCAAAAGATGGGAGGCAGCTAGGGGGTTGATACCCGCATAATGGTATAATTGAACTATCCTTACAACTCCAAGTCCGTGGCTGCCGTAGTTGTTTCTATAAAATAAACCCCTGGTTGCAGGATACAATATTTTTTTTTCTTTTGCTTTGTTGAATGTCGCTGTGTGGGTGAGTGTGTCTGCTGAAATGCGACCCAATCACTTCCACAGCTTGCCGAGGGAAACCTCCTTGTCATCATGCTTGTTGAGAATCTTGGCAGTTGCCAATTCAAAGTCCTCCTGTGTGACGTGAACTCTCCTCTCACGGAGGGCATACATGCCCGCTTCTGTGCACACACCCTTGAGCTCGGCTCCGGAGCAGCCGTTCATCTTCTCCGCAATCTTGGTCAGATTGATGCCTCTGGTCAGGTTCATCTTGCGGCTGTGGATTCGGAGAATGTCGGCTCGCGCTTCGATACTTGGCGGGGGGAACTCGATCTTGCGGTCGATTCGTCCGGGTCGCAGCAAGGCGGGGTCTAGAATGTCGAGACGATTCGTGGCCATGATGACCTTGATGTTCTTGGTAGGCTCGAAACCATCGAGCTGGTTCAGCAGCTCCAACATGGTTCGCTGCACTTCGGAGTCACCTCCTGATGAGCCCTCCACTCTGGAGGAGCCAATGCTGTCGATTTCGTCCATGAAGATGATTGACGGGGCATGCTCTCGGGCCATGATGAAGAGCTCTCGGACCATTCGACTACCTTCACCAATGTACTTTTGCACCAACTCGGAACCAGAAACTCTGATGAACTTGCAGGCCGTGTGGTGGGCCACAGCTCTGGCCAGCAGTGTCTTGCCCGTACCGGGTGGTCCATACAGCAAGACACCTTTGGGCTGGGCTATGCCGAGAGATTCGAAGAGCTCCGGGTGCTTCAGACCCAGCTCGATAACTTCCTTAATCTCCTTGATCTGTTGATCCAATCCACCAATCATGTCGTATGTGCTGTCGGGGACCTTTTCTACCATCATGAGCGATACCAGGGGATCGACTGATGACGGCAGCATCTTCTCTAGCTTGTAGCTGTCTGACAAAAGTGTGACTCTCTTTCCGGGGGTGAGTTTGGCGATTTCGACATTATCGGAGACATCGACAACTGGCACACCAGGGATTAGGAGCTGCGGGCAGATCGCGGGGTGATATCATTGATGACCAACCATATTTGCCTTCGGGATGTACCTTGACAAGCACCTTCTTGGTGCTCATCACTTTGACAACCTCTCCGACGTAGGACCCGGGCTGCTGTAGCAGGCCCAGCTCTTCTCTCAGTAACCGGACACGGGAATTGTAGTCGTTGCGTTGGGCCTCGAGACGGCGGAGGGCAGCCTGACCCTTGAGGATCTCCAGCTTCATCGCCTCGATCTTGTTGCGGTAGTACTCGTCGAGCGCCATCTTGGGCGGGCTCCCAGGGGGGGAATGGGCTGTGTATGGATAGGAGAGATGAGGATTTGAATGTTTTGCTTCGTCTGGAGGCTGCGGTGTTGCGTCGTCGAGAGGTGAATGCGGAATGGTGGTGAATCTGCTTAGTCCGGGATTGGGGCCAAGTTGAAGCTGCGCGCAAGGCTACAGCTGGTGCTCGTAAGCGTTGAATTCGGAACATTCGTTGCGCCGGGTTCCGCCCGCTCTTTCAATGTTCTTGTACTAACTGTAGCTGTAGCGCCAATACTCCGTAATAGCAGCACACATGGCGAGCTGTACAGCGCTAGCGGCTACTGCCACCAGGGAGAATCGGGTCTAGCCTTGGCTGACGTCTTTGCTGCAACAGCAGCGGCATGCACGTCAAAAGCCACCATCAGCCCGGCCTTGGGCACTAACTACAGCCTGAAAAGCGCTGTAGATTAGTACGAGTACAGTAGCCGCTCCAAGCTTCAGCTCACACCTCCAGCTCCCTTGCGCCAGAGCTGCAGCTGTTAATTCCGGGCTGCATGGCACCGCGTCTATTATATACTCGTACTAATCTTGCGGTGTTTTTGCTATGTCGTCTCTCTTCTTCGTGCTCGTTCCCGCCGCTTCGGCTCCGTAATGCCAGTAAGCTAGTTGCCTGTAATCTCCCCATCATGCCATGCCGTGGACGATGCGCAAAATGACGTTGCATTAGATCCTGGCTGGTCACGATTTGCGGATCACAAGGTGCGCCAAGCGATAGGTCGAGTCGTGTGAGCGGACCCAGACGGTGAGGCCATGGATTGATTGATTGATTGATTGATGCCTTGCCTCTCGGTTCTGTTTCTGTTTCTGTTTCTGTTTCTGTTTCTGTTTATTGTTTCTGTCTCTGTTTCCTCGCCTGTCTCTTGTCTCTGCGTGTTTCTGCAGCAGGCGAGGCATTGTATTGCATACCTGCCACCTCGCAAAAGCGGCCTGGCCGAGGCTAGTCGACGACCAAAGGGCAGTCTGTTGACATTCTTTGCATATCTCACAGCCATTGCCCGTCCTTGGGCTCCGTGCCGCTTATCCTGCGCCTCATCTCCGTCTCCAAGCCCACTTCTGTTTGTAAGTCTGGATTCGCTAGAGTCTGGAGATACCCGAGCGAGTGCCTCAGCCATTTTTTAGAGTTCCATAGGTTCGCTCGACGGCTGGCAGGAGGCCCGACTTCATTCAGCTCAGCTCTTGCTCTTGCTTAGTTTCCCCCTCTCTCCTCACCTCTTCTCTCTTCTACCTATTAAACATCGCCACCATCAACAGCTTCTTCTCGTTTTCATATTTCCTCTCCCTTTTCTTCTCATGCCGTGATGCCACATAATCCAAACCGTCATCGTCGACTCTCGCACACACTCCCTGATCCCGTGTTCAGAGCCCCTCCACACTGCTAGAGCTCACTAGCCCGATCTATCTAAAAGCCGCCGTTGGACAGGGATACCTTCGAAACGTCGTTATCTCAGCCCTTTTTTTTTTATTAGACCTGCCGAGTCCTCGTTCAGCAGGCCTGCGAGGTTCATCTTCACCTTTGTCGCGGCACCGTCGCCGCTTCGATCTCGACTTCGATCTCGGCTGCCATGGATCCGTCGCAGCAGGACAACGCGCCGTCAGCGCATCGCGGCAGCGTTTCCTCGGGCATGATGTCACCGACGGACACTCGAGCCAATCCCCTGTCTAGGCAAACGTCCATCGTCGACGACAACACTCAGTCGACAGACACCGTACGGCGGCGACCCGAGGGATATGGTAGGACAAAGCGACACTGTCATACCCACGCCAGATTCTATGGATGTGCATGCTAACCCAGCCCTTCAAAGGCACCATCCAGGGGTCCCCGAGCATGAGAAGCAGCCAGACACTGGGCGAGTCATCCGTCGACCGCCCGCAGGCAGCGCGAAGCAGTCAGGCCGGCCGCTCCACGTCTGCTGCAGGTCCCGAGAGGAGTCAGTCCTATTCTCGCCTACGGAAGCCGCCGCTGTCACGGCGCACATCGGCCAATACACCGCACAAGGGAGAAGTCTTCTCTGTAGACGACGACACGCACGAGGTCCAGGCAGACGCTGCCGAACGCCGCGCGGGCCTATCGACGCGCCGACGCCCACCACCTCCATCGGGGCTCGCCCGTATACAGTCGTTCCGTAGCAGCGAGGACGACGAAGAAGCCGAACGAGACGATGAGGCCAGCGAGGCTGAGGAGGAGCACGGTGAGCAGGAGGAGGAGCTGCCGCTGGAAGAGCACGTCGACTGCGACTCCGACGGCGAAATCAGCGAGGCTGAAAGCTTCACGCTCAAAGACAGGCAGCAGGCCATCAACCAGACGCACCCGTTTGGTATTCGCGTTTGGAAGCCTGCATTGTACAAGAAGGACAGATCTATTCAAAAGTTCGCCCAGGCAGATATTCACTCTACACCCGGCGGCAGGGTAAGCAACTGGCTGCTCCTCTTCAACCTGGTGTGGACCATCTTCTTTGGCTGGTGGATAGCCTGCTTTGCCGCCTTTGGCGCAATCATCTGCCTTTTATTTGCTGCTGCGCCCAGCGGGAGAGAGTATGGAAGAGTCTTATGGGGCCTGGCGGGCTACCTGTTCTACCCATTTGGCAAGTTTATTCGACTCGAGAAGGATGAGGCCTACTTGGACGAGGATCAGGATGAGGGCAGAAGCATCTCCGAGTACGAGCAGTGGCAGAACGGCGATCTCGAGTACGGCCGGCTATTCTTTGGACCCGATCGACACCGTTCCATCATCGGCCGCTCCAGGAGGAGCATCGACTCGGAGCCCAGCGAGACGGAGAGCTTGCTGGGACGGGGGCGTCGCGGCGAGCCTGGTGATTTGCACCCCCGGATGAAGCGAAGGCTCTTTGGCCGCGGCGAGTGGAATATTGGCCGCATCATCTTCTTCGTCTTCTTCTACTGCCTCATCTCGCCCTCGTTAATCATTGTGTCTGGCATTTGCTGGTTCCTCGTCTTCTGGATCCCCATGGGAAAGGTCACCATGCTACTCTTTGACCACCTCAGGCGGCACCCTCTCGCCCTGTCGTTTGAATCCCATATCAGCTACGCGCGAGTCGACGACGCCCCAGACTCGTCCATCTTGGTCTGCACCTATCGAGCAGTCGGCTCAAAGTACTGGAAATACACCATTGACGGCACAAACATCTTCTTGATCAACCTCATGGTCGTCGTCGTGTTTGTCATTGCAGACTGGGCCATCCTGGACCGAATCCTACACGTAGAGATTCTCCTCACATCGCCCGCCTTCTTGTTTGTTGCGGGCTTACTCTCCATCATCCCGCTGGCATACTTCATCGGCCAGGCCGTGGCATCCATCTCAGCTCAGTCCTCCATGGGCCTGGGCGCTGCCATCAACGCCTTCTTTGCCACCGTTGTCGAAGTCTTCCTCTACTGCGTTGCGCTAAGCCAGGGCAAAGGCCAGCTCGTCGAGGGGAGCATCGTGGGAAGCATATTTGCCGGTATCCTGTTCTTGCCAGGCATTTCCATGTGCTTCGGCGCCCTGAAGCGAAAGACACAGCGATTCAACGCCAAGTCGGCCGGCGTGACGTCCACAATGCTGCTCTTTGCCGTTGTTGGCGCTTTTGGCCCAACGCTATTCTATCAAATCTACGGTACCCATGAGCTCAACTGCATGGACTGCGAAGACTACGGCAATGGCGGCCTCAACGGGGGTGCCGCACGCGATTGCCGCCGGTGCTACTTCTCGCAGGCGCCGGCCCTTGACGACCGGTTCTATATCGAGGCCGTGCGGCCATACTGTTATTTTGCCGCCTTTATGCTCTTCTTCGCATACCTCGTCGGCCTATGGTTCACCTTGCGCACCCACGCCGCCGTCATCTGGAACGCCGAGGTGGAGGAGAAGAAACACGAGGAGTCGATGCACGCGTCGACCACGCTTCGAGCACCGCACCAGCCATCAACGGCCGAAGCCACCGGGTCCGACAATATACGCGAGACGCATCTCTACAAGCGCATTCTAGGCCAGTCTCTCAAGCAGGTCGGCCTACCGGACAGCTCCCGCCCGAGCTCCACGGCTGCCCAGGATGCCGGTGGTGCCAACGGATTGAACAGCACCCCTCACGTGGTGCCGCCCAGGGGTGGTACTGATGAGGAGCAGCCTTTGCGCCCAACGATCAAGGTTCCCGCCCTGAGCCAGGTGGACAACAACCTGGTACGAGAGGTTGCCGAGATCGCTGCCACAGCCGCCACGATTGCCTCCCGCGACCGATATACGAGTGCACACAAGCCGTCCAACAACGCCGGCCCAGCAACTCCGCGGCCGCACGGCGCCAGCCGAGCCAGCCACCACCCCGATGTCGAGGAAGACGTCGCTACTGCGGGAGCTGCAACTGCTCACGCAGGGGGCCACGGCCACGACGCGCCCAACTGGAGCCGCACCAAGAGCACCGTGATACTGCTGGGCGCCACCATCCTGTACGCCATTATTGCCGAGATTCTGGTCGACACTGTCGACGTCGTGCTCGAGAGCTTTTCCATTGACCAAAAGTTTCTCGGGCTGACCCTCTTTGCCCTAGTCCCCAATACTACCGAGTTCTTGGTAAGCACCCGCCCATCATTCCCACCCAATCCCCTGAGCCCGTGCATCCCCCGTGCTCCGTGCCCACGTTTTTTTGCTGACGCTATTGGAATTTTTTTTTCGGGTTGCTTAGAACGCCATTTCGTTTGCCATGAACGGAAACATTGCACTATCGATGGAGATTGGCTCCGCCTACGCCCTCCAGGTGTGCCTACTGCAAATCCCGTGCCTCGTGCTCTTCTCCGCCGTGTTCCCAAACATCCCTGCCGGGGGTGATGCCGCCATGTATACCTTTTCGCTGCTGTTCCCGCAATGGGACCTGGTGACGGTCATCCTGTGTGTGTTTTTGCTCAGCTACGTGTACGGCGAGGGCAAGAGCAACTACTTCAAGGGCAGCATCCTCATGCTGACATACCTTGTCGTGGTGATTGGATACTACTTCAGCGGCTACACCGAGGCGGCCATGGGCTTGCAGCGGTTTGACGTGATGGGGGCCGATGGGAAGTATCAGTCCTTCAAGACCATTGGCAGGTCAGCAAGCGGGAGGGCGTTTCAAGTGATTTGAGCGGCGTAAAGCCGACAGTGTGGAGAGCTGCAGCGAAGCAGCATCTTCATCTTGTTACTACTATTACGAGTACTAGTTCGATAAATGTCCGCAAAGGTCCGAACAAGCTGCATTCGTCGGTGACCTTTTTCGTCTGTTGTTTTGCTGTCTGTTGTTTTTTCCCCTCCGGCTTACTGTACTTGGGGGAGTGGGTGCTATATCTTGCAGTGTGGGTATCTGCATGCATTTTTTCTTTCTGTGTCTGACTCTCCCCCTCTCTTCCTTATTATATGCTTCCTCTTTCTTTCTTCGGAGGGGCAATCTGCCAGGGGTCTTGTCTTGTTCCGCAGAGCCGGCATGTGTGTTTTGAGCGGATCGGGTATTTTGCTGTGTGCTTTCTCGTTTGTCCTCTTTCCATATTTAGGTATGGCATGACTAGTTTCGAAATCGTCTCACGGGGATGGCAGGCTGCATGGCAGTTTGCATGTATTTGTGTACTTTTTCCTCTTGTCTCTTTTGCTCTTTTCCTGTGTCCTGCTTCTCTTTGCTTGGCTTTGAAGGACATGAAAGTCGACCAAAGTGTATTTCAAAGAAATGAAAAGTCTCATATGTACCTTTCTTTTTTTCCTTTTTTTTCTTCCATTTCTTGTTTTCCTTCTGTTGCGTACAAAATACTACCATAACTGCCTCGGATTGTGTGAAGCATGAAGCATAATGAATCCATTTGTCTTGTTCCGTTATCCGCGAGCCGCGTGATCACATGCATCTCTAGCTTTTTTTTTTCCTCCTTCTCAATGCTGCAAGTCCTCAAAACAGAATGGCAGGGGAAACTGATGAAATCCTAAAACAATGTTCTAGATCTTCTCCACCGGCCACTGCCGCCAACGCGGGAACGGCTTAGGTCCCGGAGGAGAAGAAGGATCCTTGCCTGAATAGGAAGAGCTGTACATATCTTGCATACACGGCTTTAAGTAGAAAGCTACCGTACGGGTATTAGTAGGGGGTGAGAGAGAGAGCTTCGTTTTTTTGTTTAGTTTTTTGGGCTGGCCCATATTATGGAGCTTGGTGCTTTACTATAGCTGTTGTAGCTTTGCTTGTGAGCAAAAGAGCTACAGCTACCAAATCTAGCGCTGGCTCATTTCCTTCATCAAACAAACAGAGAAGATTAGATGATAAAAAGCAAAAAGAGAAATGAATAAAGTAGAGAGACAAGAGAAGAAGAAGAAAAAATGTGTTACCGCAAGTTCACAGCCCCATATTTCGTGCGTCCGGCATCGCGATGCAAGACCCCTCTGTCTAGATTGACGAAACGGAAAAAATCCGTGTTAGGGGTGTCCCAAAGGTAAGAATGGTAGCTCAGCTGACTCGATATTTTTTCCTTTCTCCCCTTCTTTTCCATCTCCGGGCTGCTTCGTTCGTTCGTTCGTGGGGCAAAGGGGAGGGGTCACCTTTGATCAATGGGCAGAAGAGCTCCATAGTCAAAGTACTCGCACATACCGGCGGGGGGCTGCGATTTGCCCTCCCGGCCATTTCCCCTGGTTTGGAAAACCACGTCAAGACTCGATGCATCCCGGTTCGTCTTAATGGCACGACGGGGTCGACACATGGTTTTGGCTGATCCATGCCTGTGCCTTAGTGCTGGAAGAATCGCAGCCGATTCGTAAGAGAAACCCTGTCTGCTTGATATGTACACTTCTATTAGTGAAGGCCACGGACAGTATCAAACTGCCGAAACGAGGGGGTGTGATATCTGACAGGCAAGCTAGAATGAAAGTAAAATAAACTTTTTTTTCTCTCTTTCTCCTCCGTGGTGTCCATCTTTGGGTATGACCGCCGGGAGAAAAGTCGGGAACCTCTTGGAGCCACTCTGGGATGAACATATCGTGAGTAGCGCGGAGAATGGATTCGGATGGGGGGCTGGATATATAAACCGGCGAGAAGGCGCCATAGGAATGAGGTGGAAGAAAAAAGGGAGAATGCTTCTGCTTTAAATCTGGACAGACGTTAGTTGGTACAAAAGCCGCACTGGAGCAATACGGATTCGAATCATCTCTGTCGGAAGCATCCAGACTCTTCGAGCCACGCGGGATCCTTTTTTTCGAGCTTTGTTCATTGGAATTTTTGGCCCAACTTACAACACATTTCGTTATTCGTGACGCGAGAAGTCGAAACACACATCATCATATACCGGAGCCGGGTGTTCAATGCCTGCGGCCGAGCCCGTATCTGCCGAAACACCATTTACGTCGCCAACAGTGACGACGCCATCATCCCCTACCCCCACAATCACGTCCCCGAGTGGCCACAATGTCGGCTCTCCGCCGGACAGCAGTGAGAATGAAAAGGGCACAAACGATTCTACCGCTGTGGTAGAGGTTCGCCCTGACGATGTGGAGGCACAGCAAGAGGATCAGGACCAGGGCTATTCTCTCCCGCCCGTCGACACAGGCAAAGACGCATGGCTCTTTCTGGCAGCTTGCTTCGTGATGGAAGCCATGGTATGGGGTAAGTCGAACAGCAATTCGCACGCAAAAGCGAACGAATACGACATGCTGACCCAATGGCATGAATAGGCTTTCCTTTCGCATTTGGTATCTTCCAGGAGTACTACCGCACCCACGAGCCCTTTGCCGGCTCCTCCAAGACGGCCATTATAGGAACTTGCGCCATGGTACGTGCAGCACAAGACCGTTCGTACGAGCTTCCAATTGACTTTCAATCAGGGCATCATGTATCTCGACGCTCCCCTTGTTATTGCTCTCGCGCGCATCTATCCCAAGCAGGGACGCTGGAATCCCACCGCCGGCCTGCTCATGATGTGCGCCGCTCTCGCGCTTTCCTCCTTCTCAACCACGACGACGCATCTCATCCTCACACAAGGTGCTCTCTACGGCATTGGCGGCTCAATCGCCTACAACCCATGTCTGATGTATGTAGATGAGTGGTTTGACCGCCGCAAGGGGCTGGCTTATGGCCTGATGTGGTCCGGAACCGGGCTTGGAGGCTTCACCATCCCTCTGGTGCTCGAGGCGCTGCTGACCCGATATGGCTTCCGAACCACACTGCGCATATGGTCGGTTGCTCTCTTCGTCCTGACCATGCCGCTGATCTATTTCGTCAAGCCTCGTCTGCCGCCGGCTATGACGGCTCATATCAAACCACTGGACTGGAGCTTCATGAAGAACCGCGTCTTCACCCTGTATCAGCTGGGCAACTTTATTGAGGGCATAGGCTTCTTCCTGCCGGGTATCTTCCTACCCACATATGCGCAGGACGTGCTTGGTGCCAGCTCTTTTGCGTCAGCAGCAACGCTGTTGGTGCTCAACGTCGGATCAGTCGTGGGACCCATCACAATGGGAACTCTGGTCGACAGGCTGCATGTAACGACATGCATCTTGATATCCACATTGGGTGCTATTTTCGGCGTCTTCTTTCTGTGGGGTCTCGGATCGAATATTGGCATCCTGTACGTCTTCAGCCTTGTCTACGGCGTCTTTGCCGGGTCTTTCACCACTTCATGGCCAGGCATCATGAGGCATGTTATCAAGATTGCAACCACTGCGGATGGGGAGACGGCCAGCATTGAGGGCCGTCACGAGAGCGTCAGCACCAGCAAGTATGATCCTCTCATGGTTATTGCGTTCCTCTCCATCGGCAGAGGCGTTGGAAACATTGTGTCGGGCCCGCTGAGCGAGGCTCTGGTTAAGGGGATGCCATGGCAGGGCCAGGCGATCGGGGGGTATGGGAGCGGATATGGCGTTTTGATTGTATTCACGGGTGCGACGGCGTTACTGGGATGCGTGAGTTTTGTTGCTAAAAAATTTGGATGGCTGGAATAGATGGACCTGTACAGTATCATGGTTACGACTGATGACTAAGATGGGAGGTGTTTGTAAATGTTCATATTTTCACGGGAGAAGGTGCGTCTTGGGCGAAAGCGCGTGAACATGCCGATTGCGGCCGTCATTGTACATGATCGCTATAATATGGTAGATCATGTACTTTTGATGTAATGTCATCATGATAGTCTAGAAAGCTCATGATATGTCATTAATCTCATTCATCTTGATCGTGGAGCTCGGCTGCTTCCTCCTGTCGAGAGCCCACCACGGCTCTCCACATTTAGTGACGGCTTCATGCAAGCCATTTATCATTCTCCACCCAAGCACCTAGACTAACATGGCAGTCGATATTCAAACTCATCCGTCTATACGCAGCTATAATACAGCGCATAGATTTCACTTGCGCAACGCTGCATTCGCCAAAGCATCTGCCTCATAGTTGAAACCACGTGGAATATGGTACCACTTCACCCGAACGCCAACGGCGGATAAGAGCTTTATCTCTTCATACAGCGTCCAAAAACCTTCGCTGTTCTTAATAGCGTCGCCCCTACGGTTGTAATAGATTCCCTCTGTCTCATCAAGGTTCCACTGCGGCATAAAATCGCACATGCAATCAACTAGATAGCTCGAGTCGGTTGCCAGAACCAGCGTGAAGTGGCGAATGTCCCGCAAGGCGTCGGGGTGGCTTCCAGGCAAGGAAGCCTTCACCAAAGCACGGCGCTCTGGCATGATGATAGAGCGGACCTGGCGCATGGCTTCTACTGCGGCTGTGATTTCTGCAAGTTGGTTCGTTGGGCGATATGTACTTATGACACGAGAAATGTTGTTTGGCGACTCGGGTCCGAAATATACACCGATCGAGGCCTGGAGAGCACCTTGCCCGTTTGCTGGACAGGCACCATCGATGAAAGCTACTAGGGAGCGACGAGTCCCTGCATAGATGTGATCCAGCGTATAATGTGATGGATGACCAGCTGCAGCCTCTCGACCCTTCTGGCCTACGAGCCAGCTGACGCCGCAGACGTTACAGTAGATGAGTGGTATCCGGACTGGGAGAGGCTTCGGGTCGAGAACGAGATTTATTGTGTTTTCCGGCCCTATGATCTGCTCCTCTCCTTGGGGTATAAAGCGTGCGGTAGAACCGACAAGGATGAAGACCTGGTCTTCGCTGTCCATTTTCGCGCTGGTGAAGTCTGAAATAGACAAGTAGATGCCCTCGTCGAGAAAATTGCCGATAGTTTTGAGTGCAAGATTGAATACTACTTTGTATATAGATACCTAGAGTCGTGGCGATAAACTTGAGCCCGTGTTCTGCTCGGCCATGGAATGTTACCTATGCAAAAGGTAGATAGATAGGTAGGTAGTTGGGAGTGCGGAGGTTGAAAATATTGTCATGTTACAAACGTACATAAATCCATTTCTGGATAGGTACTAAGGTACCTCTGCGTACCTACCTGTGGATGCAGATTTGAAAAATGTACATACGTACCTAGACTACTACGCTGTACTAACCACATTACGCCAGAGAAGCGGTTTGTGATGATGAAAGACCTGTAGCATAACGTAACCCAGACACCCAGGTCCGTTTCATTCTGCATGAAAAACTACATCCATTGCAAGTTCCATTTCCGTGAATCACGGCACTATGCTAATCCATAGCATACCAACTACGCACGACAAATCTCTCCTTCACCATCAGGGCAAGCCCCAAGCAGCAATGAAAAGAAGGAAAAGGGCCTGTCAGACGTCCATCGACACCCACCCTACCAGCGCGCCCGAAGGCAGACCACCGGCAGGGTCGAGATCATCAAGAGAAAAAACAACTCTCTATACAGCAGAAGCACAAAGGCAACTGCCGCCATCCTTGCGGACAGGGCGAGAGGACCATAAAAATTCACTCTTGGGCATCGAGGATATACAATCATCAACCAGGGTGGATTCGATGGCTCTTTTGGGAACCAAAGCAAGAGACGAATACTATAGAAATGATTCTCCTGTAGGGCGGTTTGTTAGCACATCTGCTCTGTTGCGGTGCGGAGGATCGCACAGTTGGGGGTGCACATACTGAAGTATTGTCGACGTGAAGAAGAAAAGAAAAAAAGGATGAAAGCAAGGCGGGCAAGGCAGACTTTTATAGGTGTCCCTGTGGGGCTGGCTGACCGCCTAAAAGTTTTTGTGGCAGAAAAAAAAGGTACCCGCTTTTGGTTCATTTCCCGTATCAGAGCGGTTGAGTGCCTGATTTGACAGGGGTTTTGCTACTAGTAGTAGCTGACTCGGGTTGCGAAAGGTTTTGCACCAAAGAAAAGAGGATATGGCCGAGATGCAAGGCAGCAATGAAGAAATTTTCTGCGTTTGCATGGATAGAGATTGAATTCTTTTCGTAAGAGTAATTGAGATACCCCGTTATTTTGTGGCTCTTGGGAAGCTTGTTTTTGAAAGCGGTTGTCAGCTCCGAGAGAAATGCCGTTTGGTGATTGTCCGAGCTAGAGCGTGAGTTTTGGCTTTGTGTTTATACGTAGAGATGCACATGGCTGTCAACGCTTGTGATTTCTATTCTGAGACTAACAGGAATTAGTGATGTATTTGAATTTGCCGTAGACTTGTTTCCACATGGGGTAGCCGACTCCGAGAGGTATGCCGTTGTGCTATTCCATGCTTGCTTCTTGGGAATGGCTTCAATATAGTCAGACAGAGCCACCGTATGAGGACATCAATGCCTATCAACATCTACATGTGAATTTTCGAAACCAACATTCATCAGTCTTGTGCTCAAGTGTACCATAGAGACCAGAATATTTGATGATGATTATACCAAGTTATTCTTGCTCAAACAGTGCAGCATATCTATATAAAGATTCTCTCGCCTCACTCTAGGGTAGCCGATATAAAAATCAACCCATCAAAACATCACAACAATCCCCATCCCTACTCCCTATACAATCCCTCCCTCTCAATCCAACCCATCACCTCCTCATCCACCAATCTCTCCAACCCATCTTTCTCCCCAGTCTTCACCATCTCCCTCACCTTCGAACTACTCACCCCATCCCCCGTCCCTTCCACCAAGTCAACCCGCCCAGCCCACGCAACATCGCCTCCAACCTCATCCAGCTTTCCCTCGCCCAGCCCCCTCACATACTCCCTCTGCTCCGCCTCCCCTCCCCACCCATCATCCGTCCTCATCGTAACCCGCAACCTCGCCCTCTCGAAAAACGGCCCCAGCGCCGCCCTCATGCCCCCCTCTCCGTAGTACTTTGGATTGAATATCCGAATCACCGTATCGAATCCCGCCAAAAAGACTTGCTCTGGCTCTTGTCCCCCCCAAGAAGAATAAAACCCGCTCTCCCCAATCACCCTCGCCTTGTCGTTGAAATACGGCATCTTCGTAACCGCCAGATCAATCTCGGGTCTGACACCCCCCTCAAGCTCAAGACTCCCTAGAAGATCCCGTCCAAAACCTTCCATCATCCCCAGCCTCACCGGGAAACTCGCAGGCTTCGGTGCCTTATCCGCGTTATTCACGGCCAGCAACAGCATCAGCCTCGTCCCCTCCGAGGACGAAGAAGAAGAAGAAGCCCACTTCAGCGCAGACCTCGCCATCTCTGCGTGCGCCCTGGTCGGTGGATTGAAGCTCGAATCGAGAACCACCAATCTGCGCACTCCCGATGCTGGCCGCGAGACTGGCTCTTGACCGGCATGGGGCAGCGTGCAGAGGATGCGAAAGACATCTGGCGATGAGTGAAAGGAGGTGAGTGAGCGAGAGAAGTAGTCGACCAGCTGCTTCGGATTTGGACGCATGGTTAATGATTCTGAATCTGAAATGGCCATGATGCGAGTGGATGAATTGGCTTGTGGTGATGGGCAAGTAAACGGACCACAGGTAATGCATGCACCATCAAGTGACATCTTACAATATCATCTGAGGTGACATGAGACGCGGGGCATTTTCGGCAGTCGAACCGAAGAGCTCCGGACTGACTAACATAGAGGAGAAGCAAACCAGCCACAAATCATCAACCTCTTGGCTTCATGTCACAATTACTATCAAAGCGTCTAGATATGTATCCCAAAACAATGAAAATGAAATCAAAACAAGAGGGAAACATGGTAAAGATGCCGCCTCATCGCCTGCGCCCGCCCGTATATGAAAAATCAAGAAGCCTGGTCTGAGCCCTGCGCGTCCATCACGCCTCGCGAGAACCACTCGGAAATGGTCGCAAATCGATCAGAGCTGTTCTCCAGATCTGCTTTGAATATTTCGTGCCGCCCTGCCCGCTCCCTCTGGCCCTCCCTCATCTTGCGAATCACCTCATTCTCGCCCGCGCACTTGGGACACTCAATTTCGTCATCCTCGCCGCCGCCACGGAGACAACGTTGATGGAAGCTGTGCTTGCACATGAAATGCACGGCTGGGAGATCCAGCCCCTGGCCACAGTCGGAGCATCGCGTGGCCTGGAACACGGCGGGTTTTGAACTGAGATCCTCCAAGTCACTGCGTCTCTTCTCAGTGTCGGTGCGGAGCGTGGATATTCGGTTACGGTTTTGGGCAATCTCCTTGCGCTCGCGGGTGATTGTGTCGCGAAGATATGGCTTAATCATACCCATGGTAGCCACACCGGTGCCAGAGTTTTGCCCGACAAGGGTTTGAACGACCTGCAATGGCGCCATGAGCCCGTCCTTGTCAATCTTGGTCAAGATGGCCGCCAACTCATCCGGCCCAGCTTCCTCAAGCACCCGAGGATCTGACGTGAGGTATGCCAACGCGGCCGGATACAGCTGCGGCTCTTCCGGCCCGTACTTTCTCAGCGCCTTCAATGCCCCACGTGTGTCCTTTGCCGATGTATAGGATCTAAATATATCGGATAACAGCCCAGCTTGCTCCTTAACCAAAACGGTGCCGTCTTGGAAATTGGATAAATGTGACAGCAAGAGCACGTTGGAGCTCTCCATCGGTACATGGTCTCCCTCAATGAGTTTCTTTGCCTTTGCTTCCCACTCTTCCTTGTGTAAACTGCCCTTTTTCTCGTTGGACTTGTGCAAGTACATTTCAAACAGCGTCGTGTACAGATCGGTGCTATGAAGTGCCCTCAGCTTTTCCTCTTCCAAGCATGCCTCTAGGAATGTGATGAATTCATCAGGATGGTCGATGAAGGATGAGAATGCCGTTCGGGGCGGTGGGGGATTGTATCTGGGTATCGGTAAGTCGTCTTCGTCGGCCAAGACGACGGTTTCGTTTGGCCTTGCGCTTCCTGGAGTTCCGGTTGCGGGACTGATGTATGAAGGTAGGATGAGGAGGTTGGCCAGGTTTTGCACAGCACTGGCAGCCCCGGCAGTTAACCCACTGCTGCCTGTACCTGCCCCAGAAACCTCAATGGGCAATACCACCGTGCGCCGCGGTCGATAATTGCTGGTATAGTAATCCACAAACAGCTTTGTCGCGTCCTTGGGGCAATGTTCTATGAGAACCCTGGCGTACTTTTGCATGCACGGATATGCCTGGAGCAGTCAGTATCGGGCGTGGTAGGATGGGAAGGGGGCGCACTAACAATTGCAGGATCCTGATGCCAAATGTAGTCCAGCGCTTCATCATAGCTCTTTGAGTCCTCGATCAAGATATCCACGACAAGCTCGGTTTCGCCATGCTTCTTGGCCAGATAAGCAGCTTGCTGGTAGTAGCCACCTTGCCGACACATGGTAATGGCCGTATCTAGATCAAACTTCAAGTCTCCTGGAGCCATGATAAACTCTTCCAACTTCTTAATATCTTTAAGTTTGGCATAGCAATTGAGCAAGAGTGTGGTGTGATCAGATGTAGCCTTTCCATGGTGATGCAGTTTTTCCAAGTATAAAATCAAGTTGTGTATCCTTTGGGTATCCAGAAACTAAATTCCCTTTGTCAGCGGTTGAACCATGGCGTGAGGGGAGATCCCTCACCTTTCGAATAACCTGAGAAGGCTCAGTAGCGTCAATTGCTCGAATATACTGGTTCATTGCTCCATCATAGTCTGACTTTTGATATAGATGATCTCCAAAACGCCGGTAGATGAGGCTCTGCTGCTCGTTATTCATCCCCGAGTTCTGAGCCAGCTCAATTGCGAGGGGGAACATGTTGCGCTGGTAGAGCATTTCCAGACGCTGCTGAAGCGGTTTCTCGTGATATCGGTAAGTCTAATGACACTGTTAGCATCCATAGCTACGCATCCCTAATTTAGTAGCCGTACTTTTCCTTCCTCTGTGACTGTGAACAAATCACCCCATACTTCAAAGATGAACCGAACCGGTGAGATGAGCGTCTCTGTGTGGCCAACCACTCGCAGATCCGGCTCCAAGAGAACAAAGGTCCAGGCGTTAAATAGACCATCTGCCGTCGCCGAACCGAATCTTCTCCGCAAAGCCTCAGGGTCTCGGCTGCTGCTAACAGATGACGGACCCGCGACAGCAATGTAGTCGTTGTGCATAGATACAAGTCGCTTGGGGGACTCGTATGCTCGAGGGGGCCCACGTCCATCCAACCTATATGTGTATATGGCATCGTCTCTGGCGACGACAATGTCCTCCGTCTTGGGATCGACCGTCATGCAACCTGCCGCGCAGCCAGAGTCCTCAATCGTTTTCGGTGGTGAGCCTTGGCCCCGCCTGGACAATGAAAGCTGTAATATCCTCGAGGTTGTAGAGATGAAGAGGGTTGTTGAGCTCTCCTGGGCCGTCAATTGGACACCCGTCACGGGCTCCTCCGACTCGTATACGATGCGCTGCTTTGTTCCCAGGTCATGGACAAGGTCTCCTCGGATGACGGTTACCGCGCCGTTTGCAAAACCCACGGCGATTTGAGTGAGGTCGTCGAGTGCAGCAAATGCTGATATCTATTTGCCCTGTATCAACACACAACGTCCCCCAGTCATGTTACGGGCGACTCACCGGAAACTGCCGCCTCCCGTTGTTGACTGTCAGAGTGCTGAGACAGGTCGGCATGTTGGTCCTCTTGACTAGCTTGTCCAAGGCCCAGGCTTTGAGTATCGGCTCGCTGCTCATGTCCTCCTAAGCAACAGTCAGCGCAAACCCTCGAAAACGCCTTGGAGACGGCTCACCGCAATCGTCACCAGCAGGCTCGTCCCCTCCACCTGACGCATGTGTGTGATGCGCGCCTCATGCGCCTGGAACCTCCTGATGAGTTTCCATCCTTTTCCCAAGATGCTGACGTATCCATCGTTGGAGCCGATAAACAGGCTGTCCGAGCCCGCGCAGACGCTGGAGATGTCGTTGCTGTCGAAGAGCTGGCGGGTTTCGTCGTCGGGCAGCGCCACCTGCGAGACGTCGAAGAAGTCAAACGACTTCCACTGTGGGCTGGATTAGCTGCCATGAACTTGTACAGAAAGAGAGGCCCAGCAGCCAACAGGGCAGAGCTGCCAAAAGGGCGAATTCACAGCTCACGTACCGAGATGGCCATCTTTGTCGCCTTGTCAGCGCACGATGACGATGGCGGGACTGGGAGGCTGGAGCTGCGGGAGAGCTTCTGATGATGCTGCTAGCGGGCGCCACAGTGGCTCGTCCACTAAGACTGCAAGGTTCAAGCATCCCAGCTATAATAGCAGCTCAATTACAGCACTACCTCTGCGCCTCGGCTGAGATATCTTGGTAGCAATGATGAATTAAAAATCACCTGTTGGCTCAGATTCGTACTAGAGTTGGAATTCAATTTCAGATTCTACGCCTGCATCGAAGCTTGGTTTATACTAGGTACCTAATAGCATGGATGCTAACATGGTCCATCACCATACTCCAACATCGAGATTCCACTCGTTGTGCTCAGCTCTTTACACGAAAGAAGGAGGAAACAACAGATAAGTATAAAAAAACCACTTGCAATTTGTCGTATGTTAAAGGGTATCACGTTTGCCACATCTTTGAAGTCTCTACCCCTCCGGCTTGAAATAGTAAAAAAGAAAATGAAACGCAGAGAAAAGGAAGACAAAACGACCGCAGAAGCAAAAGAAAAAAAGCAAAGAACCCGTTCTTGACCCAGTCGCGTGTATATAAGCCCGTCTAATGAATGCGGACACGGTTCTCCCCCAAAACGCCTGATACTAAAACAATAAAAGAGGGCGGCTCAAAACGAATGTTGCAGGTTTAATCCTCCTTGGAAGTCGGTGTTAGCTGGCTCTCCTCTCGGCTTTCGGCAAGGCTCTTCTTATCAGGTACCTCTCGGGGGCTGGCGAGTGCAACGCTGCCGCTTATACTGTCGGGTCGGCCGTGTCCCAAGCGGCCACTCCTAACGCTTGCACCGTCGCCCTGCTTAGCATAGAGACTGTTGCGCTCGCTCGGGATCGCTGGGGCAACTCCAGTTGCAGAGTATATGCTGTTCCGCTCTGCGCCCAGCCTGGAAGCGTTGTGAAGGCTGGATGAAGGGTCGATGTTGGCGCTGAGGACGCTCAGGGGCAGACTTTCGCGGCTGCCGCCCCAGAGCGATGATGGAGCGAGAGCGCGGACAGACGCATCGGTATCCATCGATCGACGGCGGCCTCGCTTGCTCGACGAAGCTAGAGTCAGAATGGATGCGTTGTCTGTAAGGAGGTTGTTGGCCGTGGCCGTAGTGTACGTCGTCAGGTGGTTCGCCGGGATGAGATGCGCTGGTATAGCCGATGCCGGCGATGCCGTAGGGAATGGCTGGCTGAACTGGATTGACTGAGTGATGCTGTGAGTGGGAGCCACCGGGGCCTGTCCATGGGGGGCAAAAGATTGAATCGTGGTTAACGTCGTAGCGAGGGACCTGACCGATGGAGACGGGCTTGAAAATGTGCTATCGCCGCCTCTTCTGGATTCTTGTCCTCCTCCAACTGTCCTGCTTGTTCCCGTCACAGAGCTCGGCGCGCGACTCGGCGCGATGACGGATCGAGGGCGGTCCGGTTCGGTCTCGGTCGATATCGTCGTGGTTAAACTCCTCCTGCCTGCAGTCGGTGGTGCATATCCATCCGCCGAAAACCGAGTTGGCTGATCGAGCGTAGAGAGGCTGCAGTCGGTGCGGCCAGTAGCGAACGAATACGAGCTCTGGCCGTTGGCATGGTTGTGGCTGACGTGCCCAGACTGAGGATATGGGTTGTTGAGCTTGGGACCACGCCGTATCCGTATGTGTCGTTTCTGCCGCTCGCCGTCCGACGATGACTTGAAGTTGGTGAGCTTCTTGACCCATGTCGAGAATGGTCTTCGCCGTTGCTGTGCTTGGCCATCTATCCAAGTGTTAGTTTTGGATGGACGCTGCTTGGGCTGGAACGCCTGATGTTGTCACGGGACATGTCCAAGCACGGGGAGACAGGCGAAAAGCAAGGAGATAGTACCGTGAGCCTCTGCGATAAAGTCCGTAGTCGCCATCAAGGGCGAACAAGTTGGAATGCCGCGGGAGCGGCTCCAAGGGGCGGCAGATTTGTCGTCGGCGCGGTAGTAATACGGCGTCAGGCAGAGATGGAGATTGCACAAGCGAGAGGGGATTCGGCAAGGCTACGACACGCAGGGGGCGGCGACTCGGATGATTGGGCTCTCGAGATGCTGCAGCAGGGCAAAGGAATGTGACGAGCAAAATAATATGCGCGGGACAAGAGTCACAGATGGATCGCGAAGAGACTGAGGTTGATACCCAGAATGGGCATGATGGTGCAACGCTAGAAACAATAGCGTCGGAGTCGAGTTTGAGCATCATTTCGGCATCAAAGGCAGGGGTCTGTCACGTGATGGCCAGCATCACATGAAGGAGCCACAGCAGCTGACGATGACGAAATGCTGCTGCTAAATCGGGCCTGGCGCTAGGCTCCATCTCATGCCAATCTACAATTGTCTTGTCTTCAGGAGCTTACACAAGTTAGTCCATTCTCACAGTTTCTGTCCACTCGATCCCCGTGTTTTGTCTTTTAGCTGCCTTTCCCCGAGTTCTCCACGGTCCCTGACTCGGCGTGACGCTTTGGGACAGTTGCTTGATCATCCATGCCCGGAATGGTAGCAACTAATCTTACATGACCCTGGCCCGCGTCGCGATACTCGGCAGATCAGCTTCAGCTCATCATCGAGTTCGATCTCGTCAACGCTGAATCAAGCATCATGTGCCATGTCCATCAGGCCGCTCCCAGAGGATGTCGTTGGGAAAATCAGGTCCTCGTCAACCATCACATCCCTAAATGGTGTCGTCTGTGGCCTGCTCAAGAACTCGCTTGATGCTGGCGCCACCAAGGTCAATATCCATGTCGAATATGGTCGAGGAAACTGTATTGTAGAGGATGATGGGCTAGGCATTGTTCCCGGTGATTTTGCAGAGGATGGAGGGCTCGGGAAACCCTACTGTACGCAGCCGTTCCTTGTGATTGCGTGACCGTGATACTAACGCTTTGAGCTAAGACACATCCAAATTCCCACCCCAGCATGGGCTCTACGGCAGACAGGGAACGTTTTTAGCTTCCTTGAGTAATTTATCGTTACTTATGGTTACGTCTCATCATTATCGCCACAATTCGCATAATACCATCTCGATTCACCATGGCAAGCTCCTAAGGAGGCAGACGCCGTCTCTGCCTGGAGAACGATTCCAACTCTTCGATCACGGCACGCGAGTTGCTGTCAACGACCTGTTTGGTTCGCTTCCCGTGCGGGTTAAACATCGTGCTACACTCTTCTCAGACCGGCCTGGGCTTGACAAGGAATGGGGGCGTCTTGTTCATGATGTTGTCGGCCTGCTCGTATCTTGGCCATCTGGGGTCACTGTGTCCTTGCGTGAAACCAAGGGACAGCGCGAGCTGCGTCTGAAACCACCAGATAATGCAGACATGGTTTCTAGAGCATTGCGGTTCTTTACTCAAGCATCGCTGGCAGATTCTGGGGACGTGGATTCGTGGGTACCGGTATCAGCGACTGCCGGCCACATTACGATCAAGGGCTGCATTTCTTTGAATCCCGTTGCGACGCGCCGATCTCAGTTTATGAGTGTGGGGATATTGCCAGTCTCAAACGAGTACGGAAGCAATGTTCTATACGAGGAAGTGAACAAAATGTTTGCGTCTTCAGATTTCGGTGTCATTGGGCATAAGGGTGGTATGTCCAACGACGGGACCGGCCTAAATCAAAAGAAAAGCAAGGGGGCAGACCGATGGCCCATGTTCTATCTTCGAATCACACTCAAGGGAGCTGAAGATGTTTTTGACGTTGATGACATTTCTAGCCATTCTCATGGAGATCTTGAAAGAATTATGGGTGTGTTGAGGGCGGTCATTTATAGCTTTTTGAAGAAGCATCATATGCGCCCGCAAACGATTCAATCGTCTTCAGACAAGTCGGTATTTTCAACCGCTCCTCACCGTAGCACAATCCGCGCTCCCAAAGGCCGTCAATCCACAGCAACGAATTCAAAAACTTCATCATCGCAAGTCTTATCGTCTGACCCGGTGTCGTCTCTTTCAGATAGCCCTTTCGACGGTTGGAACAGGATGAAAGTTGGCCCACGAACAGAGCGTAGGCCAGCAAAGGGGGTGTTGCGGAAGCATGAAACGAGGCCAAGTACCTCGGAAACCATTGTGACGAATCGACTGATTGGTGAGGGAGGCAGACTGCTCCGCAAACCCTTTGACGTTTCAGCCCCTCTCAGCCCAGGGAAGGGTGGAAAGCGGGTCGACGCTGAATCTCAAGATGAATCCGAAACAAACCCCTTGACGCTTGCTGAACGACCTAAGAGGGTGGCTGAACACTTGTCAAGCGAAAAAGCAAAGCGTCTGAAAGTGAGCGGATCGGGTTCCAGAGATGGGGAGCCAATGGGGAGAACAGAGGCGAGTGAGAAAAACGAACCACGCGAATGGCTGCAAGACATCCTCAAGTCATGGAGAAATCCTGTCTTTGAGTCAACTCAAGCTGGCGTGCCGCGCATCAATGACGAAGCACCAGCGCCGGTTCGTGACACTACATCAATTCACGGCTCGCATCGGTGCTGCGGTGATGACAAAGGGGAAGTCAGATTTGAGGCCGCATCAATCGGCCTGGAGGGTCGCGTGTCGCGATCGGCATTGGCGGAAGCACAAGTCGTTGCACAAGTCGATAGGAAGTTCATCTTGCTGAAACTTCCCCTGCGCAACATGACGGACGGGCGAGAGCCGAGCAGCTCATGTGCCCTGGTGATGCTCGACCAGCATGCTGCAGACGAGAGATGCCGTTTGGAGGAGCTTATGGCGGGCTATTTCAAGCAAGATGGATCTCATAAATTTCCAAGGGCGGTCGTCGAGCCTCTTGAGCGACCCTTGATATTTGAAATCTCTGATCGCGAATACGACTTGCTGCAACGGTATCAGGAGCATCTCGAAGCATGGGGCATTCTTTATAAGATCCAACGACGAGCTGCCTCGATGAAACAAGAGCAGGATGGCTATACGGTGGCCGTTTCTGCTCTGCCTCCGAGTATTCTAGAACGCTGTCGTACCGAACCTCGCCTTTTGGTGGAACTGATGCGTAAAGAGATATGGAAACTCGACGACGAGGGCATCATGCCTCCACGGCCGCGCAGTGCCGGAAGGACCGCTGAACAAGCTCAACCTTCCACGGCAGATTTCCACGGCTGCCCTAGAGGGATCCTCGAGTTGCTGCATTCGAGGGCCTGTCGAAGTACGTCGTCCCCCTCTGCATGGTTTGATCTGATTTCTAAGCTGACAAATGTGTTGTTGTAGGTGCCATCATGTTTAACGATGCGCTTTCGGCTGAGGAGTGCGAATTGCTTGTGCGACAGCTTGCGAGGTGTGCGTTCCCGTTTCAGTGTGCGCATGGACGGCCGAGTTTGGTGCCGTTGGTGGATTTGGGATCGGGATTTGGGATCCGAGGATGGGATGAGGATGAGCGTGTTGGGGGGGATGCGCGGGTGTGGAAGAGATGGATGGAGAGTGTGGTGTCGTGATGAAGGGGGTTTCGTATATATGATGGCGCCGATATGGTGGTTGAAGCTGGTATTGGGCAGATATTGTGTATCTGATGGCATGACTTATATATGTGCATATGGATAACGTCTAGGGATTTAAAGAAATACATGGAATAGATGCTCAAGACTGTTTTGTATATGCTAGATGGCATTATTTTGTCCGTCGAGGAGTTCATCCCATCAAATGGTTTTTACCCAGACCATCACCACCAGCTGTTTAAGCTTGTAAGTCCACCTCGAAGCGCACAAGAGATAGATACAAGATAATAATGCAAACCCCCGTTCTCGCACGGAATGTTATAGACATGACTCGTTAACCAAGACTGGTCGGTATCCAACTATATACAGAAAAGCAATTACACGGCAAGGGATATATAGTAATAAAACAAAAACGAACACCCCAAAAAAGCAACCCTCTGGAACACAAACGCCCCGTAATGCTCCTTTGCATTTCGCCCTTTATCCCCTCCCCCTCTTTAGAAACCCAATAAAAAGGAAAAATGATAAAAAAAAAAAAGAAATATGGAAAATATGCCAACGACTAGGATTTATTCCCTTCACTCGTGGCCCTTCTTCTCGAGCTCTTCTCTCTTGCGCTGCTCGGCGGCTTCTCTGCGTTGCTTCATCTCGGCGTCGGTCATCTTGACCCATTCGTTAATGTCGCGGTTCCAGCGATGACTAAAAGGAGAAAAAAAAGTCGATATTAGCCGGGGGTGACATCAAAAAAATCAGGGCAGAATGGTAAAATAAAATAGAAAAAGGAGGTGGGCTTGTCAAAGCTGCAAGGGGTCCGCGGGGCTGACTTTGCCAAGCCTCACAGCCTCGAACTATCGCAACGACAATCGTTTTTCATCGGTTCACTCACCCCTGAAACTCTTCCACCACAAGGCTCTTGTCGCCGTATTCGCCGCGCAGAATGTCCTCAAAGTTGTACGGGATGCGGGCCTTGACGCCCTCGAACTCGGTCACGCGCATCGGCCACAGGTCCTGGCTGCCATAGCGGTGCGAGTTCTTGCAGCTCCAGACGCCCGGCATGCCGGCATCGCGCTCGCGCAGGCCCGTGATGTCGATGAACATGCCGTTGCTAGTGTCGATCCAGCGGGCGTCGATGATGTTCATGCCGTCGCCGCGGGTCAGGTCGACGTGGTGCGGGTTGACGTCGAGCAGATACGTCTTGGAGACGCCGTCAAAGGTGTGCGTGTGTTCGGTGCGGTTCATGTTCTCGCCCAGCCACGTCATGGTGTTGTTCGACACCTGCACGTCCAGGTCGTAGTCCCACGGCATGATCTGGCCGTTCCACCACCAGCCCAGCAGCGTGCCGTGCGCCAGCCAGGTCTCGACGCCGTGCTCGTGCAGCGTCGTCAGGTAGCTGCGGATCAGCTGCCGCAGCACATCGCGGTGCTCGCCGTAGGGGATCTGGCCCTTGAAGAAGCGCTCGTCGTAGTGGCCCAGCTCAAGACTGCCGCCGGGCTCGGTAAAGTACTTGGGCGTGCCCCATCGGTTTTTGCGTGGGAAGCGCGATGTTGGTGAGGCGAATGCTGTGGAGAGGGCACAGGCGGCGAGGAGAATCGAAGTCCAGGATGAGGGTATCATGTCGGCGAGGATGATGTGCAGAGGCGAGAATCGAGTTGGAGCTTGTAAATCGGATCTCGGATTGCTGAGTTGCAGATTGGAATCGTCCAAGGGAGATATATGGAGCTGTTGATCCCGTCAAGTAGATCCAAGGGGGGGCCCTGTGTCCAAAAAAGTGATTTGTATCAAGGTGGGTAGATCGTCCAGGCTCCTTTGAAGGAGAGCAGCTCCAGGCGAATGTAGGATTCCGAGACGAAGGGATAGAGCAATCAATGCAGCGGGAAACAAAAAGATCAAACCCAAGAGCCGCTTCAGTCACACAAAAGGGAATTACCGGGAATGAAGAGAAGAAGAGGAAGAAGAAAAAGAGGAGGAGAGACCAAAAAAGGGGAGGCCAAGAAGAGGCCAAGATGAGGAGAGAGGACAAGGATCTGGCGGGTGTGTATGTACTTTGCGAGTTCTTTTAGTATGGGCGTGTGCAGCTGGCTAAAACGGATTGATGAGCAACAAATGCGGCAGCCCTGCCAAGAGCTTTGGCGAGCAGGATTGTGTAGTAATGTCTAGGCTTCCTTTTTGGGGGGTCTATAAAAGCGAAGAGAAGAAAGACGCAGAAAAGAGTAGCAACAGAGACTCTAGTGGTGATGGCAGCAGCAGCAAGATGCCGTCGCAATGAAACTAGAACATGTACGTGTAAGAGAGTTTAGTAGCTTCGACTTCTATATATCGGCCTTCTCCTGTCTACTTGAACTATCATACTATGTAATCATAATCCTCAACTCCGTCCCGAGCAGTACGTGGCTGACAGCCCAATGACGGCGGCCAAGCGGCCTGCGTTTCGCCTCTTGTCGCCTCTTGTCCCCCCTTCCTCGCCCGTCCGCGAGACGCAAACAAGACACACCCCGGGCAGGGCTGCGTAATCGGCACGCCCAATCGATGATTCGGATTAGCCTCATTGCCCTCTGGTTTCCGTCTTTCGATGCCTTGTATCCGTGTTTGGAGGAGTGATATCAGCACGCTAATGCAGGCGCTGGTTGAAACCCGGACGATCGAGGCCATGCGGGTGGAGCTGGAGGATGGGCCACGGCAAGTAAAAGTCCGGAGATGTGGTGGCTTGGATGGAGAGGAATGGGGGAGGATAGAGTATAACGTCTGAGTAAGAGATGAAGGATATACCTAGTATTGCCTCTTTATCCTTGTGTGTGGTGATGTAGCATCCATTGCCCAATATGTCGCTGGATATCCATCTCTCTATCTTTACCTTCAATTCTCCCCCTCTTACGGTATATACATATATTCTTCTTTATCAACCTATACCTTCTGTGTTTAATAAATTCTCAGCTCCTTCCTTCAGACATCCCCAACACCCCCAAAACACGTTACGCTAAACCCCTTCCAGCAACCAGTCGTGTGCAGTGTAGCGCACTTTCCTCCTCCCTCATCCCACATCCCAGAACCCTGCGTCATTGCTGCAAGCCACCAGCGCCTCGCCGCTAGACACTTGCTGTCCAATCAATTCGAGCAGACATGTCTTCAAAACAAGCAAAGTACCCAGCACTTTCTCCAGCAAGAACCAACACGGCAATTTGCAAAGTATAGGATACCATGCACCAAGTCAACCTCCGGACCCAAGTCTTCTCCGCTGGAGCTCCCCTAAGCGCAAATCTCCTTTCATTAACAACATGCCCCCCCTGATCAAGGTTCTGCTGTTTAGGGAGAGGCCATCATTTCCCTTTGTCGTCTAGTATGGGGCACGACAAGAGTAACTGGGCACACGACTCAACGCCGTTTGTACTCGCAATACCATGTAATCGTCACATTAGAATAGCACAACAGGGAGTTTCCTTATTCTTGGTATTCTTGGCATACTTGGCTCAGACCTGTGACTGGCTGCCAAGTGCAGGTATTCGTAATGCCAAAGCAGCATCACCCGTCCGGTTTGCCCATGTATGTACATGTCGCACCACTTCCCGCTGGCAAATCCGTGCCGGGCTGTATCATGTATACATATGAAACCCACACGCGACCCCCCAATAGCCCTTTGGCGAACAAATAAATTCTTGAACCAGCCGCCGTCTGGTTTTGCTGTCCACTCCCCACAGAGTGAACGCGTATCTGCTATGGTAAACGGAAAGTTGGTCGGCGGAATGCCTGCAACTCCATGCCGTATTTCCCGGGAGCATCCACCCAAGCCGCGACGCCTACGACAGCTATCGGGTTGAAAATGCCGATCGGCCCGGCATTTCGCTCTGTACATAGCGGTATGCAGGTAGTAAGCGAGACGAGCACCTCCTTTGTGGGGATATCATTTGGATAAAAAGGAAAAAGTAAAAAGAAATGAAAAAAATGTCACGAGGGGGAAAAAAAAAACAATGGGCGATCCTCTAATTATATAATTGGAAAAAAGACCAAAAAAAAATCAACCTCTTGGAGGTTTGGCGGATCTCTCCCGCCGGGAATTGAACCCGGGTCTCAAGCGTGACAAGCTTGCATACTGACCACTATACTACGGAAGATTTCAGGCGTTGCGCGCCTGTTGTAGCGGATCTTGCTTGGAAACCGACGCGCTTATTTTATTTTATATATTGCAAAGCCTAAGCTGAAGAAAAATCGCTCCGCGGCACCACCACTTCAGGGACTCAATACCTGTATACTCTGAAAGATAATATTCATCAAGCTAGAAATCTGCAGAAAGCAACGGACGGTGGCGCACAGTAATCATGTTGCCGGGTATCGACGAGCCTCAACACATGGACACGCTACACATTTATACACTCTCACCCTGAGAAACACACATCCCCCCAGAACATCTTACCAACCATTCCCTTGGTCCATCATTCTATTCATCATCACCATCGTCACTCGTTCTGAGACAAGAAAAGGAAAAAAAGAACATGAAAACGAAAAACGAAAACCCATTGTTTATGCCATCGCCACTATCGTGCAAACACCTTGACAATGCCGTCGCCTCCTCCGCTAACCACCCACTTGCCGTCCTGACTCCATACACACGTGCAGATGCCCTCTCCCCGCATTACCCGATGACTTGTGATTTCTTGAATACATGACCTCTTCTCCAGACTCCAGAACCGGAGCGAGGCGTCGTGACCGGCACTCACCAGCTCGCGCCCGTCTGGGCTGAGCGATAGGCTGGAAATGGCATCAGGGTGAGCCAGCATGTTGTATGTACATTGGCCTGAGAGTCGAGTTAGCGCTTCTATTCTTCTTCTTTTGTTACGTAGAGATCCGTGGTTCAACATACCGCTATTGGCATCAAAGAATCGTACGAAGCGATCCTCGTGGCCAGAGATGATGGTACCTTCTACGCCAGAGCCAGCCATGGACCGTCCACCTGTTGGTCCTCCCATAGCAGGATCCTCCTCTCCACCGATATTGGTTCCGTGATGCTGGTTGCCTTGGTCTAGCCCGATCGTAGTGGCCACTACCGCATTGACGCTCGTCTTTATCGAGCCGTCATACGTCTCCAAGCTATCCATGTAGCCAACCTGTTCGCCCGTCTTTGTATCGTATACCAGAACAGCGGCATCCGAATACGAGACGACAAACGTTTCACCCGAGCTTCCGAGCGGTGTGATGCAGGTTGGGCTTGCCTTGGATCCATCTTGCCTGGATAAGACGTGTACGAGAGTGTGGTTGAATGGGGAGTTGGAAGCCACGGTAGGCTGGGGAGAGTTGGAGAAACCGCTGCCAGAGCTCATCGAATTGCCGCGAACGCGTCCTCCGCGTCCTGACGCAGCTCGAGTTGATCCAGGCTGCGGTGAGCTTAGCTGAGGAGGTGCGCTGACCGACCAGAGCCGCACAGTTCCATCCGCCGCGCCAGAGACGAGCAGTATGCGGTCAGGGGATCCGTAGTTGCTGGAGCTGCCAAAAACTGAGCCCAGTGTCGTGGGCAGAACACAAATCGCCCACACGGCATCTGTATGTCCCTCCAGCGTTGCCTTGGGATCGACCCTACCGCGTTCCCAGACTCGAATCGTAGCATCTTGGCCTCCGGAAAAGATCCAGCCATCACCCTGGGCACGACCTCCAGTAGAGAAATTGGGGGCGGGAGACCATGACGCGAGCGACAAAACAGCTCCATTGTGGCCGCGGTGCGTAAAGTTTGCTGTTACGTCTAGATCCGAAGCCGCATTGTTCGAGGCCGCTGCGTTACCATCTAATCGCGGGATATGGAACCTCTTGATCATGCCGTCGTCGCCCGCCGTGCATATCTCAGGCTCGCCAGGGCTGCCGCCGCCAGAGAAGATGACAGTCCGAACAGTATTGAGGTGACCTCTTAGCCCAAATCGTAGCTTGAAGCTTGCGCTCTCGGCCTTTTGGCTTGCGCCTACATCATGGTCACTGCCGCGCCTCTTGGACATGGAACTCTTTCTTCGGTGGGTGCCCGGAACCCGGCTTGGGGACTTTGACAAGTAGTCTGCGTTTGGGAAAGCGTCGGTATCGGATCGGTAAGAGGAAGTTTGCGATGGCGGGTGGCCAGCCGCAGGTTCTGGGAATGAGCCATCAGGAAACTCCCAGCCTTCAGGGTCTGGAGCAGCAGGCGGCTTTTCTCTCAGCTCGACAGACTCCCCTATCCCGCCCAGCGTTTCGTTTGAGTGGTTGGACCGCGGCATACCGTCTTCCACGGGGCGCGTTGTTACTGATATGGGCTGCTGCTGCTGCTGCTGCTGCTGCTGCCACTCGTTAGAGTTATGAAAAAGAGACTGCTGCTGATGCTCATTCACGGAGCGCACCATTTGAGGCTGCATTTCAGGAGCGTTTGGGGCAAACTTGGAGGGGGGCTGCTGCATCGGCGGTAGAGAGTTTGGGCCTTGGTGCTGTCTTGAGTTCATGTCTTGCATGTGGTTTGGGCCCTGTCGCATAGGAAGCTGGTATTGCCGCTCCATGAGCTGCGCGCCGGGCATACCAAACGCCTCGGCCTCTCGTAAATCTTCCAGAATCGGCAGCGGGGGGGACTCGCGCGGCGGTAGAGGATTCGCCGGGGTAATCATAAGATACATAAATTCGGACTGGCACTGATCCAGGAACGTCTTGAGCTCCGTTCGTTGCGACTCGTCGTCGGTTCGCTCGACTTCGACGCCTTCGACGCCTGGGACGGGTTGGCTCTCCGATGAGGCTGGTTCTGTGGTCAGCAACAATCAAATCCAAGACTCAGACGGCCCAGGGAAGCAAAAGGCATGTCGCACATCGCAACTTCTCTTGGATCTTGGCAGCGCGATCATTATTTGCCGAGTCGTCGGCTTCTGCAACAGCGGTGCCCTTGAGCTGCGCGGCCTGGTCCTTGATCTTGCGCTCAAGGATGGACACGTATTTCTTCAGCGCCTTTTGCGTGGCGTCTGCTCTCCTCGCTTGGCCCTCGAGGTTGGCTATCCTCCCCTTCATCTCCTGCTTCTCAATCTCCCAGGCATTTCGGTCGCGTTCATGTCGGTGCCACTCCGTCTGCAGAAAACGCATCACGCCCTGGAGCGTATATTCAGTGGCTTGGGGCTGGTTAGAGCCATTGCCCTGCATTGCGCCGCTCAGATCCATTCCGTTCATGCCGTTGCCAAGATTCGAGCCCATTCCGGCACGCCAAATTCAGCTGCGAGGGTTCATCGAGAGGGCCTGTTGCGCAAGAAGAGAGCTTCCCAAGCCGGGCTTCAGAGGGGCGATCCAGAGAGCTCCACGCGCCTCGAGCACTCTGAGGAAAGCCGCAGCGTATATTGTTCGGTCTCGCCTCGCTTCTCTGCAACCTGTTCCGCCGCGTATCTCGTCGCTCTGGGTGGAATCGCCTTGTTGGGAGGTGATGATTCTCGACTCTCGTGCACAAGCTCTGGCGAATAGGTGTCCGTATGCTGGCCCTGTCGTCTGCTGCTAGACTCGCTAGACCAGCAGGCCGGCCAATCAGCGGGCGCGGCTGCCCGTGAGGCCGCAAGGCATCAACCTTTTACAACCCCCTGAGCTTGCAACAACTGCAGCTTCATGGCGGGGTCTTTTGGCCTCGAAAAAGCTCCACGATGTTGCAGAGTTCCATCAATGACGCGGGTTGAATGCGGACATGCTTACATCAGCTTGTTCAATAGAAGCTGCAAAGCATGTGAATCTATTTCCACTTTTCAGTTTGAACCTGCACTATAAATTCCATACATGGATATTGAATCTTTTAGGTAAGAGATAACCTGGATCAGTGCCAGATTGCCATTTGGAAGTTCTACACATCCCTGCCCTTCTTCTTTACGTGAATAGTTTATACCAAGTGAAAAGTCCCGACGTCGGCGTCTCGCCACCACGCCTGCCCATACGTCTTCCCAACTCCTATTCTATAATACTTGCCATCACTTCTTCGTCGTACAATCAGCACCCAATACTGTCGAAGCTTCTTTGAGATGGTCTTCCCAGTGCGTCGCTCAGCCTCCTCGTCTCGCCGGCTAATGCTGCCCATGAGAGCGAGAGCCAGGATCTCTCCAGAAGCTGCATCTTCTGAGGCGAGATCGAAGACGGCCCATCCGATAGGAGAGCCATCTTGGGCCAGTATGAATTGAGCCATGGAGCTGGTTAACCTGGCGTGAGATGAGTATATATCCGCGTTGGAGGCCCGGGTAGCGTCACACTCTTGTTTAGGGCTCAGCGTTGTTGTCACAGCTGCAATGCGTTTCGCTCGTGCCTGGAGACTCATCTTCCTCAGGTTGCTGTCTTCGAACACGATGGAGACACAAAGATTTTTGGCTCTGTCAATGGTTAAAAACCGCACGCCGCACGGAACATGTGCCCATGTCCAGGTTGGCAGCTTGAGAGGATCTGGAATCACCGCTCCCTCTATCCCTTTAGTCACTTGCCAGAGCAATTGGTTCGGAAGAGACTCTTTCCACACTCCAAAGGCATATTCGCACGCAATCTTCTTTCCCAGTTCCATTCGCAGCCCTTCGAGTGCAATCAACCTGTCTGTTGCATAGGTCAACTGGCGATCACTGTACTGCTCTATGATATTCTTCCAGCGTGTATTCCGTGAGACACTATAGCACCTCTCACCCGTCTCGCGCTGTGTGATGGCTTTGCACGACCAGATGATGGTTCCCTTGGTGAAGAAAACTATGCGCCTCGACAGGAGCCATTCCTGGGTAGCCCAGGCGCGGCTGTTGAGTACACCGAACTCTGGAAACGTATTGGTAGCGGTATCCCGCCGGACAGTTGCGAAGACCCGTATCCCAGGCGCCTCAGACACATCACTACCGTGAGAGAAGAAGCTGGGAATTTCTACGGATGGAGGCAGTGGATGGCGAGGGAAAAGGAATCCTTCCCAGCAGCCTGGAGTATGAGACGCGGCGATTGTGAGTTCAGCTTGTTCGTATATAGAGCCCATGCGCTCTGATTCTTCCAGCCAGTCCTGATGGTCGTCTTGCACAATGCAGAGCGAATCAATCCAGACATAGGCGAGACCGATGCTGCGAGCAACGGTTACCGCGTCCTGAAATGTCTTTGGAATCGACGTCCAAGGAATGTCTTGGAGATGGTTGTGGAGATTTGCCCGAGTTGTCTTCAAGGGCGGCCTCCCAGAAGAGCCCCAGCAATGGCTCAAGGCTGCATATCTTCCACGTTGGCCTCCTGATGGCAGCAGCCTTACTTTGTTTCCAGAAACATGAATAACCCTGCTTGGTAGTTCTGGAAGCTGCGATTCGTCGATAACACTCCCTGATAGCGTTTCCCAGCAGGATGCATGATCCCTTTTACATGCCTCTACCCACCTCTGGAGCAACACAAATGCTTCATCACACGCTGGCCCTCGCAACTGTGGCCTGCCTACAATATCATGACGGCGTTGTGGGCCTTTGTCTACATATAGTTGTAAGTCAATCTTGCTCAGCATCTGGCTGTAAGCCCACCCACATACGTTGCCCTTGTGTGTAGAGCCTGATCTTGGCTTGTAATAGATGGTTAGTGGGTGCTACGGTTGTAGTGACATTGAACCCCGTCAGATGCGACCCCCCAGTTGGAGGGTCAGGAAATGTCGAACCCTGAGAGTCTGATTTTGGCTCGAGAACGACGGCATCCGGAGCCAATGAAAATATCGCTAGCTGATTGCTGTTGATGACGGAGCTCTGGAGGCTGTCGAGGAGGGCCTTGTGGATGAGGGCACACAATCGGCAATCTGTTGCCGACTGGGCAAGAGTAGAGCCATCTTCAAGCAACACCATGCCCTGCCTGGCTCCCAGACGCGACGCCAGGCTGGCAGGCAAGTCCTGACTCAGAGCGCTGAGAGAGATGGAGCTGCATTTCGCGCACAGCTCCATGATCCGGCTACGGCCAATAGCTGCTGGCGGACACACGCCACCATGCTTTTATCGAGAACGGTGGCTTCTTTGCCGTGCGATCGACTGATGGTGTTGAGGGAAAAGAGTGACTAATGGGCGACTGCCCTTTGTGGCATGGCGCCCTAAATAACCTTAGCGGCGAGCCACGAAGCTCAAGCTCTTCAACCTCGTGATAGCTTCTCCGGAAATGGATCGAATAAATCAGGTGACGGCTTTGTTGGATATTCCCCGACCGGTCTGGGACACGGCAAGCCCGGTGACTAGAGATGGATTTGCAGCCCAGCGCTATGGGGTAACAGGCTCAGAACTTGGATTCGGAACTTGGACCCAGACTGAGGCAGACTGAGGCAGACTGAGACGCAGGATGCTGCAGGCCATTCTCTCCATCTAGACAACCTTTCCTGCAATCTCACCGCGCTCATCTCATAGGTGAATTCTGTTGGCCGACCGCCAAGGATCGGAGTCAATAGGCGAGGAAACTTTTCTCGCTGAACCCGCCCGCAACAGTGGGCAGTCCAAACTCTGGACAACTCAGGTGAGGTGATGGTAAACATCACGTCAATGGCGCTTGAACCGGACTGTGCGTCATTGCTGTCAGCTCACAGCAAGCTCGGCAGTTTCGGGGGGCGCAACGAGAAGCGTCTTGGAAAGTCGCAGAGTAGCCTCACTGGGCTTGGCCCGCAACCTTAATGCCCTCGAACGGCGTACAGTCCCTCTTCTTACTGTGTGGGAGGTGGGAGATTTGCTGGAGCTGAGCTTCCGGACAAGCTACAGGTTGCACATGTCAAACTGTCAGAGTTCTGACATGACATGAGCACATTTCCGCCACTTTTATGCACCCATGCCAAGTTTTTGATGGTTTTATTTTATTTTATTCTCAATTCACTCACTACGGATTATTAATTGTTAGACACTACTAGGTATCATTGTGCCGATCACTCAAAACAAGGTGAAGTAGCTTGACGAGAAATTACGGTCCAGGTGCTCTCGACGAAGCGTTGGTTTTTGCTTGTTTCTTGGAAACTTGAAGAGCCAATCTCTGTCTTCGTGGTATCTCCAGACGGAAAAACAGGGAAACAAACACTTGTGCCTCTCACACACTTGGGTATCAAAACTAGAGAGGCCTCAATTCCATTCAAGTCTGTCGTAGATTAGACAGCAGAGGTGCCGTTGTGGACTGGTTGGGCAACCGGCGGCGGCATAGCGGTGGTATCTCCAGAAACACCGGAAACTCCAGAGGCCGGTCGCTCTTTGGTAATATGATGAGTAGGCGGTTCGTCGCGCAATCTTCGTCGGTGTTCCCAGAAGAGCCATGACTCAAGAAAGATGAGGCACAAAGTGAAGAAGCTGGCTGTGTTAGAAGAAAGAATTCGGAAAGATACGGGTTCTGTTCACTTACAAGGCAAGGAAGTTGAATGCTTCAATTGCGTGCTTCCGGCCACAGAGCCCGCTTCGGGGGATCGAGACATGGCATCGATTGTGGCTCCAATCCTGAGCGGCAAAGATGAATGCCGTGATCCAAAGATAGCTGAAGACGAGATGAAGAGGCGCCATGACACCTCCATACTTGGGTAAGCATGGCAGAATCATTCCAACGAGGTAGAAAACCATTGTTATGACAGCCTGACGCACACATGTTAGAAGAATCACTAGCCGGGACAATAAGGGGGGGACTAACGATGACTTCCATGTACACGATATCAACGCCTCGGCTCGAGAATCGCTCCAAGAAGTTGCCCACCAGACCAGTGACAATAATGGCAGAAATCCATACCATAATATAGCAGAAGAGAGAGACCCCTCGTATAGCAGTGTTGTGAAGGTTGGCTCCAAGCGCCATGTTGAAGAGGTTTCAGGAGTTGAAATCTTTAAACTGATGTAAAACTAGCGGTAACTGAACCTTGAGGAAAACAAAAGGTGAAAGAAAGGGAAAAAGCACAGGAGCTCTTTCAGCTTCTATATATGAAATGACAATTCTCACTCTGATGGGCCCCTCCATGAGTCTCGCACCATCACCTCCCGACACAGTGCCGAAGCAGCCGCAGCGGATAAAGAAGGAAATGCTTGGCTTCAACAAAGTTTGGCCATTATGAAGATAAGAGGCACAACTAAACAAGCACCTGGACTCGGTGGCCTAGTTAGTAGCCGATGGCTAGCATTGCTAATAGAGCAGCCGCCCGCTTAGGACGGGTTGTAATGCTTACAATGGGGAACGTTAAGCCACATCATGCCGATGCCGTCCATACTATGGGCCACTCTCTACAGGGCGGATGCTGGTGAATCAACTGCCCATATTAATTGCTGTGAAAGTCGGGTTTCCATGGGTATAGGCCGGGGCTGTTGGTCTGATTGTAGCTCTACTCGTTCGCTCCGAGGCGAGGAGCTGCAGAGCGATCGTACGATGGTGGGTAAGATTGCTCCAACCTGTTTTCCCGACGTGATAGAGCTTGGAGCGGTTAGGGTTCCCACGATCTGATGCCTTGGAGCTATTTGTCGAGATTGACTTGCGGCTCGATCGGGGGCTCAAAGATGTGGCCTTGGATGGCAATGAGCTTATGTTGTTAATAGCGATATTCTGTAAATGTTGTACATGTAGATAGAGGATATGGTAAGAATTAAATGAGGCTGATATAGGTGTGCAGTGAATGTTAAGTGGAAATAAAGATGGAGTATGCCACCTATAAACACAGTTATATATGTGCATACTCCTAGACTCCTCTCTGAGGAGACTACGGAGACATCATTTGGATGTTCAATTCCACGTTGTTCCCTAATCTACCACTAGTAGAAGAGCTGCATGCGTGCGTGAGAGATGACATGCATATAGGAAGAATCTCATGAGCACCCGTATTTTCCATCAAATAACACATGTATTTGAACTTGCATGGGTAGACTGGAACAATGACGGCTGGCAACTTAGGTAGGTATGCGAAGCAGAATGCGAGCGTGATTCATTTTTAGCACCTCTGTCTCCCAAGTTCAAATATTCCACATACCCGCTTACCTGATAGTAGTTCAGCTGCATTCTCATCTTCGTCAGGGTGCTGGCTGGACGGTTGGGACGCCCAAACAAAGACACAACAAATGGACGGGAAGGGGTTGAACGAGGGCCCTGCGTTTAGCCTCGCTTGACGCCAGCTGCATCTGAAGAAACAGGCCGACATGCAAAACAGAATAAGTGCATGACAGGTGCATAATTTGGTAAAGTGTGTTTCATTATTATGCCGTTTTTATCACAAAATTCACTCGAGAGCGAAGCCTGGCGTGAATTGCATGCCATCATCAAACCGAGCTGCTAGTAATAGTAATTTGCACGGTCCCCTACATGATAACTGGGTGTTACTTTCGGGTGAGTTTGCGCCGTACCTCCCAGGTGCTTGTAGGTGCCTCCGCCACTCTCGGTAGTGCTATGGAAACGTCTGGTCTTCATTACCACTACGCGCAGCTCAACCGAACCAGCAACTATTCTGAACATTGCATAGCATGGATACATCCAACACACGGCAAGGCATCGAGAACACTGATGCATCACCGCCATCGCCACCCCCATGGCCTTCATCTCCTCCAGATGCCTTGTCCCTTTATGGGATTGCTCGCCACTATTGCAGAGAGAGAATCCTTGTCGAACCACTTCGATGGACAAACCGTCAACTCGAGCTTCTACGCATCTCCTTCAGTGAACCATCCCTTGAGCCGCTTCCAAGTTTCCTAGAACATGCTGGCGAACGCGCTGGTTTAACTCATATAAAGGATTATTATGACAATTACCATGAGTTTTATAGACGCGTAGAATGCGTTCAGGAATTGATTTCAGGGAGAGGAACTCCATTGGACATCGTCCCTTGGTTTGTACTTCCCCTTCATAACCGCTCCCGAGAACTACCTACTCATGCATATGAGGTGGTATATCACTTACCTAGGTACCAGTAGCTAATTGCTTGATACATAATAGGGGCGATCTTCAGTTTCTTATAAAGCAGATTCCTGCCGCCATCATTGCCTGCGACTATATGTATCCTCGATACGTGAGAGACCGATTAAACAGCTATCCAATTGCGACATATATCGATCGTGAATTCCTCGAAGCTATGCGGGAAGAGTCATCCCATCTTTCAAGACGCAACTCTACTAACCTTCCTGTGCTAACCTCAATTCTTCATCAATTGAAAAAGATCAAACCGGCAAACCCATTGAAGGATCCATATATCGCGGCACTTATGATTGCTCTAGCTCAAAATCTGCGAGAGCATGTACTAGACCAAAGGCCCGAAATACTGCCTAAATTGACGCTATACTCGGTACGTCTATGATGAGGAGAATTGACATGTCATGAGCTAAGAAAATGATTTAGTCGTACGTTTTGACTTCATTCGAATCTGCAGAATGCATGCATCTCTTTAAAGCCGACCTCCCGTCTTCATTATTAGATATGTTCCAATATCCTACCCTCGCTCCAGCGATTTCACCACCCGTCACCATTCAGGTTTTCACGATCCCACTTGAGCCTGCTCTTACCTTTCGCGATCGCCTTTTCGCCCTGATAGTTCCAACAACCCTAGATCAGCCCAACAAAAACAAAGGAAAAATGACAAGTGACTGAAGGCGGTAGAATTCTCCATTAAGTTTTTGGCCCTCGGATGTCAGGCGACAGATTAGACCTGCAAGGATACGCACGATCAATAAATACTCTAAGGGGTTCACATTGAAGCAACATGATGACGAACCATTTCACTTATGTTTAGATACACTTGAGACAGTAATAGCCGAAAAGAGAAATGCATATTGTATTAGGTGGATTAGATTGATCCTCTACAAACACATCTTGGAGCGATTCTACTAGCTTGACAACCGCCCTTACTTGATTAGGGGCTATTTGAAGCTCGTTTTCAGAGCAATCACACCTGTTTTCGCGTCGACCCGACTCGATGGTTCCGAGGATGCACTGAGCATGGGGGTGGCTACTGCCTCAATTCTTTTAAGTTTTTTTCTGCCATGAAGAAGCTTAGATAGAGATTTTGACGCTTCTCCATGTTAGAAGGAGAAAGTCCCGATAGTTTCAGATAGAAAGATGTGCCATGTGTACGTAGAATTGTTCTTCTGTATTTCTCAGAGATCACTACAACGTTTGATATTCAGACAAAAAACCCAGATTGAAACACGAATGTGAAGATAAGGGGTAGCGTGTATGCAGCTAAGATCATATTCAAATAGATTGAACATTATAATAAGCTCAAATCTATTGAATCTATTGTCCTGGATTTAAACAATAGCATGTTGGGAACACAGTGACTACTGGACTGAGGCCAAAGTGAAACCTCATCAAATCTCCATTCACTTGCGCTATCAGAATGCATTGATTCACTGCCGCAAAGATCTGCCTGCATTATTTTACCACCAACATCAAACAGATATTTAAACCCCCCAGAGTCTCTAATTGCTGTTGCATATAACTTGTCCACCCCCTGAACTCTTCACCAGATACATATCTTCTCTTTTTTCATTGCAGCACGCCTATATTTGCCTGATCTGAACCGTGCAGTAAGTGGTTTTAAAATGATGCCACGATAATTGTCCTTCGTTGTAATGGAAAGCTGCGGGTGAGATTCTACCTCAAGTAGGTAGGTAGGTACCTAGGTATGACAGCATACCTAACAAGTAGCAAGTATCTATGATAACATACCTACGGTACCTGACAACCTGAGTTCTGAGTCTTGACGAGCGCGGAGTCATCAAAGAGTATCTACTATATCTACTATATCTACTATATCTACTATATCTACTATATCTACTATATCTACTATATCTACTATATCTACTATATCTACTATATCTACTACATCTACTACATCCATACTTGGATCAATATTGCGAAAGGGCATAATCACGCGACACTGGGGCCGGTAGAATCTGATACCTGTCTTTCAGCTCCAATGCGTCACAATCTACTCTACTTAACGATTACATCTCGGTAGCCACCCCGGCTGCTATAAGATTGCGGTGTGAGAGCAGTCGTATCTATACAGGCATTGACATAGTCTAGGTAGTCCTCAGAAGAAATTAAACGCGCATGCACCAGTGACTGCATAGCACACTCGCAAGCGGTCCCTTGTTCAATGGACTTACTTAGAGCATCCTGGAGACGTGGGGATATAGATACTTGCTTGGATTAGATATTGATAGTTAGTGTCTCGATCTGCATCTACTACTTTTACTTACATCAATACCCGCATTGAGTTATCCAAGCCACCGGCAGTCAACCGCATAATGCGCTCATGATTCCCGTTTGTGTCGCAACTACAAGTAGCAGCACTTTGTAAGGAGACTCCAATTGTCATGGATGTGTTTGCCAATCAAGGGTACCCATACACCGAGATTCCGGTAGATGCTCGTTGTTGGGTGAGTGGTGGTGGATTGACGCTGTTGAAACTACATATGTACATGATTCTTTCCCAGCGTCAATTGGTATGTCGTGCATGTACAAGCAATTTCTCCATGCGTCTCCTCATCATTTCCAACAACTACTAGATATGTACCTACCAGACTAATACCACTTCCTACCTACTACTAATACTGTCCCGTACCTCGTAATCCGATTCATCTGTGCAACGCCAGAAACGGGCTGTGCCGGTGTTTGTGTCCCCTTGCGGTAAATTATTTACCCCGCCGGGTTCGCCACCGCATCCATACAAAACAATCAACTGCTGAGAGACAGACACAGAATCCCACTCCAGCCTTGGAACGCTAGGCACAACTAGTAGGCACCCGACCCTCTTAAATCTTATCGTGGCCGGACATCGCCCTCGGCTGATCTGCCTCGATCAAACCACCTGCTAAGCTGGATGAGCATCGCGTCGACAGATGCTCGTTACAGGGGAGCCTTGATCGATTCTCATGCCTGAGGGGCTTCTATCTGGGCGCCTCATGCACAGTCCCGTTCCCTGACACCCTCATCCACGCCACTTCCACTTTCTGTCTGTTCCGTCTGTGCGGATCCAAGCACAGGCACCACCAACATCCGCGCGAGATTCAGCTCCATCTCCAGCCCCAGCCCAGCTCCAGCCTAGCCTCGCTTGACTTGCCTGGCTGCCAGCATGTCCTCGGCGTCTCAGCAGCGGCGACGACGAGATGAAGACGACTACATTCCATTTGGACCCCCATCACTGCCCAGCACTCAGACACACCTCGACAACATGTCGTCGGAACTTGGCTGGCCACCGCCGGTGACCATGTCCGACTCGAGCGACGAGGATCTTCGAGACCACCGCACGCCTGCGCGACGCATTTCCCGCCGACACATGCCGCTCGAGGGAATGCTGAACAACGGCCGATACTCGCCCGACGTCTATTCAGTCACCTCCGATCCCCCAAGCCAGACGCCCATGCTTGATGCCGGCATGCAATCCCAATACGCCGGCATGCACTCGCAGTACTACGCCACCAGAACGCCCAATCCAGGGCCACAGATTAAGCCGCATCTCTCGTCTCTAGATATCCCCCGGCGCTACGGCAGCAATGCCATCCTCGACATGTATGCGCTCACCTACGTCAGCGACCCTGACCCGAATCTTCTATGTCCAATCTGCCATGACCCCCTCGTCGACCCTGTGACGACTCCGTGCGACCATACCTTTTGCTATCGGTGCTTACGCAGAAGCATGGCATCGAGCCCCGCGGGAGGTGCCTGCCCAATCGACAGAGAAACTCTGCTGTGGACAGATTGCTCCAGCTCTATACGGCTGATTCGAACGCAGCTCAATAACCTAATCGTTAAATGCCCTCATCACGGTAGAGGGTGTGAGGAGGAGATGAGGAGGGAGGTGGTGGAGCGGCATGCAACCATGGAGTGCAGTTTCCGAGAGTATCCTTGTCCAGATGCCGAATGCTCCAAGACAATCCGCTACAAGGCGACAGATGACAAGTGTCAGCATCAAGAGAGTAGCTGCATGTTCTGCGATGCCATTATAGAGGACGCCGATCGTGATATTCATCTACTGCAGTGCCCCAAGAGCAAGACGCGGTGTTCAGGTTGCTGGATGCTGATTCTCCGCGAGCAGGAGGACGGCCATCGAAACCTGGACTGCGATGCCATTGAGGTGGGGTGCCGTTTTCAAAGTGCCGGCTGCCCAGTGAGGGTTGTGCGGGCACACCAGGAGCTTCATGCCCTTTCTTGCCCTTTCCACCCGGACTCACCATCTGGCGCCATTATACGCAGCCAACGTGAGCTCATAGAAACGTACGGCAGCTTGGGAAGCCAGCTCCGTCACATGCGGGCCAGGCAGGACGAGATAAGCCGACGGCTCGATCTGGTTGCAGGGCCGACCAATCGCCCGGGCGAACCGGGCTTCAGAGATCCCAGGGCGATGCAAGACCTGGATGCCGGATTCGAAGAAGTCCATCACAACATGAGCCATCTCGAGGCACGGCAGAGCATGTGGATGGTCAACCAAATCATGCCTGTTCGGGAAGAGGTTGCTGAACTACGAAATAGCAACAACATGCTTCGAATGCAAGTCAACTACCTCCTAAGCCGCGTCCGTGATGAAGGCCACGCCCGACCAACCTCGAGTGGAACAACGAGGCCCACGTCGATGGGCTCTGATACGGCGCCGGAGCCAATGCCTCCCATGATGCGCCAAAGACGACGATCATCCGCCGCAGAGGTCGACCTTCCCCGATTATAGATAGCGATTTTCTTATTTGTCAAGTAATGGAACCTTTTGGAGCGATGCTGCGTTTATGAAGACGGGTTACCGCCGAGTAATACATCGAACACGGCGTCTAAAACTAGGAGAAACTTGCTGGGTTTTGCTTTTTCATCTCTTGGCTCCAAGCGCTGTGGGAGCCGCCTCTTGCTTCTGTTTCTAGCATTTATACATGATAATGTCCAAACTGCGTCTTGTGTTTTTCCCACGGTGGAAAAATAAAGGGAGGGTCATTCATCCTCAGCACCCTAATGCCCTGGGCTATTATGGCTGATGGCAACTCCGCCGCCAGCCATGCAGATGGAGCGAGAGTGAATCGGGTGTGGCCAGGACGAAGCAGAAATCCGCAGCTCGGCAGCAGCAACAAGACTGAACTTATTCTTTAATCCCGACTCTGCAAAGGCCGATCTCGCAAGTCTCCGGCGATTGGCAATCCCCGCTCGCGGACTTTTGAAAGTTATTTGGCCTCAAGGCAGCACCAATTAAATTTACTTTGATGTACGGAGTATGCTTGTTTGAACTGGCGGAGTTTTACAACAGGCCTAGAGCTGCACTAGTAAGGGCAGAGGGAGAGGAGGGCTGCAAAGCCGCCGATATTTTGTAGTCATAGACTCCGATTATCTAAATACAAGGAACATTTGGGGTTTCTCTTCTTCTTCCTGCTGCCTTGTCTCAGCTTGATCTCCCGTGATTGCTTCTACTTACATGTCTCGTATCCAAGTGTCCAGCAGCTATTAGGCAGAAGCGGCCGGAGAATGCCTTGCACTACCATTGATACTTGCTGCACCAACGAATAAGACCACAGCAGCCGCTTACCAAAGCATGATGCGCTGCTACCATGGTTAATCGCCCTATTTCTGGAAGCCAAAGGAATCAACCAGGACTTGACCAACACGGGCCAGAGAGAAAGCTTTGGGCACACAAGGTTCTGCCCCGGTTCTTCAACTCGACATCTTCTTGAAATCGCCCTCAGGGTCTGCCTACCTACAGTACCTACAGTACCTACAGTACAGCCTGCTGACAAGGCTCAATTCCAACACCCGCTAGCGTCACTTACAGGGGCCTGGCCACTGAAGCCGTCGCTAGCAAGCAAGTGGCAGCGGCCCCGCACAGCGCTCGAGGACGCAATCGCAGACGCAGACTGAACGACATCACTTCTCCACCACGGCCGTGGGGTCTGGCCTGGACTGCATCTTTGTCAGCCTCGCCATTCCACCTGCTTCTACGTCTCAGCAGCCGTCACCGCACACTTGCGTTCCGTTTCCTTTGTCTTTCGTCATCATCTACCTGTCGCCGGAGTTGGATCTCGGTCACTTTTCTCTCTTTTGTGCACGGCCGTCTCCGCCATGGATCCCAACGACCAGAGCTCGCCCGCGGGGCCTGACGCTCCTGATAAGGAAAAGATGGAGCAGGTAAGGCGTCTCGTGCTTCGCTGGCCGCCATGATGCTGTGCACGAGGGCTAACGGCAATGCAGATTCGGGCACGGCGTCTGGCCAAGCTGGGCAACCCAGTTGCCCCCAAGCCCGCAGAGAGCAAGCCTGCCGAGGCTGGCAGCTCGACATCACCAGCTCCCGAGGCCGACGAGACGAACAAGACCAAAATCACCATCACACCGGCGGCCCAGCCGGCTTCAAACCCCTTTGCGCAGCTGGGCGTGAGGTCGAGCAGGCCGGCCGAGTCCGTGAGCCCTACAGGTACTACTTTTCGTGTTGCTCGCAAGAGGTCCGCCTCTCAAGTTGACGACGTCCTTTCAGCGCCGCCCCCGCGTAAAGCTACACCCGTCCAGGTCGAATCCGATCAAGACTATGCCGATAGAGTGCTCAGCCAGATCTTCCGCGTCACTGTCGACCCGCACCGGATGACAAGCAACCAGGGCAACCACCGTCTGACGTTTCTCCCGAATCTGAATCAAGAGCTGAATGATTCTGGGGAGCCCCTGAAGCTGTCGGTCAATAACCTGGACCAGGCCATTATAGAAGCATGCAGCGGCTGGGCTTCTGAAAAGCCGTTGATGCAGTATCTCCTCCCGTCCTGGAAGAGGGCTGTGAAAGCAGCTGCCGGAAACAAGCAGACAAGTGGTTTCAAGTTTGAGCTACACGAGGAATCGAAGCGCCTTTGTATGAGCAACTGCCTCTTCGCCGTCACCATGCCGGTGCTATATGGGTCAGTTGCATGTGATTTGGGGGGATGCCCCTATTAGTTTTCATATCTGATGCTTTTATTCTCAGCCGCGAACCAAACCCAGAGCATGACACCATCGCTCCCTATCTCCTCAGGGGCCCCATAGACGAAGGCGGAATATGCTTTGATTTCATCAAGGAAGCAATTAAGCGATTTGACGACGACGAAACATTTCCTGCCATCTTCAATGATGCCATGGTGAAAATCAGCACCCAGCTCTCTGGGATGTCCATGGGCGACGAGTACAAGCCCCATATCCAAGTCAGTTTTCCATTTTCTTCCTCAAACATAGGAACCGGCACCTTAGTCTCCATAACCAGCCATAAGGCAAGCTGACATTTGATATTTTCAGGCACTGCTAACATACACACGTTTCCCTGTCCTGGTATCTAATCTTGCAAAGCATGCTTGCTTTAAACTCCCCCTATCACCCCATAGTATTGAGAGAAACACTATACTCGGCCCCTTCTTCCGCCTATCTCCCTTACAACCAGAAGTGATCAAAAGCTACTTCCCTGGATCTCGCACTCTAGACAAAGGGCGCATCACTAATGCGCAGGACGCTCTGAGAATGGTGCTGAGGACGCACCAAGATGACTTATTTGTTATTACCAATGCTTTCATTCGGGCGGGGCCCGATACAAGAAACCGTACACTAGACTGGTTTGCATACATTTTAAACACAAACCACAAGCGGAGAGCCATCCAAGTTGACCCCAGAGAGGTGGCCTCGGATGGGTTTATGATGAACGTGACGACCATTCTGGATCGATTCTGTGAGCCCTTCATGGAAAACGATTTCAGCAAAATCGACAAGATTGATGTACGATATTTCAGAAGGCAGCCGCGTGTTGACATCAGCGATGAGACCAAGCTCAACGCCGATCAAGCTGCCGCCGATAAGTATTATGCGGAAAAGGAAGACGGGGAATCAAACTTCATCTCCGAGGCATTCTTCCTGACGCTTGCCGCTCATCACTACGGGAGCGAAGCACTTAACTCTCAGCTTAAAAATCTAGACCGTGAAATCAAATACTTGGAGAAGCACCTCAAGGCTATGGAGGCGGAGCGGCCTAAGCTGGCGAATGCTCCGCATCAGCTGAGGCTGTTCGAGGAGACACTAAAACGCCATACCAATGTGTTGGAGAAGACGATAGCTCTCAAGTATGCTATTGAGGGCGTTCTTCTTGATGAGAGGATGCAGAGCACATCTTTGCGGTTCATGCGATACGTCACTGTATGGCTGCTACGAATTGCAACAGGATCCGACTACAAGCCTGGAACGGAGACTGAGACTATCAAGTAAGACCTGAGCACTCAATGATGTGCCTTGGAAATTTCTTCAAGAAGTGCTAATGTTGCTTTAGGTTACCCATCGAGATAGGAAACTCTGGTGCCTTTGCATACCTCCCCGAGTATACCCTTCAGAATATCGTCGATAACTTCAAATTTGTGTTCCGGTAAGAATGGCTTATTCCCATTGAGCGCTGCTATAAAGCTAATCAAAACGACTTTTCTACACAGATGGCTGCCTACCATTCTCCCCAGTGCAGTGGGCGAAGAAATGATTGCCTTGTGCATCACATTCCTTCGGTCTTCCGAACAGATCAAAAACCCTTACCTTAAATCATCGCTGGTGACTCTACTCTTTTCCGGAACCTGGCCGCTTATGCATCTCAAGAAAGGCGTTTTAGGTGACCAGCTCATCTCCATCAAGTTTGCCAATGACTACCTCCTGCACGCTTTGATGAAATTTTACATTGAATGCGAGTCCACGGGAGCCAATTCACAATTCTACGACAAATTCAATATCCGATACGAAATCTTCCAGGTCATCAAATGCGTATGGGTCAATGACGTCTACAGACAGCAGCTTGTCAAGGAGAGCAAGTAAGTAAAAGCCTGGGGAATGATGTTTTGGTAGTGTCCGGCACGTATCTAACAAAGCTTCAAGGGTGAACCGAGGCTTCTTTGTCCAGTTTGTCAACATGCTTCTGAACGATACCACATATGTTCTCGATGAAGCATTCACAAAGTTTCCCAAGATGCGTACTCTTGAGAAAGAGCTCGAAGACCGCAGCCTTCCTGCAGAGGACCGGCAGAAGAAAGAGGAAGAGCTGCAGAACTTGGGAAGCCAGGCGACATCCTACATGCAGCTAGCCAACGAGACGCTCGAAATGATGAAGCTCTTTACAAAGACGTTGAGCGAAGCCTTCACCATGCCCGAGATTGTGTCGCGTCTGGCAAGCATGTTGAACTACAACCTCGAGACGCTGGCCGGCAAGAAGGCTGCTGCCGAGTTGAGCGTTTCCAACAGGGAAAAGTACCACTTCCGGCCCATTCAGCTGCTCTCCGACTTTGTCGAGATTTACTTGAACCTCGGTTCATCCAAGGTTTTTATCGAAGCCGTCGCTGCAGACGGCCGCTCATACAAGGGAGAGGTGCTCGACCGCGTCTCGCGGATCCTCTCGTCAAAGCACCAGAAGGATCCCGCCGACATTGCCCGGTGGGACAAGCTCAAGGCCAAGTTTGCGGAGACCAAGGAGCTGCAGGACCAGGCCGAGCTCGACCTGGGAGACATTCCGGCCGAGTTTGAGGACCCCATCATGGGAGAGCTGATGAAGGATCCCGTGCTTCTGCCGAGCAGGCACATTGTCGATCGGTCGACGATTGTGCAGCATTTGCTGAGTGATCCCAAGGATCCGTTTACAAGACAGCCCATGACTATTGAGGACGCGGTTCCCCAGACGGAGTTGAAGGAGAGGATTGAGAAGTGGCGGCAGGAGAAGATTCAGGCGTCCAAGGAGAAGCTTGCCGCGGGGGATGATGCCATGGACACTGCTGAGGGTTGATAGAGAGAGGAAACACACACATACGAGAAGAAATACTGTTTCTGCTGGCCTGTGGATGAAAGAAGTGGAAGATGATTTTTGACATTGTGGATAAAGAGCAGAATTGTTTCTTCTGCCGTATTCTTACACCTTTTTTTTTAACTCTCCTTTTTTTTCCCCCTTGTTCGCTCTGCTGATGTTAGGGATGGGAAGGGAGTGGGAATTTCATCTGCGGGCGAAGAACAAAAGATTCTTTCTCTATTTGACTGACAATCGATACACTTAAGGGGGAAAGGACAGTGAATAGATTCATGATTGCGCACTCTACGCTTTGGGGACTATCCCTAGTTCACCTTTCTGTCTACCTTCAGATCTACAATGGTGAGGGCACTCTGTCGACTTCCAAGGAAGATATATATAATGCCATGGATAGCACTGTAGGTAGCTCTCCACCTTTTCTTCTATACAAGGTCATCAAAAGCTGCATTCAATGCCGTTTCCCCAGCTTTGTTAGTAGTAGCCAGTGAGGGAGCCGGTTTCCAGTGAAATAAGCGTGGGCAAACTGCAGCTTTGACAAAATGATTGTATTGTCACAAGCTCGACTCGGCACAGATAAGCAATAGGCCAGTCTATTTGTCAGACATGACCAAGAAAGAAGAAGCACTGATCCGCCAAGAGAGCATGCTCAAGCACGAATACGCAGGCACATGACAAGAGAGAGATTGACGCTGTCGTATAAGAATGGGGTGCCAGTGCAAGGGGGTAAAATCACGCAGTCATGCCATTTGCTACAACAATAAGCATTAAGAGAGAGACAAGAAACAAATCATCCCGAAAGACAAATGCGGGTGGCGAACAGAGGTGTGTGAGAAACATCAAGACGCAGAGAGACAGAGAGAGAGATTCTTACAAATCACGACGACAGCCTATTTTTGTACGAACCAAGCACGAGTCAGCCCGCCCTCCTGGCCGGCCGGTTCGCTTAGCAGCTAAGTCCGAACATTGTGTAGCGCAAACATCGAGAGAGAGGCCAGAGATCTCATCAGGGGGCAGGCTAGGTTTCGACGCTTTGGGCTGCTGACAGGAATATTGTCCGACGACCCGAGACATGCCTAAGGAATGAGCCGACATTCATGCATCGAAACCATCTTGGTCTTCGAGATCGGTTTGCCAGCCGGTGGCCGCGACAATCGGCAGCCACTCCCGGAGTACTCGTAGAACGAAATATTTGTTTCATGGCCACGCGAGTCCGGTAGGTGAATGCGAGCACTGGCTGCTGCTCGGTGTCTACGGAACACAAGTACTTTCGTATATGCTCCGTATTCTACAGAGGCCGCCATCACGCGTATACACTCTCGTACCTGTACATGCAGGTAGTATATAGGCGTTAAAGAACAGTCCGGAACATTAACTTGTAAGCCTTATTCCTGCAGACTTGCGTCATTCGACGCCATTGTGTTAGGCCCAGCGGTGGGTAAAACCGAGATGATACTATTTAATCTCTTGTCCCCGCGATTGAGGGGGCTGCCGCGAGATCCAATACATCAATACAGGTACATGAGCCGAAAGCCGCCGACGAGACTTAACAGTATCCATTAGTAACAGCAGATGATACACGAATCAGGTGCCTGAGCACTAAGCGGCGGGACTGGAAAGACTTGGTGTACGAGTAGATGAGTGACTCCGCAAAACCATTCCCGGCAAGCTGGGTCGTTTCTAGGCGGACCTACCACAGTAGGAAGCTTAGTCACTGCTGAACGACCGACAAACAAACCGCAAGAGAAGAGACTCCACACGACATCTTCCCACAATAGCAAACAACAAACGCTCCAAAGAGCATCGTGGGGGCCACGGCCTTAACCTAACGTAGTACTAGGAAGCACTGGGCTGGGTGGCTATGAAACGCATGGCACCAGGACACAGAGGTAAAGTCCGTTCTTCGAACTCCGCACTTCGTAACTGTATGAGAGCCCGAGCCCCGTGCCAAGTCAGGTGAAACAATCCCAACAAAAGGCTAGCCAGGTTGTGTTGCGTCCCCCGTCCAGGTATACATACATGTAGTACATAGTACATGCTCGGAGTACTCGTAGCAATCTCTCGGCAAAGCCCCCGTGGTTTGCCGCAGGCCGTTTACCGCACCACTCGCCGACGATCGACAGATAGTGCCGTGCTGGCCTCTTGGACATCCATCAAAGGGCCAGGTAGGAGCTAGCGCTGCGACCTTCATGGCTGCAGTCAGCATCTTTGGCGTCGAAGCGGAGGGCCTCCCGTGTAATACTCCGCGCGCAGACAGCAAAACACGGAAGCTTTCTCCGAAAGCACAGGCGCTTAACGAATCGGTGAGCATACGTAATTCGGACATGGGCATCTGTTTAGTCGTAGACCGGCGACGACAGGCAGCTTGGCCTCAGAAGGTGTCCATTGCGACATGAGGAATCGGCAAACATGTATGAACTGGGGAAGCCTGACACACCCCCTCCCATACAAATCAGCTCAGGTGTCAGCCCAGCAGCCCAGCAGCCCAGCTCGCCTTCGCATAACTGCTCCGGAGAACTCGCAACAGTGCTGTTTCCTCGGGCCATGCCAGTACGGTACGGCAGCCCGTTGTGCCATCCTGCATACACTTCCTTGCTTGATGTGCCTTTAGCTTTGGGTCGGCACGGCTGTTGCTTAGCCACCCTCCCCGGACATGTCAGGCGACTGCAGCCCTCCAACTTCGGTTGCTACCACGGGAGCTTATGTCTTTCAGCTAGAGCTGTAAGGCCAAAAAGGCGGCCACCCTTTTCCTGCTAGCTCCAGCGACAGCCTAATTTGGATATCTGCCGCCAAGTGATAAGGCTCGTAGAAGCCCTCATCTTCCGGAAAAGCTGGTGCTCTAACCGAGTCGCACGTGCGGTATCAAGAGGGCCCCTATCGCGAAGAGTCCCATTGAACCCACAATAAGAATGCTAAAAGTGACTTAGCCCTCCAGAGTAGCCATATCCCCAGGACGCCAGCATCCGGAGGTTGTGAGTCTACTTAGCTAGCCGCCCGGCTTTGGCTAGGATGTCCAGCAGAAGCAGGGAATCCTTGAGCTTCCCCCACAGTGTACCAAGACTCCGACGCTAGGAGGCATATTTCGCCCCAATTCAACTCATGCGTTTCTCGGAGGGCATGTACGAAGTACGCCGTACAGTCAGGTTGATTCCAGCTTTTCCCGACAGATGTCGGCATGCCTTCGATTCACTGATGGGGACAGCCTATCAGATGTGCAGAGCCGAGGTCCGGTTATCAACTAACATCAGCGGCATGGTTCAAATTGTGGGCTAGAACTAGCTCATCCTTCGGAATGGCTGATATTCATTATGGTCCCGGCATTCGCTTCTGCTGCGTCTTTCACGCCAGTGGAATCTTTGCGTCTTGCGTCCCGCACAAATGCAGCTCTAGGCAACGCTGCCAGTAGCAGCAGAATTTTGCCGCCTTGGATAGCTAATGCTTCGTATATGACTAGTAATGGTACCGTGCTAGCCAATGCAGGCCGTGTAAATCGCTCATGGCCTACCTTGCCCAAGGATCTTGGAGGGGTCTGCAGACATTGCGCCTGTCTTCTTTGTCTAGCCGGAATGTGGGTAGAAAAGGCTGTATTGTAGCTCGGTGACCCCGGCTCGGCTCCAAATGAGACCTTCTTGCAACACTTATCCGTGCTCCGTCCATGCAGGCTTCCGGGACGCGGCAGGGATGAGAAGGACGCAAGCATGGCTTGTAGCACTACCACTAGTGCCAGACGTACGGAGCACTCCGTGCTAGCTCGCCAGATAGCCGTGTGGCCTAATCTAATTCCCTATCACAGTAGAGCTGGTGGCTTGCTAGTCGTGGCCACGCTGAGCAGCTCGTACACTTGGAGACACTTCCACCAAAGGGGTCTTGACAAAGAGAATCTAGATCAGCCACCTACTCGTACGTTGGCTCCAACGGCGCTCCAAATAGTTCGTTTCGGCCTTGTTAATAATGGCTGTAATGGCGCCACCTTTCACTTCTGCGGAAAAAGAGGTTAGTTCTGTGGCGGGGATCAACAAGCAAGAGTTTCAAGGCAGCTTTTTCGACAAATATTTCATCCGGATAACCAAAATCGTTCTAGCAAGGCGCCACGAAAGAGAGAGAGAAATGGAACTTACCTACTCTCAGCTCAACACAGGTGCATATTTGCACCACCGCACATGCTTCGTAAACACGGAACTTGTACGCTATCCAGTGCAGCGAGGGCGTTTCAGATAGGCGGAGGCTGCGTCTCTGGCCCGCCATATGCCCAGCCATAGTATATGAGTCGGTGTTAAACCATTCGGAAAGCTGCCCGAGCGGAGGATCGTAGCCGTGCTCCGTGCCGACGACATGCTACAAGAGCCCAGTTGTCAACGCTATGGGCTCAGGGTGACCTCACCACTGACATTGGGCGGCCATGCCAATTAGCGATATTCTTGCATGTGAAGGCTGCTGTATATGCACGCTATTCAGGAATGGTCGAGTGGCGGTATCATTTGTTGCCCACTGGCGCAGTCTCGAGCACTAAAGAATAGAATTCTAGCACATTTCGAGACAACTCTCAGTCTGATGTTTGGCTGCATGGCTAGTATGCTTTCGCACATCGGTTCGATGTAGGAGGCACTTGATCAGCCATTCGACCAGGCTCCGGTGGGGTGGCCTTTGATGGCGGCCTTGTCCTGCTCTCCGGAGGGAGCCGACACCCAATGCAGATCCATATACTTTGGACATTGGATGCCAATATAGGAAACTGTGCTGCCGATCTCCCATGAGCTATTGTAAAGCCACAGCTCCTCAAGCCGAGCGCTGACCGCCCCGGAATACTCGTACAGAGTCCTTTGACATCAAATCCGCCTCTTCTACTCCGTATTCTCTCTCAAAAAGATCCGTATATGCTTTTTGGGCATCCAGGCCATCTTTCAGCTGGATGGTAGTCAACCATACTGCACTAATCTTTCAATAGCCTCAATTGCCTGCCATGCATACATTTGCAAAGTAGAGGAGGAAGGCTGGCAAGCCAGTGGTGAACCGGGAGCCGAATCGCCAGCAGTCTAAAGGGTAGCGGGCCGCGCGTGATGTCTCACAGACAGACGGAGCGCTTCGTGGTACGAGTTGGCGAAGTATTCTGGAAGCAAAGACCATCTTCCCACTTGAGAACGGCCTGCAGCCAGCCTTCAGCCGCAGGGCCGAAAGACCGGCGTTTCGAGTTAAAGGAGATGTTGCTCCAAGGTGGGGCGTGACGCGAGCCGCTGAGAGATCCGTCTTGGTGCACAGAATCACGCCCCATCTTCATCCACAGGGCCCAGTGCTTCGTACGGAGTACTTTGATGTACCCACCCGCAGATTCTCATTTGGAGCACTGACCAGTGTAAAACATGCTCGCCCAACTTTCCGGTCCTCTGGCGAGTGTTCTGTACCGTAGATAACACTGAGGCTTCAGCATTGCTCGTCGTCGACAGGGCTGTAAGCTGCTATTCCGAGACGCTCAATCTGAGATCAGCAGCATCTCTAGCGTGGGATATAGATATTGTCTGCATTTTTTGCATTCCGTGATAGCCGAGCTCGCAGACTGCAGCATATTCTCAATGAGCGGTCGACACACAAACACACAAAAGCCTGCTGCATGGCTCAATAGCAATACAGTAGCGGAGAGGAGGTCGCCATGTCGCCGCTAATTCCTGATTCGTGGGCAAAAGTTTTCAAGATACCAGGGGGGATTGCCTAGACGGGTTGTCCAAGAAAGATGGAGGTACGAATTGGTGATGTCGACCCCGGCTCGGTGATTCGCCTGCAGCTGTGCAGATCACTACTGACATTGTTGAATCCACTGCTCCGTGGGTTATGACGAAGTTCAAGCCCAAGTAGCGCTCGATTTGATCGCTAGCGGATGCGCGCTCGTCCATTTTCGACGCTGGACTGCGGGCAATGCGGGCTTTTCTTGGTGTGAATGAGCGTGCTTGTGAAGCCGGAGCCTAGCTGGCAGATCAGTGGCGAGCTAGAAGAGCAGAAATCAGAGGCAGCGCGATTAGCACAGGCATCTTAAATGCCTAGGGGGTGTTTTTAACTCCTCGCTTGCGTGCCGTTTCGTGGAATGACGCATCCCAGACCGCAAGATGAGGCATCTGAAGTTGATGCGGACGAAGTCCACGCGCTAAGTGCGGAGAACTTGGTGCTAAGTACTGTATAATGTCGGTAGGTGGTGTGGTGTTGTGGGAGGTTCTCAGGCAATGGCAAATTACTACAGGTACTAAGGTAGGCATCTACTGGGTACTTTGACGAGTCAAGACAGCCACAAACGGCGCAGTGCAGTGAGGTGCAGTCCAGGCCTGTGCCTGTTACAGATAGCCGTCCAGGGCTGCTTTCCCGTTGCTGCTACTGTGCAGTATTGCAGGTACAGGTCTCATGCCGGCAGCTCCCCGTGGCGGCTTGGGCATGTACATGTACCCGGTACGTTGGCAGTCTGCGGGCTGGAGATGGTACGAGCGCTTTGCACAAGTACAGGTACTCCGTCACGTCCCGACGATGCCTGCTGCCCTTGACCGAAAAGTGACGAGTCGGCGCCTTCCTCCACGTGCGGTCTTGCCAACCCTGCAAGATGCTCCGTCTTTGCGGCCCTGGTCCTTGTCCGTATCATGTATCATGCCTTACGTGCTAGCTCGGCATTGAATGCCTCTGTTACCGAAGTGTTATTACGAGTGCAGCGAGCTGCGATAACAGGCGATGTTCTGTGATACCCTGCAAATCTCTGCTGATGGCGGTTGACCACGCAATCCTGCGGCATCTTAGCAGCACTCTATGCCTGCTGATACTGCAGGGAGTCATTAGGCTTGAGCCTTTATGCCAACCTAGAAATAAGGCAAGGTACCTCTTCGTACACAGTTTACCGACTTAGAGGTACCTGGTAGTACTAGGTACTCGTATACCTTCATTAACAATTGTACATACACTTTCCTGCTTGTACAAGTGGAAGCGCGTCCTAACAAAACCCAAAACCCAAGGCAAGAGCTTCCAGGTGCCGGAAGGAGCCTTCTCGAGTAGGTACGATCGTGAGAGCGGGATGGCATTGGCTCTTTGATGGTACCACCTTCTTCTCCTCGTTCCTTTTGTAGGAGTACTGCAGGGGGATTTCCAGCAATGGGCAAAATTTCCAAGCTATCACAATCTTCTCCATACCTCCTCCATACGTACCACGCCATCCTCGTATACCATAATTCGCCGCCACCATCTTGGTAGCAAACGTTACATACACAAAGCCAAACCATCAAGGTGCGATAGTACGAGGGGGAGGCAGAGACAGAGGGGCAACTTGGACAAATACATGAGTACATGAGCTCCTCAAGGTCAGACTTTGGCAACACAGCGCGCGTTCAAGCGGCCCTGGTGCGAGATACAGTCCGCTTGGATGGTGATATTCGTGGCAGATGAGCAGCAGGGGGCTCTCGATACAGGAAAAGCCTCTAGCGCCGCACATACCCTTGATTCCATCTCGTTTGCTGCTCATTGGGGACTGCTGGGCGGTCCCGACATCTCCTGCCGCGTGGTTCATTTCACAGTCGTTGGGATTTGGTCAGATTTCACATTTTCCTGCTCGGCGTTGTTGCACAGCTCCGAGTTTGAATCCATTCGCGCGGCCGCTTCGACGTACCTAGATTGCCCTTGTGGGTACGGAGGGTGGTGTTCCAGGGCTATACTACTACTACTAGCAATCATCATCCTCATCCTCGTCGCCAGACACCACGCGATGGACACGGTGCCACATGCAGCAACGACACGGAGTACGCACCATCCATGCCATGATAACCCACAATCACTACCACTCTACCACGGCGTCCCCTTGATGCAGCCTGGACGGAGTAGTCCGAGCAGATGTACGAGCTAATTACAACCTGCCCTCGATGCTGTACTATGTACGTCGCACCGAGCGTACCATGTTTTCGGGCTCTCAGCAGCCCTCGGTCAATCATCAACCCGCTGAGCCTTTTCCGTGAGGCGCTTCGGATAGCCTCAGGCTATGATATTATATACGCGTACCCAAGGATAAGCACCACCTTTGGTTCTTACGCCTTGACAGCTATGGTAACTTCGAAATCGCCATGCCGTGAGATCTGAGGAGCATCTCCCATTCGAGAGCACGCAATCCGTTGCTGTTCTCGGTCTTCGGAAAAGAGCTAGACGAAAGCTCTCGGATCAATCTTGGTGCTATCTTCCATGCTAACCTTTTTCTCCGCCCTCGGCCATCAAAGCCCCATGTTCTGGCTCCATTAGCCTTGGCTCGGTCTAGTCGCCACAGAGCCCGCTCTCATTAAGGGAATTCATTTTACCAGCGCGTCCAGTAATAACAAAACCGTCCTTGTGTCAGGGAAAGACAAGTGAATGTGCAATCTTCCGGAGACTCCCGATCTCTGGCCCTGCTAGGATTGCGCCACAGTTGTTTCGTTTGTCATACATAGTACATTGCCGCAGAGCCGCCCCAGAAGCTGAACTCGATGGCTAGGGTCCATTCGAGGGCTTTGTTCGGCTCACCAAGACCCGGCACCCGGGACTCACCTCCAATCTGGCGTCTACTCCAGAGTTACACAGCATGCTATGCAGTAGGTCATGAAACCATTCTGCATCTGCTTGATGCGGGGTTGTCCTCAACGGCCGAGGCCATTTCACTCACCGTCTCGATTGCTTTATCTTGATTTACAAATCCAAATCATTCCTCTGGATAGAGGAGAGAGGAAGAAAATAACAATGGCTACCGTATTGGCTGTATCAACAGAGAGAGGGAGGGACAGGGGGAAGGGAAATAAGCCCATGGTGCCAGGAGAAAGAAGGAGGTGAAACCGACAGTCAGGAGAACTCGGAAGGCTACTTCAATCCCGACAGCCGGTCGTCACCCTTGTTCATTCTCTCGCACGAGTGAGGATGATAAAGCACGGAGGAATGGAGGTTGGATTAGTACAATTGATAGGTACGGGAGTACGGAGTATTTTTCGACATTACTCGTATTACAGCCGGCGGCTCCCTCGGCTCCAAACCGAATGTTTACTCCACAGCCTGAAGCAGTGGCTTTCAAGATTCGTCACCTCTCGGCGCCCTCTGCGGAAACAGCCGTGCCATTGGCGCCCACGCGCGGTGTTGCATCTGCGGAGTACATGCTTGAACCAACCACTTTCTGTATGCACACGCACAAGCTTTAGGGCTTGGCGTGCTTCTTCTTCAGGACGTTCTGCCTGCTTCAACGGTATCATGCAGGGTTGTCCTTTTCGGCCTGCGCCATTCCATCTCTCATGGTCTGCTTCCTGCTACTACTCTATCGCTCCCGTCAGGATCACAGCCGGCGTTTCGGGGAACGTCCTCGAACCGGTCAAGTTTTGGAGTCGCCCACCATCTGTTGGTGGCAGCTACTGAAGTGTGAGCCAGTGTGGTGGTGCCCCAGTCGCTTCTGACGCCACACGCCTAATCGCTAGAGCCAGTAATAGGGCAAATGCAAGCCTAATTTCATGCGAGGACCCCGACTTTTGTCTTTTTTCTGAAGGTGAGTTCTTCAAGCTAGCACAGAGCCACACAGTGCGCCATTCCATCCGTTTTTAACCAGGCGAGGATGGTTCAACTGCGGGTTCGACTCTCGCCCCGGCTCGAGCCCCGACAAGGGGGATCCTCCGTCTCTGTCGGAAGTGTTTTGTTCAGGGCTGGGCTTGTGTGCTGTGAGAGCGAGCACCTCACCACCACGGCGGAAGAATCCGTGCTACTTTGCGGGGTTGCCACTAATAGCATCTCCCAGTCGTCATGCGGGCACCAGAATCCTCTTGTATACAGTACCAATGTTCCAGAACAAGTTGAAAGACGCCAAAGCCTTGACTAAGGACTCCTGTTCCACATCCGAAATAACGGGCACCGTCGACACAAGGAGACAAGATAAGCTGGAGTATGAATCGCGGCGTTTCAACAGGGACCACCAGGTACGAATATTGCTTGCCCACACCAGTATCGCCATTGCTGTCTGAGTAGTACGAGCATTTTATCAGATTCTCTGGGGGGGGACTTCGGGCCACGCGGCTTGCAAGCGACATGATTATCCGCCAGCCAAGCATCAGTACATACTCGTACAGCATCCAAGCAAACCCGTGTGGATATGCGGTGTGCCCCGTACCAGGCACAGAGGAGTAACTGGATATTACTAGTGCGGCCATGTTCCCCAAGAGCAAATCCTCGCTGGAGACTAGGGTGGCCAGTCGGCATCGAGAAGAAAAAAATGGCTAAAAAGCTTACCATCCCCTGTCTACGGAGCACTGGCGCACATCATGTCCCGAAATAGGCGGCTTCGGCCCCAGAGGAGCCACATGCCGTGTGAAGCTTGGCGGATATGGTGGGTGGATGGACTAACGCGCTTCTTTTCGCACTGCATCTTTTTGGGGAGGCAGAGGCCGGCTGTCGATGGGATGCGAGGGTATCCTTACTACCCGATGTCGTTTTATGGTTCTTTAATATTACCTGGAGGATGTCGTAGATTGCAGCATCGCCATCTGCATGCCGAGTGGTCTGTCGGATCGGACTCGCCGTTTATTGATCATCTCAAGCAGTGGTTGTACTGTACTCGTACAAACTTTTGTTCGCCTACTACTCGTATACCACCTTGGGCGGCGGGGGTTCAGGGTGGCCCTTGACGTTTCAAGGTACATCTCTCAGTTATTGCAGTAGCATGTTGACTTTTTTGTTCTGCTGCAGGTTTTCGCTGAGAGGAGAATACGATTGCTTACCTGGACAAGAGGTTTGGGCCAAGCAAGCCCTTTTATTTTCTGAGACGGAAGCTACACCCTCTCCGAGCGACCAGGTAATACAGGACAGGTCCGGAAAAGAAAGACGAAACATACTCGTACAATCAAAATGATCGGAAACAGAGGCCGGACAGGGAGCGGCAAGTCAGTGTATACCCAAGCCCAAGTGCTCGTATGTGGTGGTTCGCGGCGCGGCATGACATATGACCTGAGAGAGACCCGGTAGCAGGCCCGATTGATCACGACCGGGGTGCTGCCGTCCCTGGAGTCAATGCGATGCTCCACGGCTAGTTGAGCAGCCCAGCTGGAGCTCGAAACACATTAGCGGGCTCTGGCTGATCTCGACTGCCCTAGCCGGTCAATTTCTACGCAGCAAAGGGTGTGGCCTTACCAGCCCCACGTCTGCCAATCCAGATATATTTCCGAATCTGCTTTAATGGGCGGAGAGCGACGGCGGATGACGGATGAGCACATTGACTGATACAGACACATGGCTGTTGTAACCCGCTTGGGGCCGATATACCTGCATCGAGTCGCCGCCTCCTTCACACCCCTCCGCCTTGTTTCTACTCGCACTTCACATACCAGACGGGCTTTCCCTCGTGCGGTATTGCTTGCATCTCGGCATTCGCAATCACACTCACACTCAGAGCCGCCGTCGCAGGCAACAGACTTGACCTTAAAACCGCCAGACTTGCACTTGGGCTCTCGACTGCAGACGCCATCGTCACCTCTAGCATCGCGCTGCTTGGCCTCGGGCGCTCGGCTCAGTACCGCTTGTTTCACTTGCTCGAGCGCAGACCGCGTAATCACTATCGTGACCCCAATTGGCACATGCCAGATGCCGGCTTGCGATCCCAGCGACAGCGTCACTAAACGGGAGGGCTGCTGTGGGTTTTCCGAGCCGGATGCTTCGACTGCAGCGCCGCAACTGAACTTGGATATAGATCTGATTTGGGGGTCCCGTATCACGACACGACACGAGACCAGAGCCGACCAAGGCGCACTCCTTGTGTAGAGGCAGGCGTTGTTGGCTTCTCTCCCCAAAAGGCACCGGCTTGTTCTTTCCCTAGCCTTCTTTTCTTTTTCCCTCCACCTCCTCCAGCTTTCCCGTCTCCTTTTCTCCCCCCCAAACTCGGCGCAACCGGTAGAGCAGATCCATTGGTTCCAGAAGGAGTCCAAGGTTGGCGTAATACAGATACTCTCGAACGCGGCATCCAAAGCCGCGAGTCCATCCCGTTAGTGCCGAGACTCCGATCGGTTGGGTCACTCAACTGCCTAACACAACACCCAACTTGACTCTACGTCGGTGAATCAGCAACGACACAACTGTTGACGCTGCAGGCTGGTGATTAGTGTACTTCGTCGAACTACACCAAAGCCATGGCAGAAACGTCACACAACCCGTATCCGCGATCTCCCAATCCCTCCACCAGGTCGTACGATTCGTCATCGGTCTCGTCCGCAACGTCGCCTCGGCCTCCGTCGCGGTACCTTGGGAGCATGCTGAATGCGACAGGAAGACCAAACCCGACGCCACCTCAACCGCTCGGTATGCCTACGCTGCCCCCCGTGAACCAGGGCTTTCCGCCTTATACGCCCATGCCACCAACCTCCATCATGGGCCGCGAGTCTGTTGCTTCCACCGACTCTCTGGTAAGCAGTCAAGGCCCTGGTGGCTCCCAACTGTCGGGAACTCCCGGCGCGCAAGGACAAAAGAGGGCCTACCGCCAACGACGCAAAGATCCCAGCTGCGACGCATGCCGGGAGAGGAAAGTCAAGTGCGATGCGACGGAGACTACCAGTTGTTCCGAATGCTCCAGTCGAAACGTGAAATGTCAGTTCACAAAGGAAACGAATCGAAGGATGTCCTCCATCAAGCAGGTGCAGGACCTGGAGAAGCAGATTGAAAAGGTCAAGCGTGACAACAACAATCTGCGCCGAATGCTGCAGGAGAGAGATGGCTCCATGGACATTGACGTCGAATCTAGAGAGCGAGCATCCTCTCAGTTACCACCGCCCATCGAGTCCGAGAGCAGACCACGCAAGAGACCGCAGCCAGTTCCCGATCTCGCCCTGGCAAGGACGAACCTACGAACCTTTTCAAAGGGCATATGGAAGCCTCCGGCGCAGCACCGGTTGCCAGCGCCGGCCATTTTTGATGCACCTGTGCCTGAGTTGCCCTCACGCCAGGTGGTAGACCAGCTGCTAAGCACCTACTATGCTTCCGCGCACACAATGTTTCCCATCATTCATTTGCCGACTTTCAAAGCCATGGTTGATGACTTGTACCGACCAAGCCCGCCCCGTATACAGCCGGCGTTCTTGTGTTTGTTCTTTGCTGTTTTGGCAACCGGTAGCCTGTTTACTGCCGAAGTCCCTGCAACAGCCGCCACCTATTTCCGACCTGCCGAGCTGCTAGAGTCAGCGCGAAAGGCCATGGATCCCTGGTGTAACCATCATACTCTCGACGACGCGAGAGCTCTTATCCTCATTACCATTTGTCTGAATGAGATGAATCTGAAATCAGCAGCATGGAGCTTTTTGGGCAATGCCGTGCGTGTTGGGCAGGACCTGGGCCTCTACCTAGACACGGAAACATGGCCCGTAGTCGAAGGTGAAATGCGCCGCAGGACCTGGTGGGCTATTTATATCCTCGACAGGGTCATGGCCACCGAGATGGGCCATCCGTTCCTCATTGACGATGCAGACTGCAGCGTTGCTTTGCCAGCCGCCGTAGACGACCAATACATTCGAGATGATGGCATGAGAGTTCCTGAAGGAGCTGAGCCACTGACCCACTCTCTCTTGGCCGTTATCCACGTCGTCAGGTCTTACACTTCGATTTTGAAGACAATGGAATCTTCCGCGATACTGCCGACGCAGCTTGCCAATTTCGACGCTCATTTCAAGAAGTGCCTCAACACTTTCCCTCCAGCTTGTGATCCTACGAGCACTGTGGCTCTTGCGCCTCACTTCTTGGCGCCTCTCACCTATTTATTCCATGCCCGGCTGATTCTCCACCGTCATAATTTGAACCCCGGCTGTGACGTCGATACCCGCCTCGCTGCCATTGAGAGCTGCATGCATATTTCTATAGAGACGGCTTCGTTGCTTAACCGAACGAGCTCTCCAGCTGATGGCGCTACCTCTCTTTTGGCAGCCCATATTTTCCGTTCTACTCTATTCCTGCTCCTGACGGGATATTTGGATCATGCCATTACATGCATTCGAGCTCTAGCGGCAATAGATGCTCGGCGCGATATAGCTACCGCTTGCGGGAGATATCTCTCCTTCTTCACTTCTACATTGAGTGTGAAGCGAGCTGAATATTCAAGCCGCATAGCTAGAACGACTTCGCCTCATGCCTTCTCAACTGCGCGGTCACCCGTGGATCCTTCCACCCTTTTGGTTTCATTAGCTAGAGACGAGGAGCTTTTAGCTTACGTCTCATCCGACCTCCATGCTTCACCATCGAGGTCTTGGGTCTGGACCGAGGGACATGATCGTGATTACCTGCCCCCCAAGACAGATGCCGCTGTGCCATCCGGCGGGCTTGGGCATGCGCTTTTCAACTCAGCAATGAGAACTGGCCTAAGTGAAGATGAACGAAGAGAGTGGGGTGGATGGGCTCAACTGGAAACAGCAGTTCGAGGGCTAGGATCGACTCATGCGATGAATAACTGGACAACCCTCCCCCCACCTCAGGTGAAGAGGGAATCCCCGACTCCGGGCATACCGAGCATTCAGCGACTCTCAGACGCCCCTCGATACACGTCGGAAGTTCCAAAATACGGCGCCGAACCGCCGAGACCCGCTGCTAGCCCCGCTGGTAGAGATAGATTGAGCATTGCAAATATTATATGATGACGACGACGACGAAGATAGATTATTATTGGGGACTCGGAAATGATACACGAAATATGGGATGACTCAAATGGTCAATTTTCCTTTCTCATTTTTACTCTTCCTTTCTCCAATTCCTCTCTTTGCTGTTGTAATTTTTGTTGTTGGGTAATAAAGGGAGCATGACGGCTCGCTTTTTTTGGAACCTTGGATTGTTCTCATCGTTTGGATAAGGGAAAAAAAGTGGTCGAATAACGGCATTTGATACCAAGCAACTCTCACACATACCCATGGAACTAGCGGTTCTTTGTTTTCTGTTTTTTTTTTCCTTCTCTGTATACGGATTAGCTGGAGATATATACCAAATTTCCTTTTGAGTGGTTGTTTTTCTTCTTCTTCTTTTTCTTCTTTTATGCATGAGTCTTTTATGCTGTCGATTACGGACGCAAGAGTAGGAGATACCACCAGAGCCTTTTTTTTTTTTTGCTTTTTTTTTTCCTGTCTCTAATTTTCTTCGAGTCGTCTCTCTATGTTACTTCTTCGCTACTCTTTCCAATTTATGACGTCGCATTCTGAAAGAAAGCGTGTAAGTGCGAGCGCCTTGCATCAAGGCTTACGTGAAGAACGCAAACGATATAATGGTTTACATAGCATCGACGCTTGTTTTCGATAGCAAAGATAATTTCAACTCTACCTATGCCTTTATTCCATTGCCTATATTATCATCATGTCGTATGATGGCATTCAACTACTACAATAACGTCTGTAGATGGGGAAAAAAAGAGCACCCAATCACACCGTACATCCTCACTTTGATCTTCCACCAAACTGCAACTTTGCAAATTTCTCATGTAGTGTATCCCGCAACACTCCCCCGTCATCAATATACTCAGCCAGATGCATGGCTTTAAGTGCCCAGCGGTGACAAGGCTCTTCCTCCCCACGGGCGTAATAGTCAATGGCGTGATTGAAACTCGTGGCAACGAGCCACTCCAATTCCGCAGCCGGCAGCCGATTCCCAGTCTATCATAGCAAGATTAGTAGCTGCAATACTCATCGCGATGCCCCTTTGTATAAAAAGAGCGGTAACAGGCTTACCTCCTTTCCTTCGCGGGCTATTTGTAATGCTTGATCCACAAGCTGAAGAGCCGAAGCATCGTCCAGCCCCAAAATTGCTTGAAACATGCAACGGATATATTTTGCAAGCTTCTCGTAGTCAAAATCTTCCAGCTCAAAAATCTCATTGATGATGAGGCACATCGTCGAGAATAATGCTAGGGTTCGAAAACGTCAGCATCATCTCCCAAGAAAAGGGTATAAAGACATCTATATCCCTGACCTTTCCCTGGAGCTCTGCTTCTCAATATGCAATCCCCCATCGCCTTATACATTACCTCATCACGACATGTCTTTGCCTTGCGTACAATCTCATTCAACCCATCCCAATCTTTTAGTGCAGTGGCTGCCTCAAAGTCAAATACAAACAATGCTGATAACTTGACGTTCAAGTCTGCGGCAGTATTTTCTTCCTGGATTCCATCCACTGTAGTCTCTAGTGTTGCATAGAATTCCCTCGTGTGATGTCTTACTTGGAGGTAATACTGGAGCTGTTCTTCCACTCTATCCTCTGCCCGCGCGAGCGACACCAACGCTGCAGCAATGACAAAGTGGCAACGCAAGGCCATCAGGGCTATCTCAGTGGCCTCAGATAAAGGCAGATCTTTGGGATAATAAGCCGAAAAGGCTAGACACGTCGTAAATATTCGGATGATATGAGAGAGCTGCCATGTTTCGCATTTTGAAACACCCATGTTGTAAGCGTTTTTCCGGAACCAGTTCAACTCAGGTACTGTAAAGACTGTATTTCCCTCGTCATCTCTGGGATCTCGGCTTGCCTGCTCAGCAGCTACATCTATGGGATTAGCAATCAACACATATGATACATTGCAGTAAGTACCTTTCTCAAATAGCCGACATAAATCCTCGGCATATGCAATGCTTTGGGAGCCAGCTTCATCCCCATTGGCTTGTTCTTCAATCAAATGGATGAGACGAATCGAGCACCGTAGTATTGATGTCAGATTGCTAGGAGTTGCTTGGTCAATCTTCCAACTATCGATGATTGCCTGTAGAGCTGCTAGAGTGCACAGTTTGTCACCCACTTGTTGTGCTTCTCTAATGCAGGCGTACAGCACATCACGTCCTTGTGAACTGTCTGAAAGTTTACTGAGGTGCCTGATGCTCTCGAACCCAAGATCATGGTCCCAGTCAATGAGAGATACTTTGAACGCCAAGTATCTAGTAAGAATATGGTTTTTAGCATTATCGGACATGGAGTGTAAAACCCGTCGAGCTTTTTCGGTATCATTGACTCCCAGAGCACAAATTACAAGTTTTCTGCTAAACTTATCATGATTGGTTTCACCACTGCTCATGAAAACTCTGTGCAGGGCAATTAGGCACCATGCTTCTGCAACTGCATAGTTTTTGTCAAACAGTATGGAGTCTATTTTGCTCCATACAATCTTCTGTCCAATTAGTATAAACATAAGGGCCCAATGCAGGAATGCTGCAGTCTTCAACTTACCGAGTGCGCTGCGCCAGCAATATCGGACGGCAAAGGCTCAGAAAGAGCATCATTAACCTTATCTAAGAGATTCTGAAGGTCTGTCAAAGCTTCAATGGAATTTGTATCATCAACGGTGGTCATCCAGATCCTCCTAACAACAGCCTTTCCAATCCATTCGCTCCTCTTTGACGATATAATGTGTTTTAACAAAAGTTCATCCAACAGTCCGCGGGCCAACCGAGGGTTCTTTTCTCTCAAAGCTTTGATGTGATGCAAAAGAAAGCAAAAAGAGGCGTCAGAGTAATCAAATGACCGAACCATACGATGCAGAATACTGGAATAGGCGTCGATATCAAAAGCTTCACCGGGGGCTTTCTGCAAAAGTTCAAGGCGCCAGTGCAACACAAGAGGCTTATCTCCAATCTCGGACTCAATGTATTCGATTAGATTACTGGCCTCTTGAACACACACCTCGGAGCCAATATCAAGAAGTCCTCGGACAAGGCCTTGGCAAATGGCTAGTCGCAGCTCCAGCCCCTTGGTTGAGAGCTGGTCTAGCGCCTGATGATTGATGATATCGTAGGCGCGTTTCAGCCACTTGACAGCCATGCCATGATCTCCTTTCGAGGCAACATCAAACCCGATATGCTGTAACGTGTCGGCTATGATCTCAGCGGAGCTGGAGTCCAGCGTTGGTCGAAGGGCGTCTATCTTGCCAAACATGTGTTCCGCAACGTCAAGCCTATCCTCTTTCCATGACTCTCCGACTTGTTAGAATATTGAATTTCGTTAAGCTAGCCCGTAAGAGGATACTCACCAGAGCTGTTCTCATCGCCAAATATTCTGCGTCAAGTTTCGTCCGTTCACTCTGCTCACGGAGATCCAAAGCATCAACCGGAATAGCTTTGAGCCTTTCCATCAGTTCCGCAGCTTTCTGCAGCGTCAACCTAGCTGAATCCAAGTCGGATTCCCCTACGCAAAGCTTGCCAAGCGTCAACGCCAGGCTCATTAAGTATGCAATCTCGGTCCCCTCATCTTTCTTGGCTCTGCCCGCACTTCGACCCAGCTCCAGCATATAAAACGCAAGCGATCGTGCTTTAAGGAGCAATTTGGCCTTCTCCATAGGAACGGATGCGTCTCGTTCTCTCCTCAAGCTCACACAGAGATTCCACAGGTCTCGTCCCTGTCGTTCGACATCCTTGGCTAATTTCTGCGCCAAGGGGCCCGTTGAGCCTAGCGGCGCGGCATTGTGAACCAGCTGAACATGATGGCTAGTGTCCGCGAGGAGAAGATCGACTGTTCTCGCATCGAGAGGTCCGGAGAGCCTGGACTGAAGCGTGGCTGCGAATTCTGCATCCACAGCCTCGTTAGAAGACAATGCAGACTGTGTTGATTGAAATCAAGAGGATGAGTTACCCACCGATGAATGAGCGAGCCTTCCTAATCCTGCCAGCGGTAACAAGATCGTCAGAAGCCATGTTGACACGTCCAACGAGAGAAAAGCCGCCGAGAACCTGAAGAAGAGAAATAAAGTCGTAAAGGCACAAGTTGAACTGCAGTATCGAGAAAATCACAATCCCGAGCAATGATGCCACGAATTAGAAAATGGGAGAAAAGAGAAAGAAAGAGGACGGCATTCCCATTTCATAAGAGCCTCGCTTGGAAGTCGGCTGCACCTTCCCTCTCACAACCAGGTAGGAGGTACCTGAGTAAGTGCCTTAGCACGAGGTCGTCAAGAAGTACCTTTGTACTTTAGTACCTGTGAATCAACTTGATAAATCCTCAAGGCAAAGTCGCTGCGGCAGCAATTACCCATCCAACATTAATTGAAATACTTAGTACCGTATGCTTAAGTAGGTATGTACCTGATGGCTCTAGCTATAAAAAAAACACAAAAAAAGTGTCCTGCTCCGACAACTTGGGAATCTAAACACTCAAGGGAAAAGGGAATGAGAAGGAACAGCAAGAAAAGAAGGAATGAAGAAACACAGCAATCAACCCCATACACACAACATTTGGGCAAGACGACGAATAGAGACGAAAAGGGGAAGAAACTAACTCGACGCAGTTCCAACGCCGTCCGTCATGCCCATTGACCTAAAGCAAAAAAAGACCCGTTCCTGATCCAAACTTTTTTGGCTGGTTTATATAAAACCCGTTTTCCCGCACCCCGTGCCCAAGTAAGTTCTCCTGCGTCTTCCCCTAAAAACTCACAAAAGCGATACGTGAATTTTTTTTCCTTTCTTTCCTTTTTTCTTTTGTTTCTTTTATCAGACTGATATTAAAAAGTATTTCACTGTACAGGGGGGTCATGCGGTAAAAAATTGCCGACAATCAGCGCAGGTCTGTCGAAAATTCCTCCGAGTCAGTCTCTCTTGCTTCTTCCACGGAGTAAATAGAGTAAAAGATATTCAGAGCGGGTAAAACTCACAGCTTATGTTCATCACGGCGGATAGTAAAGGAGAAGCAGCACTTGACGATGGGATGGTCCGACGAATCACTGGGATTCTTCAGTGAGCATGCCGTTAACAATGTATCGTGCGCTGGGTCGAAGGCGATGGTACCAAACTCCTCCCAGTACCGCACCATCGACTCCTCGGTAAGGATCTCGTGAAGTGCAATCTTGCCCTAAGGGGAATCACATCAGTTAGCGCGTCGTGCATTCATTGCGTAGAGCTGAGCAGAACGGGTAGAAGGAGGTACTAACATCTCGCAGCTGATCCACTGGCACATTGATCAACTCGGCCATCTCCTTGTTGCCTCGGAAGATCTCTCCAGTCCGTCTCCAGCAACACGCCGGCACAGCCATACTTGCAAACACTCGGTCGTAGTCCATCAACTGTTTCTCAAACCACATCTCCACGTACACCAGCTGCATGTCCGTCAACCCTTGTGCCTTTTCCCTGAACTTGGGTCGGAACTGGTTGATGGTCCGCAAGATCTTCTGCTTAGATGTGGACGCGATGTGCCCGTCCAAGTACTTACCCAGCCGTGCATACCCTTTAATGTAGTTGAACGGCTTGAGCAGACCGGCATCGTATTTGGCCTTGAGCACGCGAGACATGCGCTCTTCTGGGTTGTCGTTCCCAGAAGGATCGGCTGCCTGGAGGTAGTATTCTCGAGTCTTTTCCTTGTCAGATCGAGTCATTGACTTGCTATCAAAGTTTGAAGGAGGCAGCATGGACCCTGGCATGTGGCCAGCTGATACAGAGCCGCCGCCCGCCAATCCATTGCTGTTGCCAAAGCCGGAGAGCATTTCTGATGGACCTCCTGGCCGATTGAAAGCCGAATTCTGTTGGGATTCGACGCCACCCTCGTCAAGAATGCTGTTGTGCAAAAAGTCGTTGAGCAAGTTAAACTCATGAGTGACGTCGGCTCCGATCATGTAGTTGGGGTTATAAGTATTCATATCATGGTAGTTTTGTGCGGTCAACCAAGCGTCCGAGAAGCCGGTAACTACTCCATCGTTAGCCATCCAGAGCATCATGTTGGTGACCGGGGGATACTGGGGTAATATCGGAGAAAGACGAAGGCGAGCTGAGGAGCCGATTGGGGAGGGGTCGTTTCTCCTTTTGGCAGAGCTTACATTGATTCGCGTTACCATTGTTATTCAACGCGTTAGCCTGCAGGCCTGACGAAGCGTCGGGTTGCACAAGGGACAATGGATTAGCCTGCCCAAGAACGCCTCCAGCCCCGATGGCCGAGTTGGCCCTCTGTCTCGCGCCATCGAAGGTCGGGGGAGGGCCCATGGCGCTGGATATGGAGCTATGGCCCAAGTCAGACTGGGACAAGGTGTCCGAGTCATCTACGGACGCTGTAGATGCGGTTTTGCTAACAACCGTCTTCTTCTTAGGATCTGACTCGCGGGGCTCATCGTGACATAGATGGCCAATATTTCGCTTAATGCATCTCGTACATGGCCGCTCCTGTCCACGGCATTAGCACGTCCACAATATTAAGCAAGGGAAGAGGTGGGCAGAAGCAGGAGGGTCTGGACCCATCCGTGAGGCTGCCGCAGAGGAGAAGCAGGATAGACGCCGTGTGGTGGATGTACTTACGAGATCGCATGTCATGTGCTACTCGCATCAAATTGAATCAGTCAGCCACAAGCTCTTGAATTTACGAATAAGGGGTGGAGCAATGGATGTCAAAGACGTCGTCTTCTTTCTTTCTTTCGTTCCTTGTCTCTTCTTCTTTTGCTCCCTCCTCCAGACGGTGTATGGGATCTTCTCCTTTTTCCAAAGTGGGCCAGACTTACAGATCTGCGACAATACACGCAAGCTGCAACGGTAGAGGGAGAGACACGCAGCTAATCGTTAGTCCATGCTGCATACACACTCGACACTTGCGCTTCCAAGGTCACTGGCCGAATGAATTGAACTGAACAATGGGGGAGAAAGGGGGGAATAGGGGAGGGCAGAGGGCATGAACCGCGGCACAACAACTGCACTGCGATCATTTGTGCCCTCGGCTCTCTCAGGGAGGGTTTCAAGCAAGTTCTGCGTACCATGGTTAACCTTGCGTCTCTTCTTGGGGTTCTTGCCAGCGCCACGGCCCTCATGGTCCTTGTCGCGCTCGGCCGCCTCGCCCTTGGCCGCCATCTTGCTTCGCTCCACCACCTTGGTGCCCTTGGCATCCATCGCACCCGGCGATGTGGTGGTGGTGGTGGTAGTAGTGGTAGTGGTAGTGGCCGTAGCACCGGTAGCCTTCCGCTCGCTCATTGCTGCTGTGCGCGCTCAAGCTTTCCCCTTGGCCTCCTTTTCCAGTCCCGTTGTTTTTCTTCCGTCTCTCTCTCTCTCTCTCTATTCTCTCATCTCCCGATTGCTCGGTCTCCCATTGGATCTGTCTGCCTCGGGAAGGGTTACGCAAACGTCCAGATTGCAGATCATCGAACGGGAATCGTCCCAGCTTTCCGGCTCGCTCAGACGCCTTCCGATGGCGCAACCAGCATGCCCGAAGCTGTGCAGCCCTTTGCCCCCGACGCAGAAGCAGCAGAAGCAGCGCAGGCCGGGTCTCCCCCGTCTCTCTTCGCCCGCGCAAACGAGGTCGTGTGAGGGCCAGATACTCGCCCGTCTCTGGCCGTGGCCGGGGATCGTGTCTCTGTCGCTTTGGGGAGGCGGAATCAGGGCCGGGCGCGGGTTCTGCCAGGCAGGAATGGGATGCAGAGGCAGAGTTTGGCCTGCAAAACAAGATTGGAGTTGAGCACGAGGGCAAAAACGCATCAGCAGGAAGCGCAAGTGCTGCTTTGAGGCACCGGCAAGTTCAGCTGGGCCCTCCCTTTTGGTGGGGACCTGGGCCAGTGGACCGAGCCTTTTCGCCTTGGCGGGAAGCGCTAAGCCGGGCTCTTGGGTACCTGCGCCAGAAGGATTTCATGGATCAAATGGCTGCTACAGCGGTCCTGGGCCACTGTGCAGCGCCTGTAACGGCGCCTGTAACCGTCTGTAGCATGGAGGAGGGGGGCTTAATATCGCCCAAGAGCCCATTCGCTGCACACCACAACTCATACACACACACAACCTAGCATTCGGAATAGCCTCGTTTCTGGGCTGTTGGTGCCTGTCACGTCACCTTTATTCCCCGCATGCTGATTGGGCCCTGTGATTAGACTTTTACATTTACAGCACCTACACAACCGCCACAGAGAACAATAGCCAGCAACAAAACGAAACGAAACGAAAATAAAAGACCCAACACCGTCTCATCTCATCCCATCTCATCTCATCCCACCTCACCTCTCACCCTCTCAAACCTCCCAAAATATACACATCTCCATTTACCCTACACCTAAAAAAAGATCGCCATATTCCGCGCCGGTCTAAGCCACCGGCCCCGAAAACGGATGCCCATTCGCTCATCCCGAGCCACATCCACACATTTCACACATTGCACATGCAGGACCTCGGGAACTACAGGCTTGGGCCGGGAACAGAAATCCGAACAAACCATGAGCAAATGAGAAACCCCTGCAAAACCGTGTGAAACCGTCGCATCTCGGCCCCCGAATCGCAGCTGCTTCCCGACCTGAGACCCGTGCCCGTCAGAAAAAGCCCGGCTCGGCGGTTAAAAGAGGCTGCCATGAGGTGCCTTCTGCCCGAATGGCTTTCGCGCATGTCGGAATATCACGGGATGGCATCTTCCAGCGCGCTAACGACATTACCTAATGCCTCTTGTATTTTTCGAGGCCGAGCGGAGGATTACGGAACGGCGTTGGGGACTCATCAGGCATGGCTCATGAATTGATATTGATCCAACGCTAATCACAAGCCCGCTACAGACATGAGATGACATGATGTCAAGCCAGATGAAAAGAAATGAAGTGAAATGGCATGACCTGAACCGCAGTGTCCTCCAACTGCTAACCGGCTAAATGGACCAACAAGCAAAGAAATCATAGCAATAAACCAGTCGTAAGTCGTCCAAGCTGCATGAGCTTCATATAGCCACAAAGAAGCTCTTCTCGCCCTCCTTGGGAACCACTCGGGCCTTTCTCATGATTTCATCTTCGCACATCAACCTGATCCTCTCAGGCGTTGCTGGGCTCTCCAGCCTAAGGAGGCCCTCGCTGTCATCCTCCCCAACCTTGGCTTCGACGCCAGCGTCCTTCCTCGCCGCCTTGAGTGCATGTCGGATGGCAAAGAAGACGGAGCTGCCCATGAAGAGCGGAGGCTCGCCGACACCTCTGCTGCGCTGAATCGTACGCAAATCCTTCCACTCAACGTCCTTGAGGAGCGTCACGTTGAACTCCTGAGGAATGTCACGGAAGCCAGGAATCTTATACGCTCCAGGTCCGCGAGTGAATAGGTTGCCAGCCATTGGGCCGTTTCGTAACCACAGCGACTCTTCCATGGTGAAGAGTCCAAAACCTTGCATAAACGCACCCTGGATTTGGCCATAGTCGATTGCTGGGTTGATGGACTGGCCGATATCCATCTTGATGTCTGCTCGGAGGCAGGTCGACGAGCCGGTCAGAACATCAATTTCAACCTCTGCGGCAGCAACTCCCTGTGTGAAATAAAAGTACATCTTTCCCTTATTCTCACCCCAGGTGTACCCAATCTCTGGAGTCTTGTAGAAGCCCTGGGCGGACAGATTGACGCGATCGAAATAGGCTGCATGGGCCAGCTCCTCCATCGTTGCTTGTGGGCCGAGCTTCTCTCGGTAAGGAGCCAGCCGTTCGTTGAGCTGTTCGCAGGCGTTGAAAATCGCATACCCGTTAAGGTCGGAGGACGCTGACGCTGCCGTCGATGAGGTATTGGCGACTGTGTTGGTGGCAGTCTCCGAGATGAAGACGTTATCCAGAGGAACCTTGAGAGCTTGTGCGGCAATCTGGGTCATCTTGGTGTGAAGTCCTTGGCCCATCTCCGTACCTCCATGAGCTACCAAGATAGAACCATCGTGGTAGATGTGTACCAGCGCTCCCGCCTGGTTGAGGAAGAGAGCCGTGAACGAAATTCCAAACTTGGTGGGAATCAGGGATATTCCCCTCTTGCGCCACTTGTGAGTCTCGTTGAACCGAGAGATGGCAGCCTTGCGCTCTTGGTAGTTGCTCTCCTCCTGTACTTGCTTGTACATGAGTGGAACATGCCAATCCGTAACGGGCTGGTTGAAGTGTGTTGGCTCGAGGGGCTTGTAAAAGTTGATTTCCCGTAACTTGTCGATGGGAATGCCCAAGCGGTCCGCGGCCTCTTCCATACAAGTCTCAATGATGAACATGCCCTGAGGGCCGCCGAAGCCGCGGAACGCTGTGTTGGAGACGGTGTTGGTCTTGCAAACGCGGCCGCGGATGTGTGTATTGGGAATGCGGTAGCATCCATCGACGTGCGTTATTGCTCGTTCAAGCACTGCCGTGCTGAGATCAAAAGTCCAACCGGCATTGTTGAAGATGTCGACATCTAGAGCCTGAATCTTTCCATCCTTGTTGAAACCAATCTTGTACTTTCCGAGGAAAGGATGTCTTTGCCCCATGGTGAGCATGTCTTCCTCGCGTGTCAACATGCAGCGGACTGGCCTCTTGACCTTCTTAGCCGCGAGAGCTACGGCTGAGCTGAGGATGATGGATCGGGTCTCCTTGCCACCAAAGCCGCCTCCCAATCTCTTGACACGGACGACAACTTTATTTGCCGGTACATTGCAGACACGAGCGGCAAATGTTTGTCTATAAAGAGCATGGTTAGTTAATGGAACAAGCGTGGAGAAGAGGTATATGCAAAGGGCTTACGTCTCAGTTGGATTCTGTGTGCTGGCAAAAATCTCCATTGCTCCGTCTTCTGGACTGGGAACGACGACACATGCGTTGGTTTCAAGATAAAAGTGCTCTTGGCCACCCATTCGTGCGGTACCTGTGAAGACATGGTCGCAGTTTTTGAAAGCTTCTTCAGAGTCTCCAGTCTTGATCTCACGATAGCAAGGATGGAAGCTATCTTGCTGGATGGCTTCTTCGATCGTCAGGACTGCTGGCAAATCTTCGTATTCCACCTTGACAGCTCTGGCCGCTTCCTGGGCCTTGGAAGCCGATGTGGCAAGGATCATGGCGATGGCCTGGCCAGCTGTGAGTACTTCACCCTCGGCGAAGAATAGTTCATCGAAATTGGGCGGTCCAAATCGGTTGGCTGCTTGGGAAGGCATGTCTCCGCTATCGACATAGTCAACTACGCCGGGCATGTCGAGTGCGGCGGAATAGTCGATTGATATGATCTTTGCATGTGCCCTGGTTGACAATACCCAACACCCGTACAATTCGTTCTTCATAGGAGGAATATCATCCGTGTACTGGGCCTCACCGGTTGTCTGCTTTAATGCAGCAACATGAGGATTCGATTTGCCCGTGATCTCCTGTTCGTATGCGGCAGCCGTGTACGGATCGGTCTGGCCGGTTGAAATGGATCGTTCGATTTCATCAATAGCCTCCTTGTCAACGTGCTCGCTTTCCCCATTAAGGATGGTAAGGACATCGTGGTAGAAGCGATAGAAGAAGCCAAGGGCCAGCGCTTTTCGGTAAGATGCCATACCGCCAGGGACGCTGAACTGGAGGTCAAAGTCTTTTCCGAGAGCACTCATGGTACCTTCAAGTGTCTCCAGCTCGGCGAGGCGCTTGCCAACTAGGTACTCTGCCGCAGTCTTTGCTGAGACCGTCATGGCAGCCATGCCGCCATAAATGAGGTTACAGTCTGTAACAACACCAGCATCGTCCAGTTTCACCCTGAGTGCCGCGGTCACAATGGCAATGTCGTCATCCTTTCTCTTCGCTTGCTTATAAGCTCGATAGAATTCTCCCTTGGCCGCCGTAACGGGAATCCTGAGCGATGCAATGATGGCATCTTGGGCGAGCGCCGTTCTTCGGTACCCTGTGAAGAACTGTGACAAGGGGATCTCCGTCTCCTGCGTCGCAGACTTTGCCACCAAAACGGCATTGGCACCCCACAAGGCCGGGTTCAGGTCAGATATGGGTGAAGCGGTGACCAGGTTACCGGCAGGAGTCCCGACGTTTCTGATTTGCCTTCCAGCAAAGTATTTCAATTGCTTGAGGATCCCTTGGAACACCTGCGACCTTTCATTTCCATAACGTTTGATGGCTTCCTCGCAGATGTGCTCAAAATCTGTCAAAGTTACGTTGCCGCCAATTTCGAGGTGATCCTCCGTGAACTCGTACTGCCGCAACTCGGCAATGTCACCGACATAGACCGACACGGGGTACTGCAGCGCCTTGAACTTGATTTCGATCTGAGTCTCGGTGCTTCCGCCAATAATCTTGGCCTGGGGATGCACACTTTTGATCTGAAGAAGCTGATCCAGGGTGACAGGCCGGAACCACTTCTTTCGCTTATTGCCGAAAGCGAGGGGCCGTAGCTGGTGCTTCTTCAGAGCGGGGGGGAAGATGAGCTCGGTATCAGGGTTATACTCGATAAACCCTGGAGGAGTGAATCTTTTGATAGGCTGGTCATTGTTCATTTTATCCATGCAGCAGCCTCCCTCGGGCTTGCCATTGCCATTCTCCATGCAACAGCCTCCGCCGCCGTTAGTCTTGGCTTTGCCGCATGAGTTCTCGATGCTAAAGGTGTGAGCCGCGTCGAGAATAGACCTGTACCCTGTGCACCGACACAGGTTGCCGTCGAAAGCTTCTTCCATCTCATGTTGAGTGGGGTTGGCATTATTCCGCAACAAAGCATACAGACTCATGACAATACCCGGGGTGCAGAAACCGCACTGGCTTCCATGTGACTTCGCCACCCGCTCTTGCGTGGGATGCGGATTCTTGGTGCTGCCGATCCCTTCAATGGTGACGACATGTTTGCCATCAAGACTTACAAGAGGTGCCAGACAGGCGTTGACACTGGCGTGATAGATTTGTTTCGTTGTTGGGTTATACTGGCTTACAACAATGGTGCAGGCACCACACCCACCCTCGCCACAGCCGCTGTTAGATGGTCTGAGTCAGCTAGACGGTCCAGGATGACAGGGTCACCTCATCAAGGGATTTCGTACAGTTTGGTTCCAGTCAGGCCAATGCCTCTCAGGTACTCGAGAACTGTGATCTCGGGATCGATGTCGTCGAGAACGACTTTGGTCCCGTTGAGATAGAAGCGGATTGTGTCGTCGAACTTGGCAGTCAGATCCTCCAGCGAGTCCAGCTGACCGTCCCGCTCGGGAGATATAGCAATGGGTGCCATATTGTGACGGATTTAAGAGGAGTAACGATAGTGATGGTGGATGATGGAGGTGAGAGGAGGTTAGAACATGGCAAAATGAGAAGAAGATGAAGGATGATGATGAAGGCGACTAGATTACAGAGATGCAGGTCAGATGGATTACCCGATGCAACTGATGCCACAAACACGCTTGAGATTGATGATGATAAAGGGAAACAGCACAGCCTGTATGCCTAATGTTCTACCAAGTGGCGACACGAAACATTTAAGTTGCTGGCGGGCAGAAGCGGTGGTACCTGCTAGTAGGTACCTGATATTGCCCCCTGCGCACTTCAGCCCAACGGCTACCCGTACCCGTACTTTCCGCTGCAGTACCCAGTGTCTGTGCATAAGCCCACCCGGGTACTAGCCCAGTGGGTATAGAATACCTGTATTAATTGCACGGGTAATAAGATAAGAGGTGCAGTTATAGCAAACATGTGAGTGATACAGGCTTTCCCCAGGATGTGCGAAAATGGGCAACCCAGTGAGATACCGGAAAGTTAAATCTTTGACACGTGGCGGAACTCCAAATCCCGTAAAGCCGACGCCAGCCCTGTGGAATAAGCCGTCCATGTTCAAGTGCCTTATCTCTCTGCCTTACTTGAAGTCGATTATATACTTGTACTGATCTCCTATAAGTTGACTTTCTGGGGGCAAACAGAACTGGTAGATAGACTAGTATACGGGCCGATAGATCATTTGATGCTAAACCGCTGATGATGTCTTGATTTCTTGTCTGGCATTGCCACATGGCGCTCACCCACTTACACATTTGACACCCATCTATGGTGTACAGTGTGTCTTACACGGGGTTGACAACACTTGTTATGACACCCTTTGATACAAAACCAGCTCTACAACACTGCAATCATCTCAATCAAAGCATTATAAATCCACCAAAATGGCCGAAACAGGCAAAAACAAAGGTCCCAAACTGCCCACCTTCGCTATCATTCCAGGTACCAATTCATAGATCGCCGTCTCACCCCTCAATCGAACCCCGCTGGGGAATCGCGCTTCGGCCGGCTCCGCTGCTGAGATGCTGCTCCACCTATCGGCAACTTCCACGATAGAAAGACCCGTGAGATTAAAAGGCCTGCGTAATCGCTATTACTATTTACAAAAAGCAAAGGACACGCGACACAAAAGATGATAACCGGAGAGTAGTCGTATCTAAGATTAGCTACTTGACTTTTTACACCTTGGCTTTTCACACTACTTGTACGGAGTATTGATACAGCTAAAAGATCTGGTCTTCGAGTGATCGTACATACTTGTATCGTCGTTGATGTTCCTATGTGGAATGGAAAATCTATTTTACCCAGCATCCCCGGAGTACTCCGCAAAGCTGTCTCATCCCTTCATTACCCCAGCTTTGAGTGACGTTGAAATCCCACCTCTTTATCCTTGAGAAAAAAAATCGTTTATTTCATATACTTCTTCAGTCCCCTCAACCTGTTCTTCGCCTCCTCCAATATCGAGTCTTCCTTGCAGACTGCGAACCGCAAGTAATCCTCCGCCATGTGCGCGTTCTCATCCGTGTAGAACTCAGTCGGTGGGATAGCAGCAACGCCAACCTCCTGGATCAAGAACCACGACAGCTTAAAGTCCCGCGGCCGGCTTGCAACGTGCGGCGGGAAAGGGTAGTCTTCTGGAAGTTGGACCTTGTTCATGTTGACGAGAACAAAGTAGCCGCCTTCGGGCTCCGAGTAAGGTAGACCAAGCTCGTCCCAGACCTCGTTGAAACGATCCATCTTGCCCTTCATGTCGCGGATGGCATCGTCCCAGAAACCTTCAGCCTCGGCCTTTTCGAATCCAACAGCACAGGCTTCCTGCAGGGGTGAGACAGACGAGTAGCAGATCCGCGTGTGTGCCGCAGAGACATATTTAATGAGATGTTCAGGGCCCATGAGCCAGCCTACAAAATCAGATCAGCACATAGGAACACTCGTCAGTATTCACAGGATGAGCACCGTACCAACACGCCAACCCGTGGCATAAAAGTTCTTGCCGGCAGAGCCAACCGTGATAGTCAGCTGCTCGATTTCAGGAGACAAGGTCGAGATTCTGGTGAAAGGCACGTAGAACAGGCGGTCATACACCTCGTCGGAGAGGATAATGATGTTATTCTTGACGCATAGGTCACCAATCTTTTGCAGCTCATCCTTGGAGAAGACCTTGCCAACGGGGTTATCTAGGAATTATTAGTGCTCGGGCCCATGATTATACCTTTACTAGGGGTAGACGTACGAGGGGTGTTGAGGACAATCATCTTTGTCTTGGGGGTAATGGCTCTCTCCAGCTCGTCAAAGTCGATGGTCCAGTCGGCTGCTGAAGAGGTCTTGGTGGCGCCTGTGGCGGGAGGGTGCATGGGTACATAGACAATCTTGCCGCCGGGCATTTCGATGTTGCTAATGTACCTACACTTCTGTGTGAGTATTTCACAGCCATAACCCCTGTTTACGGTGAAATGTTTGATACGTACTGGTCGAAGAAGGGCTCAAAGATGATGACCTCGTCGCCCGGCTCAATGAAAGCCATAAACGCACTAAGCATACCTATAATCGTACACCACTGTTAGGAATCGACTGCCTCAGCTCGCTCGGCTGCAACCACGCAAGACGGTCAACTCACCCTCGTTGGCTCCCGTTGTAATCGTCACCTCAGTGTCAGGGTTGATCTTCCTCCCCCAGAACGGCGAGTAGGCATCGGCAATGGCCTTCTTTAGCCTCGGCCTGCCCTTGGTGGGCGAGTACTGGTTGCAGTCGACGCGATCCAGCGCCTCCTTGGCAGCATCGAGAATGAATTTCGGCGGGTTGTAACCGAAGAAGCCCTGGCCCATGTTTACGATGGGCTGCTTGGGCGAGGCTGCTGCCGCCTCATTGACGATGGTCCTGGCCGTTTTCTCGCCTCAGCACTTGTTCTCTCTCTCTCTCTCTCTTTTTGCCCATCTTACGGCATATGCACATGAACCCCCCCGTACTGTCCACTTACCACACATCCTGCTTCTGCCCAGACACTCTGGCCGCAGGTTTTACTTTGAAGCTGCCACTCATGGCCGAATAAGATCTTGTGAGAGCTGCGCTATGCGCCACGGGTGCTTTGCTAGCTGCGAAGACGACTCGACTGCGAATGGTACCAAGAGAAGACACTCGCAGAGCAGAAAGCGACATTGAAAAAGCAACGCCCGCTTTTTTTCCTTCTTTCTTTTCTCAAATGGGTTAAAGTAGCCGGTGATGCAATCGATTAGGCGTGCGAAAAAAAACACAAAGAGAGGAAACGTATGGAGGGTCACGGACTTGTGTTCCCCTCTCCCTTTAGTTGGATATTGCCGGCTGTAGCCACGATAAGGCGCGGGAATTGGCCGTGTAACAAACAAGTAAAAATAAAGACGCGGCTCGGATATGCAGTGGTAATTGATATGAACCTTCTGCGCCCTTGCAGCCCGAGGGATTTCCCAAAAGGATTGTTTTATGATGATGCGGTTGCGACATCGGCTTGAGCTGTTGCTGGAAACAACCCGGATGGCTGACTAAGGGATTGCGGGGATTTAGGCGATGGCGTCAACTCTCGTGAACTTCATTGATCAAGACGGGCTTTAAGCTGGGGGTTCAGAAAAAGGAAAAGAAGCCATCACGAGGTATACTTCCGGCATTTTATTCTTTTAAGCTGCATTTTGTGAATCCAATCAATTTTCTAGCCTAACTATATAAATTGCACCTTATTCATCCTGCATCATAAACATTCCATATCATGCAAAACTCCAAATACACCAAAAAACAGCACGGCTGACCAAACAGCACATACTCTTTCATTCTCAGAAAATCAACCAGCAACCAATATCCGTCCCAGCGTATTCCCTCTCACACCATTCATACATAAATCCATCCAGCTGCCCGTTGCCAAAAGGAGACGGGCTTGAAACCCCCGGGGGGTTGAATTCCCAGTCCTCTGTGCCCTTTCCCATTCCCTCTCATACCATTCATACATAAATCCATGCAGCTGCCCATTACCAAAAGGAAACGGGCGTAAAACCCTCGGGGGGTTGAATTCCTACCACTCGTAAATAAATCCACCCAGCTACCCGTTACTAGAAGGAGGCGGGCTTGAAATCCGGTGGCGATTGAATTCCCAGTCCCTCTGTGCCCTTTCCCTTAGACTCATCTCCCTCCTTATCCAAGTGCTCCAAAAGCTCCATGGCTTGCTGATTGCAATCAGCCGCCGTAATGCGGAATTCGGGATCAAAAACCAGCATCTGGCAAGCGAGCTTCACAAGTCTGTTTTCGGGATTCAGTCCCTCGAGGTACTGTGCGTGGTAGCCACACTCGTCGACGAAATTGCACACGTCTTTCTTTACGGTATTTCTGTTTCTGCGTTTCATATGGGGTAGCTGAACCATCATGCTGAGCACGCTGATTCCGAGAGCCCACATGTCGTCTGCCCTGCCGTCGTGAGGGATATGCGCCGCCATGTCTGGAGACCAGTATTTATGCGTTCCCGTCTGCAGTTCTTCCTTCTTGTCGCCATAGATCTCGCTGCCGTGCACGCGGCAGTCTGCGCAATCGCCCAGAACAACCTCTATGGGGTTGAAACGCCGGATAAAAATGTTTTTAGGCTTGACGTCGGAATGATAGTAGTTCATCCCATGGAGAAAGGCGAGCACATCCGACATTTGGCTGATAACGAGGACAATCTCCACCATGTCCATGCCGCCGGGAGCGTGCCAGATATACGTGCTCAGGTCTCCTCCTTCACAAAGCTCGGTGATGAGGATTTTAGCCCCAACGGCATCACCCTGCTGGTGAAGCTCGATAAATTGGAGGAAATTGTTCTAAACGATGCGGAAAAAAAAAAAGGATGAGGTTAGCTAGGATTAATACAAAGAAGGGCATCTCTCTATGAACGTCCTCTAAAATAGACAAATCGTTTCAAAGGAAGAACAGAATACTCACATGACTGAACTCGGTAATCATCTTCATCTCATTGTATAGCTGTTTATCGTCACTAGCTGATTTGGCAGCAAAAAGCCTGCCATCTGAAACCCTCTTGACCTTATAGACGACAGACCAGGCTCCCTGACCCAGGGTGCTGCCGCGAAGGTACTTGTCTGAGGTGAATGTGCGCGAATGGACATTTGAAAGTATTTCGTCTTTCTCATTCCAGGTGCTACGGGACCCCGAGTCCGACCAAGGATTCAGGGGATTGGAGGACATGTTGATTTCCCTGCAGGAGTTGGTATAGCAGAAGAAGGAGGATAAGAAAATAGTAGAAATTTGTGTAGTCACGTAAATGTGAACACAGATGTGAGCACAGATGTGTGAGCACAGATGTCGATAATTTGTGAAGTGATGTGATCTGACGAGTGTCGAGTTGAAGAATATTGATTGGGCAAGCACGATGTAAAAGTTGGGAAGAAGGTGTGGAAGAAAACAAACAACATGGGGAGAGGCTCTGGTTAAATAGAAACGCAAAGTCAACCAAATAACAACAGAGTGACTTCAATTGCGCTCTCCTCCAAGGTAGCACTACCTACGATAGAGAAGTCTAGGGGTGCCTACTACATGTACTAGTTCGACAGCTGCTAAACATCAGACGAACTTTGCGCCTGAGCATGTTTATCTTCGGATTGCTCCGGTGGCTGTTTTGTGAAGGTTAGTAGATAGAGCCAATCCAAATGTTGCCCAGGAAACATAGAAACTTTGGGCATGTACTTCATGGCCACTGACAAGAATCGGCACTCCCAGGCGTACCACTTGTATTCACCGTGGCTACACTACCTTTGTAGGAAATGCATTGGAGGCGTTGGACCAAATTAGAAAATGAACACTCAAGACTTAAAGGCACCTACACGTAAATACCTAGGTACTGAGGCAAGTATCTTGGACGCCAACAGCGGCAAGCTTCGTTCAGGGGGGCGTTCAAATTCTCGAACCTTCACCAAACACAGTTCAAAATTACAAAAAAATCCTAATTGTCGTGGGACTACCTCCAGTATGTAATATAATAGTACATTTACGTCGTCGCCGTAACTCTCCCCTCGTAGAAAGCAAGCCGCAGTAATCATCTCATCGAATCTCCGCTTCCAACATAGCGATGCCATTTCTTCTAGAACCTCGAGTCAATCGCCAATTACTCCCGTTCCAACGCCAGGCGGCAATTCCAACACACGCAAAAAAAAAAAAAAAAAAAAAAAAAAAAAGTAAGGACACAAATGTCCCCTAAAAAGATCCCTCAAAAAAAATCCCTGATTTTCATCGACTGTACCGTTAAGACGTGGTTTACGTAACCTTGATAAATCATAATCTGTCTGACCAAACCTTCCCCCCTAAAAGCACGAAGAAGAAGAAAGTAAGAAGACTTTGTACAGGCGTATGAAAAGTAGCGCCATTCATCTGCCGCAGGGTTATGAAAGAAGTGAAACTGGAATACCGTCCTTTTTACTTTTGCTTTCTGTTCAGTTTGAAGGCCGTCGCTGGGATGCTTTCCTCAGATTTTCCATCATTCGCTCGACAAACTCCATAGATTCGCAGCCCGGAACGTCTGGGAACCCTTCGGGTTGATGATGTGTTGTATATTTCGTGCGACTGGACTGAGGGTTTTGGCCATCCCCAGCGTGTCTATTAGTCGTGATAGTTGGCATTATTGAAGCTGCGGATATTTTCATGTCTGGAATTACATTATGGGAAGCGCCATTTGGAGTTTCAATAATTGGTGCTGCAGCCTCTTGGGGAGTATCTGACGGCCCTTTGGGTACAATTGCACCTTGGTTGTTATCTGCCGAAGAAGCTGGATGTGAAGCTTGCGGCATATTCGGTGGTTTGGCTACGGCCAGTGAAGACAAAGGTGCCCCTGGATTTGCCCCTGGATTTCCTTGGTATGGCATTGAAAACTTGGGGAGTGGTACTGGAGTTGTGGATATCCTTTGAGGTTGTTGTACTGCTTTTGGCGTTGAGCTTCCAGAGTTTGCGGATTCTTGCGGAGGTGGTGGTGAGGATGCCACAGCGGCTTTTGTGCTGGGAGAGGCGGCTTGGGGGCTTGCCGGTGGAAGAGGCGAATTCTTAGTAGAGGATGGCGCAGGAGTACCAGGTGACGAGGTCATGGCGGCCAAGAAGTTTGCTGGTAAAGGCACTGGAGATTGTTTGGACGGAACCTGCATTGCGGATTTAGTCGATTTCAGAGACAAACTGATAGCTGCGGGTAAGCCAACCTTGTACGACTTGGGGGCTGGGGTTGGCTTGGGCTTGCTGGGCGGCTGGACCAGATTCCTATACTGGGCTTTGATCGCCGGATGGTATTGGTGGCTAGCCGTTCCTAATATTGGCGCAGGGAGCGTGGAAGCCGTTTGTTGCGCTGACGGCCCTGTCTGCTGTGCTGAGGAGACAACCGGGCCACTGTGTGGTGCAATTCTAGAAGGCGAGGCCTGGTATGGCCCTGAGGTGCTCACTGGAGACATTGCTGTCAAAGATGCCCGCCGGAGAAGATCATTTTGATTTGACAGCAGGTGCGCTCTCAAATCGCCTTCGTAACCATTGGTGAATCCGCCCCATGGCGAATAAGGGGTTCGGTATTTGGATGCCTCTCTGTGAAATTTTAGTTAGCAATAAGTTACCATACACTGTCGAGCCATCAAGAGTCTTACCTATTGTGATTTACTTGGAAAAAAGGGTACTTTTGATATACCGACGAGTGAACTTGCCAAGTGGGTTTGCCATATTGCTGCGGGCCTTGGGTAGCTGGAGCAGTCCTATAACTTGAGGGAGTTGCCGAAGACCTTGCCGTCAATGATGCTGGGAAAGAAGATTGGGGCTGTGGCGGTAGGGGTGGCGGCGGTCGTGCGTGAGTTTGAGGCATCACGTTTGGTCTCGCCATATGGTCAAATCGCTGTCCTGGATATGGTTGATACTGATGGTGAGCGGGAGGAGGATGAGGCGGAGCAGCGTTAGTCCCTTGGAATGAGTAGGTTCCGGGAAGTTGGTGAGTATAGCCCATAGAGGTTCTTGGTTGGTAGACGTATGGCCTTTCTAAGCCCGCAGCGTTCGTAGGCGTCATCATGTGGCCCGCAAAAACACCCGTGTGAGCGAATTGGCCAGGAACTCCATAAGCTCTCTGCTGATATACCGGTCGCGCAGGCACAGGTTTGGGGGGTTTCGGAAGTGTGTCCAGGAAATTGCCCTTTGGGTTGTGCCGTGGTTTCGACGGATCTTCGGTATACTGAGCTCTGGCCTCGGTCGAAGGCTTTCCAAGATAATACCAGATCTGGTCTTGCTTGCTAAAATCGACCTTGGCCTTCTGGATGGCGACTTCACTGGTGTGGAACTCCGCCCAAGAATAGTCTCCCTCAATAAACGGATCGCCCTTTCGTGGCTTGTCATCGCCCTGATGGCGCTTGGCATTGAGCTTATCCTTTGCCTTTTGGGAAGAGGGCAATGGGATGGCATTGGCCGACGCCTTGGGTAGGTGGTAGTCGGATGGATCTGGAAGCAGCAGCCATTTCCACTCAACCTCTAGTCGGTCGCCATTGGGAACAAGGTCGATTAGCAGCATTCGCTCGTCTGGCCGATTTTCCACCACCATTCCGGCAAAGATTTCGCCCTTGTGATATTGCAGCTGGCAGATGTCTCCCTTTTGGAGGGCCTCTGCAGCCTTGAGAATGCGAGAGTCTTCTTCCAAAGCATCACCATCCAGCTTCCTATCGCGCTTGGTGCGGTGGAAGCGACAGCTAAACTCAAAGGCCTGCTCTTTGTATTCCGTCCCGTCTTCACCAAATACGGGAACCTCCTGCTCCTCCGTAAACACTCCGGCAGCTGCAGCGCACGTTGCGTGATAGGCCCTCGCGCATTTCTTCTGAGAACACTGGAAGCACGCCCCGCGCTTCGATCGGCAGAACAGGCATTTGAGATCTAACCGATCCTTGTGCACGGCGGAAACGTTAGAGATGATTTCTTTGCCATCCACTGTATCGATGTATGTCTCGGGAATGTAGAGAGCGCATAGACGATGGGCTTTTCTGCCGTCGTCGGTTGGCAGAAATTCCAGGTTCGGGACATCGTTGGGGCAGAGGCAACAAGGCGGCTCTACCTTGACCTTGAGCCGCAGTCGAATCTTCTTGACCTTGACTTTGGTCCCCTTGTCTGCCTTGCCACGCTTTCTCTTGCGGTTCGCATCCTTGAATTTCACGCCGTGGCCAGCAGGAGGAGTCGGAAGTCCGGAAAGCTCGTCGTCGTCTTCGTCATCGTCTTCATCATCTTCCTCTTCCGTCTCTTCGTACTCAGTCTCCTCTCCGCGTAGTTTACGTTCAATCTCATAGACATTGACCCATACGCTGTCTTGGGCCTGAGCACATTCGCACTTCTTGGCAATCTTTCCCATCTCAAGCCAGGAATCGAGAGCAAAGTTGACCGCCTCGGCGCAGTTGTATCCCAGATTATAGCCGGAATGATATCCATAGGGGTAGGTGACGACAAACTCGCCGGGATATGAAACAACTTTGTTGACTTTGATGCCATAATGCTGTTGCAAGTGTTGCGGTGAGATGAGGAAAGCCTTGTGTCTGAGGAACTGATCGCAGGCCTTGGCGTCAGCGGGCCAGATGCTCTTCATGGCAGTCTCAAATCGTCGAGCGTCGGCCTGAGAAATGCTGTACCACTGCTTTGGAGCGCCAAAGTGAAGATAGTTGATACTGTAAAGATCGACATCCTCGAGATGCCACGCAAACGTCGCCTTCCACATACCAAGATAGAGATATGCCGTATTGACGCCGGGGACCTTTGTGCCGAGAACATCCAGAAGGTTGGGTAACTTGTTCAGATTCCAATTCTCGGTCCTTTCATCAAAAAGCGTGCCCATTAGATCAGCGCCATATAGTGGTTGAGCATATGTCAAGGTTTTCCAATACACTCTCTCTAGTTCTTCGCAGCGCTCGGGTGTGTACTCGGAGATGTCCATCCGATAATCGAAATCCTTGAAGGCAGCCTCATCGATGACAGCAGAGGCTTCTCGACGGCTGAATTTTCGACGTGCCGAAGTTGATTGAATCTTTGGCTTGGCAGGCCTAACGCCACCCATTCTGCGGACGGTAGGTTGATCATCTTCCTCTTCATAGTCCACCTCAGTGCCCAGCTCCTTTTCGATAGAGTCCATCACTTCCTCTTCTGCACCTTCGCCTTCAGCCTCAACCTTTGGCGAGACGGGAGTCATGGGCCGACTCTCCTCACTCTTCTTTTGCCTGCCCTTACCCTTGGGCGGTCGTCCTCTCCCTCGAGCCCCCCGGGTGGCGGCGGCGGCGGTGGCAGTAGTGGCATTCGCACCCTTGGGAGCAGCAGGGCGAGCTCGCGTGGGCCTAGGCTTGTCTGCATTTGCACGTCTCTCTCCACGCCTGGCGGGAGGCTGATGCTCGCTCTGTTCGCAAAGCTGCCTCCATTGCGGTATGTTGTAGGATCGCCCATGGAGGATGTTGACTTGGCGGTAGGTTCCGTTGGACCCCATGATGTCCTGCTTGATTGGTTCGCGGACTCGGACCTGCTTTACGAGATCGTCCAGGGGGGGCTGCGCATCCCTCCACTCGTCTGGCGGGATCACCTTGATAATACCAGACTTCATTCCATAGCTGTCGACTTTTGTCATCTGTTTGAGTAAGGCTCGGCGGTTAGCGGACAAAGGAACAGACAAAGACAATTGGGACCCGAATGACTGTCGACATACGAAACGCTTGAAATCCTTAAACTGGTCCATCGTCGGCTTGAAGACGGGCACGTTGCCAGACGACCAATGGTCTGGCAGGATGTCGCCAATGTCGTCCTCAACGCCGAGATCCGGGGGGAACATCGGCGCATCTTCCAGCGGCGGCTCGTCCTCGAGGTCGCTCAGCTCCGAGTCGCTCGACTCCGACTTGCCGGCATCGTTGCTATCGGGCGGCGAGTGCAAGAAGGCGGGCTGCTTGGCGCACTCGATCTGGTCGTTGACCTGCTCCTTCAGCGCCTCCGACGGCTCTGGGACGCTGGCGACGTCTGACATTGCGGGTGGTTTCAGCTCGGCTGGGCCATCGAGCGGCAGATGGCGAACGCAGACGCGATGCGACCAAGCGGGAGGATCTTGTGAATTTTTTCCGTATTTTTTTAGTTGGCTGGTTTCGCAGGGCGCGCGACGTACAAAGTAGAGATGCTCGGTGTGGGTGTGCGAGATGCGGTGCTTGTGCCGTGGTGCGTGGGACAGGGAGTGCGTCCACTGAACTCAGGCCCGTAGGTTGGTGATGATGCGGAGAAATTCCCAGCGACGGGGGTGCGGCTGCCGGGAGAGAAGGCGGCTGCGCTGCACTAATCGCTGAAACCTGCTGTAGTGGGTGCAGAGGCTGTACGGTCAGCGTTTAGTGGGCTCATAACACCTGAGCGTCAGGCCATTCCAAGCACTGGACGGCGGAGGTGCAGCGCTATGCACTGAGCAGGGGTAAGGGGAGTTTACAGTAAGGCGAGTCAAGATGTTTGTGCATCTAGTCAGCTATTACTCGCTTATTTCTGTTCTTCTTCTTACGCTTCTACGGAGTACGTGTATCAAGATTATGACACGGGATCCCTGCTAGATACACTACCATCGAGCTGTCTTTTGTCGTGGATCTCAAAAGTCAGCACACTGTAGGTAGGTAGGCAGATCTCTGTCGCCCTCGCCCTCTCTCGAATTTAGAGGCCAGGGCACGTGGCGGGAATCCAAAAGGCGCCTCTAATCAGCTGAATCCAATTGCTTCGCCGCTCCTAATGCAAGGGAAAAGCCAAACATGGCTAAATAAGTGGGGCTGAATCTGCTCCACACAAACAAAAAGTACAAGCGATGGGATGATCAATTTCATGTTGCATCGGCCTGCATACAGTTGGTTGGTCGAATGAATCCTACGAATTGCAAGGAAAGGTATTGGATGCATAGCGAGCAGGCAGTAGAGACATGAGTTATTTAAGCAGCGGCTCTCACTGAGACTGGCAAACTGAATGGATAGCAGACCAAAATGCCGAATAACAGGAAGTGCGACATTCAAGGCAAGGGAGAAATACCGGGGAGATACCTACATAATAGTACCGGAACACAGTTTCCTTTGCAATCTGAATCTTCATGCCTGAGGCAGACATGCATACTGCGCTTGGCCGAATCTGGGACACCGTGCCAGATTGATAAGATCCAAATCTGGCTCAACAGATGGATTGAAATCGTGGAGGTGATGCTGATCGATCAAGATTTCGAGGAGAGCCTTACCCTATGGTTGTCTTAACCAGCGGCTTTTCCTCTTGGATGGCGTACTTTGCATAGGATGCTGAAATACAGATTCCTTCTGCAGCCAGCCTATAGAGATAATGCACCTCCTCCCTGGACGAAGCTGCTGGGCAAAAACTGATTCCCCTTGCGACGAGGTAGTCCTCGAAAATGACTAACAGATGATATATGTGGTTTTTGCATGCCATATTATGTACATAACAAGCGCCGACAAAGGAGAACAAAAAAAAAAATTAAGGGAGGGAAATTAATACTGTTGGAGAGAGCGTGGCTAGCCGTCTTGTCTCATTGTGCCCACAGGCGAGGCGCAAGCTCAGCATTCATCAAAGCAACTTTCAACAATGCGGTATTCTGGAAAAGTGCACCCGCCATGAAGGCATCGCCACCCTTGTCCATTCTCATATCGGATGGAAGAAACTCCAAGCAAAAGAGCAAAAAAAGGTTCCAGAGGGAGTCGAACCCTCGCTGGCGGAATCAGAATCCGCAGTCATAACCGTTAGACCATGGAACCGTTTGAAGCGGTGATCCGCTTCCCATGGTTTGCGATGGTTGTGCCTCCCTTGTTATTGGTTATGAAGGCTGCGCGAGGCGGGGTCTTGCGCAAAGCGGGGCTCTATGTATGTACTTACAGCAAGTACCTACTCAACTGAGGCTGAATGAGATCGCGACATTGTACGAGGATATGAAGTCAATATTTGCGCCACAAGAGCGATGTGGCATGCCATCTTTTGACAGGTGGTGTAGCTGCCGTTTATTAGATTGTAAAGGATATATATGGTAATCCAGTTATTTGATATTGCGACAGAGCTTGGAGTCCCTGAGCGTCGTGTGTTATCACCACTTACATCTTGCGATGTCCAACAAACAAAGAACAAGGAGCTACGTCAAGAATTCATCCAACGACATGTGATTCTGAAACATTTCCCATGCTCAACAATGAAATTTTCCCCATCACTGAAGGGCTAAAGATAACTTTTCAACCCGACGTCAAAGAGGAAAGCGAAAAAGAAATCGGGAATAGCCTCGCTTTTTCTTCTATTGACTTTCGCCTTTGACGTCATTTCTGCCGCTTCTCGCGCTTCGTCATGGGCGTCAGAGTTGAACCTATTGTTCCACAAACTCCGGAGCTTGGCCGCAAACATCCAAGAAAGCGCTCTTCCTTGACAGCTTGACAGACACAGAGTCAAACTCAATGCGCGCAATCACGCTGGCCACGCTACAGATAGCGAGAAAGCCTTGCGACTTGGCCGCCTCCTCACTCAAGCCCTGCAAATCGAGCTGTCACAGGCCCCGCACCACCATCAACCACTATCTAGGCCTTTCTCAGCACCATCACATCGCCCGTCAGGATGCACGGGATCCAGCCACCCGCCAAACCTGGCCGGACGCTGCCGCTCGAACTGCTCTGGGATTCGCTGGTCGCGGCGCTGGCCCCGGCTCTATGCTTGTTTTAACCAACGGCGGAAATAGCCTGATGCGGGTTGACGAGCTGCTTGATTAGATATGGATTCCTTCTGGGCTTCGTGAGCAATTACTACACCATTCGATGGGTGGCTGACCTGCTCGGCGGTACGAATGAAGGCTTGAATTCCATGCTCTTCTGGGGTCCGAGTCGATGCTCTTTTCCCATCATGTCCCGCAGCCACCTGCGACTTGTTTTGACATGAGATTTCTTCTCATCGTCACCTTCACTTATCGCGTATTCGCAATTCAAAATATCTTGCCTTGTTTGATCATATCTTCTCCAGAGAGCTCCATTTGAATAGGCTACTATTTCACTAAGCTGAGAAGAGCTATAAACGCCGATACAACAACAAGATGGCAGCTTTTCCAAGCGCACTATCCATCTTCCTGTCGATAGCGGTTCTGAGTCTCTGTACCTCAGCGCAATCCGACGATGTACCAAACGCCAAAGTTTGGGCTGTTGTTGCATACATCAACCATGGCGAGAAGACTCCCACTCTCGGGGGCTTGAACACCGTCCTCACGCCCATGGGAGCCCGGCAGATGTGGAGGCAGGGGAGCGCATTTCGCAATCGCTACTTGGGTACTGAGAATTCTACCCTTTTCTCAAATTCAACGGGAAACTACACAATTCAAGGCATATCCAAAGATGCCATCAACAATGCCGACCTCACCGTCTTGTCGCAGACAGATGAGTGGGTTGCGGGAGGTGCTGTGGCTTTCATGCAGGGCTTATATCCCGCGACGACAGACGCGTTCAATAGCCTTGCTGGCGGCCAAGTAATGGCCCAAGATGTTTTGTCTGGCACAGGACCGATCGATTATCCTTTAGGAGGATACCAGTATCCCAGTATTGAGACTATGTCCATGTCAGATTCGGGATCGGTTGCGTAAGTGGCTCAGCTTGTGAAGCTTTGCATTATCCTTTATCTTGTATGCTGACTTGCTACTGAACATGAAGCATCCAAGGCACTGTTGGCTGTTGGGCCTGGGATACCAATGTAAATCTGATGAAGCAAACTGATCCCTTCGGCCGCGCTAGGTCAACTCAGAGTCTCTATAGATCTCTCTTTGCTACCCCTCCTCTTCAAGGCACGATATCAAATGGCTCGGTTAATTATTGGAATGCTTATAACATATACGAATATGTCAACTACATGAATACGCACAATAAATCAGTCAACTCTGGCTTGGGATTTGCCAACACTACTGTTGGAGTACTCAAGGAAAACGCCTTTGAGCTGGAGCGGGCCATGAACGGGGATACTCTAAGCGCCGCCCCAAACTGGACTTACAACAATATCACCACCATCGCCGGTCAAACCCTTGGTATGCAAATCGCAAGCTCGCTCAGTGGTGCCACCTTGGGAAGTTCTGGCAGCAAGCTTACGTTAATGTTTGGCTCCTTTGAGCCCATGTTGGCCTTCTTTTCACTCATGGGACTCTACTCCACTGATAATCTGCTTTCCGGGCCATTCTCCACTCTTCCGGATCCTGGCTCGGCCATGATCATTGAGTTGATCGGCCAAGACTCGGGGGACCCCTCCGCCTTACCGGCGGCTCAGGAATTCATGGTCCGATTCACATATCGAGCTAATGCCGATGTTGGCGAACCATTTACAGTCTATCCCTTATCTGCAAATAGCTCTGATAGTCGAGTTATTCCTTTCACAGCGTTCCTAGGCCAACTTCAACGCTTCTCTGTGGACTCTTTACAGTGGTGCAGCACTTGCCAGGCACTATATGCGCCCTGGTGCACTTCAAGGTCTACATCTTCTGCTGACTCTTCCTCTACGTCTAATAATTCATCCGTCAGCGCTCCTGTCGCTGGTGTTATCGGTGCTATGGTCACATTGGCTGTAACTGGTCTTGCTGGGCTCGCCCTCTACTTTTGTGGAGTGTGTACTTTTGGACGACGCCCAAAATCCAGCGAACGCAGCGACTCTCCCGGCGGTTTCAAAGGAACAGGTAAGATGGCTAGTGATGTTGATGTTACAGTCACGAAGCGCGGAAGAGAGCATGAGAGAGTAGGCAGCTGGGAGTTGAGAAACGGGTTCGGCCAGCCGATGACAGGATCTGCGGGCATAGCGACGGCGAGTTTAGGAAGTGATACGCCCAACCCACGGCGTTTTGATGATGACGACGACATTAGTATAATGGCGGCGCAGCCCGTGAAAATCCGCGAGAGCGTCTAGGCTACGAGATGAGAAGCGGCGAGATTCGGTATATTACTATATCTAGCTTTGTGCTCTGTTTATTTGTACATGCTGTTGGACAATGGGAGGAAATACCAAGGTAAAAGTCGTCTGGTCTGTCGGTCAAGGGGTAGTGGGGTTATAATTCTTTTCTTTTCTCTTATTAAATTCACTCTGGCCACCTGTGCCGTACAACAGCTCGCCATTTGAGGCATCTCTTCTCATGCGCTCTCTGTGAGTTATCATATTGACGTGCCAATAAAGAAAAAAATGAAGCATAAGCCAAAGATTACAGTTAGGATCAGCACTTGAATGAGTCAAGCGGCATGACCTGCAGCAGTAGCTGCTGTTGGCGGAATTGCTCTCCACCCTGACTGATACATAGCGCCGCACTACTGATCCTACGATGGCCTCTTGTCGCATCATAGCTTAGGTATTCAGACATGAGTCTTCCTCGACATGTTGGGGAGTCGCCGTCGATTTATCCCATTTGCGTTGTATTCTTGGCGCGGCATCAGTCCACCGGTCAGACGCATCCCGCACCGTCATCTTGAAAAGTTGAAAGCCCCGTCTAGTTTGAGTCTGCGCGCATCAATCTTTCACCGGCAGTCTCTCTTCTCGCGTTACGGAAAGAAGCCCGTCAAGCGTCGTGGCTTCAGATCCAAGGAGCCGTTCATGGAGAAGCCGCTATCCCATCGCCCTAAACAGTCCCTGAGCATCCCGGAAGAGAGGCGATACGTGTATAAGCCCCTTGGCGAAAACAAGTGCGTTCGGTTTCTCACTCTCCAGCCAGGGTCAGGTTCTGACCCTTTAGTCGGGGGCCTCGAATTCGGGAGCCTCGATCCGGCGGACATTGAACAGCTCCCCCCTTATGAAGCAATATCGTACGTCTGGGGCACTAGTGATCGTCGCTTCGAGCTCGTATGCGATGGCGCCGTCCTGCCTCTGACGCAGAGCATTCGCGATGCGCTGATGCGGGTTCGACTGCCGGATCGGCCCCGCCGACTATGGGCGGATCAGATATGCATTAACCAAGACGATATTGCGGAGCGAAGCCAGCAGGTGAAGCTTATGAATGCAGTGTATAAGAATGCTAGCAAGGTGCTTGTGTGGTTGGGGCGGGATCTGGACGGAGTGGCTGCGGATGCAGTGCGGATGGTACATCATCTCGATGGTGTATTTAAAGATGACGAGGCTCATGAAAAGTTCAAAGTTGATCACGAGGAGAATCTGCCGATGCAGAGCTCGGAACGTTGGGTCCCTTTGGCGAAACTAACCAAGCTGCCCTGGGTAAGTATATGACACCTGTTACCTAATGATGTCTCGAGAATTGACGACATTACGCGCTTTTCATCACCTCGAGTGAGATCTCCTTCTGACATTGAGCCTCAAGTTCCACCGAATATGGATTGTTCAAGAGATTGGAACCACTGCACCGGCAACTCTGTATTGGGGCGACACAGAGATGGATTGGGATATGCTCTCGTTTGTCGCCGGGATACTCAATGAGAGATACCATCACCTACGTACGCGGTTCTTCATTGGCACTTCCAACATCCGCTACCTTCACAAACGCTTCGTCGAGCCAGATGTTGAATACGACCAGTTCCACAACAGAGGTAACTTTGCATACGAGCTTCACCGCGCGAGGCACCTTCTTGCACAGGACCCTCGAGACCACGTGTATGCCTTCCTGGGGCACTTTTCCATCGGCAAGGGCAGCGAGGAGCTCCAGGGTCTCGAGGCAGATTACTCCAAGAGCATAGGGGAAGTGTTTTTCGATGTCGCAGTGAGAGGCCTACGTGGAGCCGACGATCTCGTGATGCTAGCGGCGACACATCACAGCCGATCCGACGGGAAGAGGCGAGCGCCGGGAAACGACCAAGACTTGGATTTGCCATCATGGGTTCCTGACTGGAGAGACCTGCCGATGCATATTCTCGGATCTCCCGCGGTGCCGCATCGAGCTTCGAAGGACACCAAGCCGGACCTGACCATTGATGAGGAGGCCCGGATCTTGCATGCTAGGGGCGTCAGGGTCGATGTTGTGGAGAGGCATTCGTGGACGATTTACGGGACGGCGTTTCAGGTGAGGCACGACGATCAGAAACAAAAGAAGAAGTGGTGGAGATACCGTCAACATCAACAGGGGAATGGTCAGGCCAGCGGCAATGACTCTCCCCAGCCTCAGCCTCAATCCCGGAATCAGAGTAATACGCGCACGCCTAGCAGCAGCAACACCCCAAAGGGGGGCAAGAATACCGCGAGAGGTAACAACAACAACAATAACAACAACAACAATTTCCAACGAGGCCGCTCCCCTCATCAACGACGAAACAGCCAAGGCGACCAATACGGCTCTCGCACGCATCCCATGGAAGTCCTCTGGAAGCAAATCTGCGGCTACCAAACCTTTACCCTCTCACGCATATACCCCCCCTTTCTCAAGGACGCCGCCACATCTCCATCTCCATCTCCGTCCACCCCCACGACTTCGCAGGACCACCACAAGTCCGCCTTCTTCGCTCTCATCCAGACCCTCACCAACGCCTGCACAGGCATGGACCGCACGCGTGCCTACTCGTCCATCTCCCCCGACGAATGGCTCGCCAGCGGAGCGGCCTATCTCGTCCGCTACGCACTCCCCGCGTCTGCATCCACCTCCTTATCGCCCTCTCAGACGTTTCCCTCTCTCCTCTCCCAACGCTCAGATAGCAGCAACAACACCACTGGCAACGGCAACCTCATGTCCAATGTCTTCGAGAGAGCAAACTCCCTCTCCGTGTCGTCGCACACCCCCATCTCCCCCGCCATCCACGCCCTCTCCCTCACCGGCGACCCCTTCAAATGGAGCCACGAAGCGACCCTCATCACCCGCTACCGCCGCTTCGCCGTCACCCGCAACGGCTACTTCGTCCTCGGGCCCGACGCCCTACAGGAAGGAGACGTCGTGGCCGTGCTGCGCGGCGGCAAGACTCCCTTCCTGCTACGCGAGGTAACTGACGACGACGGTGGCAGTGGCTGGATTCTCGTCGGCGAGTGCTATGTGCATGGGTTGATGAATGGGGAGGGCTGGGATGTGGAGGGGGTGCAGGAGGAGGTGTTTTCGATACGGTAGGGAGGAAGATGAACTTGGGTTCGTCGTTAAAAGTGGAGGAATATTCGGTAGGATGTAGCGAAAGGGGAGTGAGTGTGATGGAAGTGAGCTATGATTGTATGTTCTTGCATAGACGCCACTTAACTAATAAACTCGATAATTCTGCGCGACATTAACCTTCGGGGAGGTTCTGCAGTAAGACACATGGTACATCCTTTTTCATAGTTCATGTAAAGTTGTGAAGTGTAATTGTGGCGTCTTGTAAACATAATACGAGACCTCACATCTGCTACACCTCACTAGACAACCGGACACAACGTAGCCACGCTGCAATGTTCGTTGGCACATGCCTTACATGTATTCCTCTCTGTGGATAGGTCACCGTCCAGAATCATCGTACGGCATGACAACTCGCAGCTCACCTCAACACTCTACACATACACAATTACAAACCCTTTACTAATTCACACATCACGTTTTAAGAGGAAGAAATTCAATGTAAATCATCAAATATTTTTTTGGGGCATTTCATTACCACCCAGCCTCTGGCATTCGTGGAATTTCGCCTCTCCCATCTATCTATACAAATTCAAACATGAAAAGTAAGGCGCCGACCCTATCCGGCCAGCTCGTGAGTGAAATCGGGGACGGATTATGCCGCACCCCCTGCTATGTGACAAAGGAAAACTGAAAGAATTGAGTAAAGCTACCCTCGATATTTGTGACCGTCCCATTGTGTCCCAGTTAAATCCCAAAAAGAAAAAAAAAGAAGAAACTCCGTCGCCGTTGTCTGGTCCATGTTGTGTACATATGAGCCCTGAATAGAGGATAGAAACAAGCCGCTAATTAATATAGTTCGTGCAAAAAGTATTTCTTTTTTTGACTTTAAAGGTCCGTAGTCAAGAGTTCTAGCCTTGATACTAGAGACTCTATGCTGGCGCTTATACTTTGTACTCGAGCCATAGCAAATGCGGCACTGACTTCCTCCTCGGTGGCATCGACAAGCTCGATTCTAGACAACATCTTCTCGGGCTCAATGCCACCAAAGATGTCGACGTGTGAAAGGCTGTCAGTGTCGAGGGCTTGGGACTCAGGGCTGGACGAGGTAGGTTCGGAGTGGAAGAGAGCAAACTCTGGGTCTGCCTCAAACTCCTCATCGACAGGAGCAGACTCTGTCTGGGCGACAGGAGCCTTCTCGACAGGTCGCTTAATGATAGGCACCTCAACCTTGTCGTCATCAGACTGGAAAGTCTGCTCGACGAAGCTAGATGTCTTGCCCGACAGGATGCTAGACTCAATAGGAGAAGGCACCTCGGAAGTCTCCACAACGAAAACCTGGGGCTGGAAGTTGAAGCCATCGAGGTTAAACATGGAGAAGTCCATGCTCTGCTCAGGGATCATGGCCATGCCAATCTGCTGCTGGGAGGGCTGAGCGCCGTAAGGGTTTACATCCTTTACAGATCGCTGTTCTGGCGACTGCTGAGGCTCAGCCTTAACCTGCGGCTGGGCGGCAACGGAGGGGTTTGAGCTGAGGTGGTCCAAGAAGTTGGAGAATGAAGGAGAAGAGAGGAGCATGCGGGTGAGAGCAGACAGGCGCTTGTTCTCCTCGACAAGGGCGCGGTTCTGAGCGCGCAGATCATTGTTCTCGGTGACTTTACCGGAGACTTCAGACTCGAGTTGAGTGATGTACTCTGTGGCTGGTTAGTGAAAATGTTTCGCGATGAGCACATGCGTAATATCGTCTTACCCTTTCTTCTTGATCGGAAAGCACGGGCAGAGACCTTGTTGCGCAACTGTCTCCGCTCCTTGCTGCTGAGCTTCTTGCCCTCCTCACTAGCCAAAAGGCGTTCGTCCTCATCCATTTCCTCCTCATCCTTCTTAGACTTGCTCAGGTTGGTCGTGGGAGTCGGGCTGTCGGATGGCGGAGGAGCAGGCTTAGCCCGCATCGAGTTGAGAAGCTGAGTGATCTTCTGCTCGACAATGGGGTCATTGTGTGGCGACAGCTTGCCGCGAGGCTTGGCCTGGGCGGGTTGGCGCTGAGCCTGTTGCTGCTGCATAATGTGCTGCTGCTGCCTCTGCTGGGCATGGGCCTTGGCCATGGCAGCCTGGGAGTGAGCACCAGGCCACAGACGGCCGACGCTGCCAGAGTGGTTTGTTGGGACTGGCGAAACGATGGACTCCTGCTCGATGCTGCTGGGGTTGATGGTCGAGAAGAGCTGGGAATCGGCGGGCGACTCAAAGTCCATCGCCTCGGTCGGGCCGATGGTGGTCTGCGAGGGCGAGGTGTTGAAGTCGAAGACTTCGTTCTCGGGAGTAAAGCTAGTGAGGAAGTCGAGGCTTCCAAAGTCCTGGTAGCCAGCGTTGCTTGACTCGTTGACGGCCATTGTGTTGGCGATGGCTCCAGGCACGAAGCCAGTCTGTTGGCGGTACATGTCATAGTTGTGACTCGGGCCACTCAAGCTGGGCGTCGTCATCATGCTGGGCGTCGTCACGGCGGCGCTGACGGGGCTGGCGAAGATGGGCTTTGATGAGGTAGAGGGAGACATGGACGGTGAGCCATAGCTGGGGATGGCATCGTACTCTGATAGATCGAGCAGTGCGTCCAGGTCGACGTTATTGTTGTCCGCCATGGTTAGCGGATCTGCCGGTGAAAGCGAGGTCGTGGATTCGGATCGGTGGGATGCAATTCACGACTGTCCAGATGCGATGCAATGAACTGCTTTGTATCTAAGCGTTCACAAAATCACAAAAATAAAAACCTTACAAATAAGGATGTATTGATGAAATGGGTTTGAGAGGATGAAGGTGACGACGGCCGGTTTTGGGGGAGCGGCGATATTATGGTTTACGGAATCTTAGCGGCTGGGATTGAAGCCAAACGGGGGGCCGTGGCCACTACTGGACCTGCCAGACACCTGAGCAGGCACCTGGAAAAGGTGCGCTCTAGGGGATGCGCGGAGGCCCCTTGGCGTCTGGCAGTGGTGCAGGGGTGCGGCGGGGGTGCGCGCACAAACGGGGCAGTGGACGCGTAAGCCTTTTTTCCCTGAGCATTTAATGCAGTGAGCGTCCACTAAGGCGCAACCACTAGGCGCAGCCTTTGGCCTCTTTGGCTCAAGTGCGGGATGGATCTTTTGCAGCCTCTGCGTTTTGCTTCCCCATTGCCTGAGGGATGACGACGCCTGCCTGGCTGCTGGCCCACTCGTTTTGCTCGCGATAAACCTGCCAACCCAATCCTGAAGCCAGCTCCGGCCGGGTGCACCAACCGAAGGGCCAGCTCAGAGGCTCGGAGATTCGCAGGGCTGACGACCAAACCCACGAAGCAGGACGCGAGTCCCAGCGATAGCAGCATCAATGATGCTACATGATGCTGCTGCTGCTGCTCGTATTTGGAAAGATAAAAGATTGGGAAACAAAACTGGTTAATACTGTACTGTATACCACTGGAGCTGGAATTGCTGCTGCTGCTGCTGCTGCTGGACAGCTACTAGATAAGGTATTATTGATTACTCCGGCTCCGGCTCCGTGGCTCAAGCAAAAAAGATCTTGATCCCGTTCGTTCGCTTTCACTTTGGACTGGGCGTCGATAGTTTGGCTTTTAGGACCTGATCATCAGCGAACAAGATTCGTCCCGCTCCTTCGGGATGCTCAACAGCCCGACGGTTCGTAATCATTCCTCCAGCGGCGCTACTTTGCTGGTACTCCCAGCGCTCTGTAGCCGCCCTACAACTGCCCTCGTAACTCTCCCACTAGTTCGTGTACCTTTCAAGTCCCTCCAACTGCTCGCGAGACCGTCTCCCCACTGTGGTGGCTGTGCATCCACCACCCATTCCATCTTCTCCAAAGCATCAATCCTGATGGATGGATGGACTGCTCGGTCTCCGAGCTGCTGAGTCACCATTTATATCACGTGATATTGCTCTCGCTCTCGCTTACCAGAAGCCCAAATGGAGATTGGCGGTGGCAGTGTTTCACAAGAGCATCTCGTTGGTTCAATCAGTCCCTGGCCAGGCGAATCGCTGTCTGTCTGATTGGCCCATACAAGCGTATTCCATTGAGCGCGGGCCCGACTCCTGTCGAGCGTTGCCAGGTTGGTTCGTCGGCACGAGCCCAAGTTCAAGGTGGCCATTGCATGCCGTGGCTACAGTACGTTACGAAACATGATCTGCTCAACACGCCGTGTTTCGTCGTGAGATGGTTGATTCGATTCGATGTCTTCAGTTCCAAGGTCGCTAATGTGAGGGTAACGCCTCATCACTCTCAAAGAGACAGGTTCATTCTCGCCTCTATCGCCAAGGCCTGGCCCGAGTCAATGCAATTTCTCCCACCGCTCAGGATTGTTGTGGCTTAGGTCCTTGCCAACGTAACAGCAGCATCTAAGCCGGACCAAGCACCATTCACTACTCCGTACTGGTAGTAGTTATTTTGTCCACCGTCTGAATCCTCCTTTTCTTGGCCTTTGTGATTACTTTGCCGCCTTGCCGGTGCGCAGGATGCAATATCGCTGGGCAGCGGCTGAGTCGGCAGTGAGCAGCTCCTAAGATCCTCACAGGGCGGAGTACCTCGTATGGAGGAGGCAAGTCTTCGAGAAGCATTGGTCAAATCTGAGGAAATGCCTGGCCGTTGCCTTTCTCGCCATGTTTCAATCACAATGCCCGCCTGTCCAGCTGAAACCGTCTAAAGCACCCAAGGCTATGCAGCACAACACGTGTGATGTTTCTATTTTTGACTATGCGACATGTTTGTTTCTGCGGTTCATTTCTTCTTTCTGGAATATCGCATGGTTCCACCCACAGCCTCGAAGCAGCGTTGATTTCTTGGCCGCAGCTGGTTGCTTGGCCGCTGACAGCAAGCCATCCATATCCGGTCGAGTCTTCGATATCCACACAGTTGGATGGACTAAAAGGATCTCGACACTTCACAGCGTCCATCTCTACTCGGTAGGTTCAGCATTGATTCCATTATTTTAGAGTATCCAATCATTATCCGGCTGGCTGTTCCGTGGCTGTGCCAATCCCGAATGGTGTGCGGATCATCGGACGATGGTTAGCCTCTGACATAATTTGACAAGGCCGTCGTCGAGATGGACGTCGATGCTTGAATCGCTATCCTATTTAGGAAATGGATGACCGGACACCGGACATGGAGGCATCACGGCGGTTTATTGTGTCGCCGCCATCCGCTTCCCGCTTCCGAGTGAATTGTAGTGGTATAGGTATATTCTGCGTTATCGAAATGATGTAGCCAACTGCCGAGCCGGGGGGCGATAAAATCCACAGCCTTGGCCTTTGGCGCTGCTTCTCGAGTCCCTCTTGCCTCTTGCTTCCTTGTTTGCTTGTTTCTTTGACGTGACATGTGCACATCACATGCGAACGCCTATCGGAAAGGGAATATTATTCTCCCAGCTCCCACGTGATTATGTAATAAAAGCATCAAGCTGCCCAACATCATGAGAGAGTCTCACGTCCAAACTGCCGGATGGTCACGTATCTGGCTCCAGCACCTGATCAGTCGAGGCCCAACCAGCTTCAGGCAGAGCATCTGAAAGCGGCTGCTTGTGTATTGCCACGGCCCACCTCGCCGTCCGCTGGTATCGGGCGCTGTCGGCTTGCAACTCAAAGCGACGATAACGGCTGCTTAAGGCTCTCTTTGTCCAGTCGTGCTGGACCCACGCAACTGGTTCGGCGGTTTGGCGGTTTGACTTGTTTTCTGCCTGCGTTGCGTTCCTCTGAACCAGGCGACCCCTCTTGGTGCTGCAACCGCCCAGTTGAGCGAGGCTTTATGCAAGATCCCAGCAGCTCACTGATGCAACCTTGGGCGCGTGCCGATCCGGTGAACTGTGCCTCTTCGCTATGCTAACACTGCCCCCGTTCCTGGAAGACGCTGCGTTATGATATACGATATACATGCCTGTCCAATAGCCACTGAAACTGAACATGGGAAGAGCACGACGAGGCTTGGTCCCAGGAGCTGCCGCCGGGCCCAAAGAGCGGCACAAGAGGACTCAAAGGTCGCAGTATCGGAATCCATACTCGCCTCGCCATGACACCTTTGTGGCGAAACCGCCGCTGCCAAAATCAAAGCACCACTCATACTTCGAGCTGGTTGAGAATAAAGAAAAGAAGAAGAAGCTCGAGTACCAGGTACACAGCGCTTGCGATCCCCGTGTGCCCAATCGTGGCGGAAACATACTCACCTTGTCAGATCACGACGGAAAAGACCCCGCCACCGGGGTTTGAATTTGTCCCCATCGGCAATCCCCAGCTTACCGCAACCTGCAAGGAAATATCCCGCGAAAAAGATGCCATGATATTTATTGTCTCCGTGTGTTTATTCCCTGACCCATTTCTGACGCATCATTTTGATCTAATCTTTGGGGATTTCAGAATGCAAAGGGTCTTGATGAAAGCAGTCTTGCCAACCAGGTGCATCGAATTGGCCATCATATCAGGCAAGTCATTGTTGAGGAAGCAAAGGCAAGCATCGGTGACACGCCTCACCTTGTCGGCCCGGTGACAGACGCAGGGCCTGAGCCTATTCCTGAATCCCAGACTACCTATCATGCCCAAGTTGATGCCGCCATTAGGGACCTGTTTCCGCGGGTTCCTAATACTGACCGTCAGATGATCATCGAGCACTCTTTCACTCGGGTTTGTATTTTCTCCTTTCTCTCCCCATCCTCCCCTGAAGCGAAAAAAAAGGACCAATGGCGAACAATAATATCTTCCTTAGGGATCAACTAATCGATCTGAGCATCCCGTCGGCTTCTCAGAAGACATTCCACTATCTCGCAGGGTCCAGCTTGCAGTCCTTGCCCACATAAGGCACACCCATACGCGCTATGATGCGTTGTTGAGGGAAACAACTTGGCAGAACGCTCGAAGAACTGTAGAATCTCTGTGTCTCGACATCCTCGTCAAGTGGCGAGGAGACGAGGAAACTGGTCGCGACCAACTGGACGAGATCCTACGTGAGGTGGTTGTCATATCTGATTCCGAGGATGATGACGATGATGATGATGACGAGGACGAGGACGAGGGCTCGACCGATTACACGTCGGACGAAGATGCTGACCATGCCAGGCTCACACCCATGCCTGTGTATCCAGCACCGCCTGTTCGTCGTGTGCATCAGCCGGATCGCTCCCCTCCCAGGTCCCCCGTTCGAGAAGTGATTCCAGTGTTTTCTCCACCTCCAACTGGGGTGGCATTAGGATACACTGATCGTGGTCGCAGAGACGACAGGAGAGCTCAGCGTGGGTTCAGACGATACCGTGCCTGGGAAGAAGCGATCAGACGTAATCGAGGGGAAACACCTGTGGTTGGGCCGCCCTCTCTGGATATTGCCATCAGCCATGTCGCATATCAGCCTTCCAGGCCTATCGGGCCTCCCTATGACGCCCATGTCCGGCCGTATGACAACTCAAGTCCAGTGGCTCATCCCACTGGGGCTTCCCCAAGTTTGAATGGCCGCGGGATACAGCGGCCCATATATGAGGTACCATCTTCTTTGACTTCGTCGCCCTACCGTGGTCGAACCATGGATGCCCGGCCCTCTCATGAAAAGGTAATGTCCGTTGTTCCGTTTTCGACCAGCGCGTCATCTCGCGAGCTGGCTTCTTCGGCTTCCAGTCATTTCCCAGACATGTTGGTACGCTCTATTGAGCCGGCATCCCCAGCCGCACAGTCTACATACATTCGCACCCTACCGCCCAGGAGCCAGGTCTCGGTAAGTTCTTACGCACCACCACCGGTCACACCATTGGCCGGCTTTCAACATACCCCCAGGCTTGTTTCAAATCCAGGAGAAGGAATGCATCCTTGGGACCGGCCCCCAGCGACACATGTAGCCTATGATGGGCCGCAAAATGCCATGGATGTCGATGCCATTTCCAGTAGAGAGTCTATCCATTCGCATGATTTCCGTGGCCGTACATATCCGCATTCCACTGCATTTGGAGCACAGCCAGCATCTTCTTTTCCTCATCCGGCATCTGGCAACCCAGGGCCAGCTTCTTCTGCTTCTTCCAGGCTTCCGGGGATGAGGAGAATTGTTCTAAACGCAACCCGCCCTGGAGAACGCTCAAATCCTATTCTTATGGAGGATAGAGGCGGATACTATGAAAGGATCAACCCCCGACCTGAAGGCAGCGCGCGAATTCAACTACGGCCCACTCGCTCTGCTCACCCAGCAGCAGAGGTTGAGGTCCAAACCACTGTCAGGCCTCACACAATTTTCTCATGGGAAGAAGATTCACGGCATAGAGCCGAGCGCCGCGGTGTTGCAGAACTTGAAATCAGTCCTCTATTTGATTCCCGCAACCGTGCGCCCCAAGCACCCCAAGCACCTCCTGCACCCAATTCTCACCCCTATCCTCCTCGCGACTACTACGGTGCACCCAGGCTTGAACCACTGACCAAAGAGCCGAACTACAGAGTACAAACCCGGCAAGTGCCTAGTGGAGAGTATGCTGCACCACCTCCTGAGGGCTATTGGGTCATGTAAGTCATAGACACCCTTGTTCAACATGCACCTCGAATTTGCTATGATTTAATGCTCATGTGTTGCAGACGACAACATGACGACAGGCAGGCCTCACGGCCTCATCATGAACCCATCTATCCTCCCCCCAACACACGACCTTCTGGGATGGATGAACGGTATGATAGTAGACGAGAACGTCGGCCCCCAGGTCAATCGGCACCAAACGTGATTGTCATCGACTGATTATATGACTTTTCGGCCCTTGGACTTCGATGTCGGCTCGCCCCTTGTTTCTTTATCTTCCCTGAATCGAGTTCCAAGCCCAGGCATTGCGCAGCATCCAATGATGATGATTATGATGAGCACCCCAAGAGTTAGAAGGCATATGCGGTTTTGTTTGTTTGTTTGTTTGTTTGTTTGTTTTCAATCCTGGCATGGAAAAAAGCATGGAGTGGAGGAATTTTGCTTGGTTGAACTCCTATCTATTATACCCCAACGCTCTCCTTTTGCCGGGACCGGCCACTTGGAAGCACCATTGTTAGATACCCAGAGGGAGGCATTGGCCACTGTTTATTTGTATTACTGGGCATGGCACGGAAAAGAGTGCATTGACTGTGGAAAGGCATGTGCGAGTACATGATGCATTTATGTTAGAAAGGGGGGTTGAAATTGAAGACAGGTATCCTGGTGAATGATTGAACGCCCGCTGTGATTGTGCCCCTTCATCACGATTTACGCCGGATTTCAGAACACGTATATCAGGAGTAAAAAGTAGAACAAGTATAGATATATTCATTTTAAAAAGAACAAAAAACTAAAAGTTACCACGCAACCCACATTCGCTCACATTGTAAGTGAGTCAGCCAGCTCTCTTCTTTTATGACCGTGGGTATCCATAAGATGCATACAAAGGCTATTTTTCACCCAATCATGCCGTCATTTCTTTCATGCAAAGAACGCTCTCCTTGTAAGCCCCTTTTAGTTCCGGCCTCCCCTCTTCCCCTTGCCCACTCCCGCGCCGACCGGTGGGCCATGTCTCTTCTCGGTGCCGAGTCCCCTCCGGCCGGCAGCGATGCCGCCCTTTCCACTCCTGGGGCCACCGAAAGAGCCGCCGCGGCCTCCGCGGGCGCCACGCATCGGTCCGCCTCTTCCACGGCCCCTGCTGCCGCGATCACGGCCGGGGCTGATGCTGTTCTTGACGGCCACGGCGGTGTCATCGTCCATCTCGTCGCCGTCGTCGCCGTCCTTGGAGCGCTTGTTGGAGAACTTGAGCTTGCCGCCGCGACCGCGCTTGGCAGCGTCGCGGCCCTTGATGGCGGCGACGTAGGCGCCCACGCCCGAGTTTTCGGCGCCGCCGGGCTGGTCGACGTCCATGGCGCCCTCGTCATCGCTGTCCTTGCCGAGGATGAGCTTGCCGTCGAGATCGGTCTTGGCCTTTGTCTTTTGGGGCTTGCGAAGCTTGACGGGCTTGGTGGATGATATTCTGGCCAGGGCCTTCTTGTCGAGAAGGTCAAGGGGCTCGTCGTCATCCTCAACAATGTATGTCTTGCCGCCCTTCTGCGCCTTCTTCTTGGGTCTTTGTGCGCCCTCGTCATCTGATCCCTCGGATTCGTCTGAGTCGCTGCTATACAGAGTGCGGTCGTATTCGTTCTCATATTGTCGCTTGCCATCGTCCTCTTCGTCGTCTTCACTAGCGTCGTCGTCGTGAGCACCCTTGGCAGCATCCTTCTTTCTCTTTGCTCTCTCTTTGGTCTTGCGAATGTTGGCCAGCAGCTTCCTGTCGGACTCGGGGCAGCTCTTGTTGATGGCATCGAAGCCGAAGCGGCGGACCATGCGCTCCAAGATGTGCTTGACCTTGGCCTTGAAGTGGCCCTTGTGTTCGTTGCTCCAGATAATCAGGTTAGGTACGAGCGTGTCCAGGCGTGGCATCATCAGCTCAACTGGCAGGCTAATGACACAGACCTTGACGAAGCCCAGGCAGCTCTTGACAATCTCTCGGTTATTTGAAGTCAAGAAGAGATCCATGGTTTGCACCAGATCAGACAAGGTCTGGTCGCTCAGCGATGAGCGGAACTCGTAGAGGAGACGGCTGATGGCAGTGACTGACGCAGAGATCATGTGAGGGGTGCTTCCGGCCAGACCAGCGCTCACCATGGTGAAGAACTCTTCGATATTGGCAGTGGCAGCTGGGGCATCGCTTGGCATGTGAGGCACCTTGCTGTTGTCGATGACAGCACCGTTAGCAGCAGCCATCTTGTGTCCCATCTGAACCAAGAGGTCGTATGCACTTTCACGGGCTCGTTCGTTGTTCTCCTTGCAGCAGATGACAATCTCGCTCAGAACAGAAGGAATGAAGTGAAGGCAGTTGTCAGGGACAAAGGGTAGCAATGCAGCAATGGCAGCGATTCTCTCACGTCTAGCCGGCCCAGAAACCTTCTCCGAGCTGGAGAGGATCAGGGTTTGCAGCTCAGCATTTCGCTCCTGCAGAGCGGCCTTGCCAAGCTCGGAAGTGGCCAGTCGTGGAATCAGCTTGTAAGCTTTCTTCTGCAGCTGGGGCTCCTCTTCCTTGTTGATAATTACAGAAGCAATCTCAAATAAGGTAGCGAAGCTCTCTCGTGGGAGGTATGCCGAAATGGTAATGACAAGATCCATAAGGGTTTGTGCAGTGGATGGCATGTGATCCTTTGACTTTTGTCCTTGAGTGGGCTTCTCAGCAGCTGGTGCATTCTGAAGTTCACCTGCAAGCATCTTGCTGACGCGGTCGAACGTATCCATAAGCTCCTGGTTTGGCGTGATGCTGAGGAAGGCATTCACAGTCTGCAGAATGGGGCCACGGCTCTGGGGCAAAGTCTGGGTATACACGTTAAAGAGAACTGCGAGCATATTGCCAGCAAACTGGCCCAGATATGCCAAGTTTTTGCGAGCAGCGTCCTTGGTTACCCGACTCTGTAGAAGGAGATCCTCTTCCTCCTCCTCGATGTTTGCAACAGCTTGGTTAGATTCAATCAAGGTCCTCAGAGCCCTGCAGATATCCAGTCTCAGATCGACTTGCTTGTAGAGAAGATTGGCCAATATTTCAGCCATAGATTGGTCGAAAGACTCCATCAAGTCGAGAGGCAGGTCGCAGTAACCTGGCAGAGTAGACCAGATTTGCTGCACCAGCGTCTCGTAGATCTTGATCTCCATAGTCTTTTCAGCTTCCCCGTGATCCAAGACCTTCTGGAACATGACTTCACTCAGAGGCACCATCTCGCTCTTGAAATGAGCCAGATTTGTGTTGCTGGTGTAATCTCGCAGAATCGGGAAGAGCCATGCTCTTCCGTTCTGACCCTTTACGGGCTTGATGATGTTCAATGGGAGAATGGAGAGCACCGCTTCAGGGCCCATGGCTCGAATAGCCTGGCCTAGTACTTCGTCTGCCTCCTTCTTGTTCCGGAAAGATGGGTTTTCGCGAATCTCCCCGATGGTTCGTGTGACGTTGAGCATGATGGGGTTTGCCCTCCATCTCAGACTGATGAAAATGGCCTCCAAGACATTGAAGGTTTGCAACCAAGCGGCTTGGTATTGAACGCTGAGGAGAGACTCGGCCGCTTTGGCAATCTTATCCAGAACCTTCTCATCGTATATTGAGGGCTCAACAATAACCTGAGGCGGAATGCAGTTGGCCATGAATGATACCAAACACTCGGAAGCTGAGATTCTGATGTTTTCGGAATCAGACTGAAGGAACTGTGCCACCATGTTGAAAAGATCGGGAAGATTTTGGAAAGTCTCGTCGGCCTCAACCTGCGCCGACACATCGTAGCCTCGGGAAAGGATCGCAAGCCACGCAGGGACAAGTTGGGTATCGTTCGCAGCTGGTCGCAGCTCTGAAATAATTTCCATTAGGCGAGGTAACTTTGCTGAAGTGAGCTCGTCTGTCATTCCCTCAAAGATCAACTCGAAAATCTCAAAAGCGGCCATGGTCATATACTCGTTGCCCGTCTTGGCAATGTTTAGCAGGAGCTCGCAAAGAGACTCGATTTTGGTGCTCGGCCAGCCACCACTCGCAGATGCTACTGTCTTAATCAATTGAAGTGCGTGGATCAATGCCGGGTCGTGCGTTGTGCTGGGCGCCTTCTTGCCCTTTCGCGCCTGGACAGCCTGAGCAGCCAGATCCTCCAAATTCTTCAACGCAGTGTGGGCGCACATGTCTGCGGCTGGGTGGTCCGTAGAAGGGCTTGGCGGGGGATTTTTGAGCACCCTCTTGAGCGCATCTTGAGAACGTCTTCGCACCTTGGGCCGCTGATCCAAAGCCAGGTTCAGCAGTCCGGCAACAGCACGTCTTGGTCCGATCTGGGTGACAGACAGCTCCCACGAAGCGGCATCCTGGGCCAGGAGAAGAGATTCCAGGCACCCAATTGAAGTCCTGAGAAGAATTGGCTCCGCATCCTGCGCCAGCAAAACCGGCGCGAGCAGCGTAAGGATCTGAGTAAACTTGGATCGGAGCAGAGGCTGCGGTGCGAACGGGGTGACTACGTCGAGAAGATAAACCACCGGAGTGGCCAATTCGATGTTAATGTTTCCATTGCTCTCCGCCTGCTGGAGAAGCGCGAGAAGAGCGGCAAAGTATCCAGTAGAAGTCGGAGCCGTGTTCTGCTCCTTCAAGGTTGATTCGACCGCCTGCAAGACAACGACAGTCTAGCGCACACCAAAAGTTAGCAATGCACACAAAACAGGACTCTCTGGTTGCATGAAGATGCTCACCTTCTGCTGACTCTGAAGCCCCGGGGACTTGATCTTGTCCAGCTTCTCAGCCAGAGTCGGAGTTGGAGTCGCCATCTTGTTGTAGATATCGTCCAAACCTCTTGAGTGAGAGAAAGCGTCCGCTTCGCCCGCTGCAAAATTCGAGGCAAGCAAGCGCACAGCACAAAAAATTCCCTTATCGTAATCCCCGCCAGTCGATAACGATAACGATAAGCGCAACCGACAAGTGGAGTGTGGCTGAGCGGCCTATGCCAATATCCCATATTTGACATCGCTATATCCGAGCTGTCGACGTACCTGCGGCCCCTCCAAGCCTCGCCCAAGCTCGGGCAGTAGTAATTGGTCGTCAGCTCTGAGGGATCCAGCTCTGCAAGTTCGATTCCGCTCCGGCCACTTACTGCGCAGCTTCGGCGAGGAACCATGACTTTCCTCATACTCGTGATTGGGGACCTGCACATCCCGGACAGGGCGCTGGACATTCCCGCCAAGGTATGCCGAACAAAAGAGCCCAGCAGCTTTACCCTGGAGCCGGTGTTGTCACCGTTGCTAACTCGCCATGTGCGTCGCCCCTCTAGTTCAAGAAGCTGCTTGCGCCAGGCAAGATTGGCCAGACTCTATGCCTCGGTAACCTCACCGACAAGCACACCTACGAGTATCTCCGGTCCTTGTCGCCGGACCTCAAGATCGTCAAGGGCCGCACCGATGTCGAAGCCACGTCTCTCCCCTTAACGCAGGTCGTCACCCACGGCGGCATCCGCATTGGCTTCTTGGAAGGCTTCACTCTTGTTTCCAACGAGCCCGACCTGCTTCTAGCCGAAGCCAACAGATTGGACGTCGATGTCTTATGCTGGGGCGGCACTCACCGTTTCGATGCCTTCGAGTATATGGACAAGTTCTTTGTGAACCCGGGCAGTGCGACGGGTGCATTCGTGACAGGAGCAAGCCTGGATGCCGAACCTGCGTCTCCAAGTTTCTGCCTGATGGATGTGAGAGCATCTGTTTACTCTAACACTTTTGGCAATGGTGCTAACTCTCATGACAGGTCCAAGGCATTTCACTGACCCTCTACGTTTACCAGTTAAGGACGGATGAAAAGGGAAATGAGAATGTGGCGGTAGAGAAGGTTACTTATACAAAGCCCGTGGAGCCAACTACGGGTTCATCATGACGCACCTAACTTGATTGGAGAGAGGGAACTGAGCTAATAGAAACCATTGTAATTGCTGACGGCAGAGGTAGAAAGGGAGTCAATACCCGGGCCAACCCAGTTATACAAAACAACTTGGTGCTTGTCGGTGTACAGGCTGACCATTTCTTTCAAGAGATGGGAATATTCAAAAGCACAAAACACAACTTTGGTTATATGTGAACTGTCCCTGCTAAATGGGACAACGGACAAATCACAGAAGATTCAAAGCACTAAAAAAAGTCATAACGATAAATACAAATATCATTCAATAATTTCCGTCGCTTGGTATCTCGAGCATGAAACAAGATTCAAGTTCGCCTAATAATGCATCCCGAATTGACAGTCGTGAGTGCCCAGAAACGCCCAAACACACCCATGTTTCAAACTCCTTGTACTTCCCCCCTCTGGCCTCTATTGCTTCAGGGCCATCATCATACCATCATGCTCCTCCGTCTAGCAATATTTCTCTCTCTTGTTGATAGACTGGAGTCTTCATAGTCATCATCAGGATTCATTGTAGAATGTCTTGATGTAGTAGTCCGTCTTCGCCCACGTTTCTTTGGTTCCTTGATTTCCTCCTTCCCAGGCGGAGGCGACTTGCTCGTAAACTCATACACATCGGTCTCTGCCAAACCGCTACTATCAAGGTTGATGCTAGCATCCCTTGATCCCTCAGAGGATTCCACGTCCATTAAACTGTCGCTCACAATTCCCAAGCCTTTTGGTGCTATGCTTGTGGAACGCTTGCGGCGTTCCGTAATGACGCTACCCAGAAGGACGTCTGTAGCTAAATGTTTTGCTGCCAAAGGGCTTGTCGAATTATTGTCGAACTCGGGTGTTGATATCGAGCTGTCGGATACTGCCGCCTCTCGTTTACTCTTTGTTGATTCAGGCATAGCAAGATCGTAGCTACTGGCTCGTCGAACATATTTCCCTTCTCCTGCCACGGCATCAAATAACTCTTTGGTTGGTCGTCGCATCTTGGCTCTCAGGTTAGGCTCGGTATAACTGATTGTCGTCCGATTTCGCCTACTAAGCCGTGATGTTTTTCCGTTGGACGAGATATCAGTAGGTGGAGGGGTATCCCCTCGTGGTCCCTCAGGTGATACATCCGCTACCGGAGACACGGGCGAGAACAATGCCGATTCTCTAACGGGTGCCGCCAAGCTATCCATTGCATCTGACGTTCCTCGAGGTTCAATCGTAAGAATAGGCACAGCTTCAATTTCAGCGGTTGAGGGGTTCTTTGCTTTTGGTTTCTGTCGATCGAAGGCTGCCTTCGACCTTGCTGCATTGAGCTTGGCTGTGGATATCTCGTCGACCACCGATGGCTTTATCTTGGAAATCTTCCTCGGGGAATGGATATCGTCGTTAGTGCTCTTGGCTGCCAGTGGTTTCCGAACGTTTTCCGAGAGCTCCAGTTGCGAGTTTTTCCTCATTTTAGCAAAGTCCTTCACTGTCCTGCCTTCTGTCTTTTCAACCAACATCCTGCTAATGCTGTTCTCATTCGTTCCTTTCTCCGGTTGACTATTTTCGCTGTCGTCTCGAGCTCCAAATTTCCGTTTTGACCCGGCCTTAATGGGTTGAGATGGTGCAGTAACGACATTATTTTGGGGCTTATTCACCCGATCGCGCTTCTGCGCTATCAGCTCCTCGTGATCTTCTCCTTCCTCAGATTGTGACGAAGCCAGAGCAATTGGGGGCTCCAGGCCCTTCGACTTCTTCGAGCTTTCCACAGGCATTGATCTAGTTGGTGAATCGATCTTAACTGGATCTTCCTCAATATATTTAGACATTGGTGGAGGGCCGAGTTCGGGCGATTCCATATCGGCCTCTGATCGGAGTGCCAGAATTTGCTCAGGACTGTGTATCAGTTAGCATTTCATTCATCCATCGTGAAAATGAATCCACCTACTTCATTGACCTCCGAGAATTGCTCTTATTTTCGCTGATGAACCCCAATTCTTCAACATCTTTTGCAATTTCGCGTAGCCGCCTCTGAGATGGACTTGGCCGACTTGCGCTGAAGCTCGGTGTTTTCTTTGACCTTCGCTTAATCATAGGAGAATGTCTCTTCGCGGGCGGCTCGAGGCCCAATTCTGCAATAAGAGACCCCCATTCTGTGAGTTGCGACTCCAATTTGGCCTTGATGGCCATCGCGTGATCTGCTATTCTTCGCGACTCGCTGTCCTCGACTTGTTTTTCCAGTTCCAGAATGCGACTCCGCAGCTCAAGATTTTCCGACAGCATACATGCGCATTCATTTTCCAATTCGCGGATTCGAAGCGCTCGAATATTGTTTGTCTTTGCGAGTTCTCTATTCTGGCGAAGCATCTTCTTGCGAACTGAATGGCATATCGTTAGCACGCGCGGCAAATCATATTTTGATGCCCGAGACTACATACGCGTTTCGAGAGTCTCTGTCGGCACCGGCATTTCGTTGAGCCTAGCCATGGCTCCTCACAAGACACGCGTGTCTGCCGCGCAAATGATTGTGGAGAAGGGCTTGATAGCCAGAGATGCTTTTTAGGGTATCGAGAGTGGTTGAGATGTCGGTCTGCAGGAGCTCTTGGGGATAATTTTGGTTGTGTCATTATTTACTCCGCGACCTGTTTAGGCATAGCGCAAATTTTCTTCAGTACACTAACAGACCAGTTTGTACACAAAGACTTTGGTTGCTAGGGTGAAAACCACGTGAATGGAGCTTCTGGAGCAGACCCCGCCAATCTTAGAAAGAAACTCAATACAATTGCTTGGTCTACCTACATAATAGTGGACGTCCGAAGCTGGTGAAGCTTGAGCTCGAGCCCGTTGATGCAGTTTCTGTTAATAACAGCAGCACTCTGACTAGCCAATCAATATTGTTCGGTATTGAGACAGAGTCTCTCCTCACATACAAATTCATCCATCACCCAAAATGTCGTATCACACCAGGTCATTCTCATCGCAGGTGCGCGCAGCAAGTTCGACCGCCTCCGCTCCACAGTCACCAGCATTGGTGGCCCGAATCGAAGAGAAGAAGGCGGAACTTGAGAATCTTAAGGAGCTGAGAGACTTGAGCGCGACAGTAGCAACTCAGATGGAGGCCTTGGAGCAGAAGCTCACCACGTTGTCTGATGGAACTGAGGGTAAGGCAAACTGATGCTTAGCTGTAATGGTTTACATGGATGAGAATTGGGGCTGACAACACGGGCAGTGATTGCTGCTGTAGTTGGCAACTGGCATAATGTGCTTCGTGCCATCAACATGGCTTCCTGTAGGTCCAGTATCACCACTCTAGACGTGTCCAGCTACTTAACCAAAACATAGCGAAACTGGCCAAAACAGCAGCCGGGCCTGCCCCAGAAGAAGCATCAACATCCACTGCGCAGCTACCACAAACTCTAGTACGAATTCCCACGGAGCATGCACCAACACTGCAGGCGCAGGCCGAAGCAGTGGAAGCGGCAGCCGACGAGTCTATGACTGATGCTTAGGCTGGAGTGGGCAAGAATGGTGCTAGTAATTTACAGCATCGGATCGATTACTATTACTATGCGAATGAATCTTGAAAAGCTCACTCCAAGCTCGTTGGAATCGATTGGCTACTATGGGGAGATATGAGGCAAGGGACGTCGCCGCAGGGGTCAGCGCACATGCTCTTGGCTTGGATGCATGCTGCTGCTATAAACTTTGCAGGCAATCTTTGCTTTGATGCCATGGTGTCCCAGCATGGCAAGTTTATACCCCAGAAGATGCTCCTCTTTCTATCCCGGAATATGGAGTTGAAGATCGAAAGCCCTCGATGGGAGGCATCTTTTGCCATGGTCGATTTCTCGGCAGTTTCCCATTCTTATCGCCGGTAGCATGCCGCGGTACCGGTGATAACCCGCGACGCGTTGCCTCAGCCCTGGTCGCTCTGTCGCTCTGTCGCTCGCCACTGCAACACAGGCGGCCTGAAAGGGGAGCGATAAAAATGGCGACTGGAAAAGGGAAATGACGATGGGCCAGCAAGGTTGAAGCAAGAAGTGTGGACCATGGCGCAGCGGAGTGGAAGGTGGAAGGAGATCGGATTCATTTCATTTCGGCTCCACCACTTGGCCTGCAACCTGTCTCACCCGCGATCAACATTGAGTCCAAAATAGCTTCCTGCGGCAGAGCAGCTCAGCTGGTTTACCCCAGAGATTATTTGCCTATCTTACTATACCCAAACCAGCATCATCACAGCAAACTTGGTTCATTTCACCACTATTAGTTGAAATAGAAGACTTCGCGAACATATTGGATTCGGCCCCGCTTGCGCCCACGGCCTCCCGACTCCGGTCAGTCCGCGAAATTAGACTACGGTTTTGGTCTTGCCCGCGAAGAGTACGGAGTCGTAGTAATTAATTTCTATCGTATCTGATAGAAACCCCCTGCGTGCGAAGTTTCCAGTCCAATCACGCCCTCGACGCTGCACAGGTACATCTACTGCCCCCAAGAGCTGATGCTGCAATGGCCCGGCGCGGCATCGCAGTGTCGTCGTCGGCAGAGGATGTTGGCTTTGGCGTTGTGCAAAAAGGAGGCACCTTTGATGTCCACTTTGGCGCCAACATCTTTCAGCGACCCACGAAGCCGGACAGCTCTCGTGAGGTTTACGAGAAACTGCCGACTCATCACACGCCAAAGCAAATAACGACGTCGAAGCGGAATTTAGCGGGTGATAGCGTTGTCCAGGATCCCTGTCCAGGTCAATATCACAACCAGGGTCACCGGCCATCGGATGTTGCTATTGCCAGTGAGCTGAAGAAACATGTCATGGCAACCTCTCCTTTGGCTTTCCGTCGAGCTGCCAGACAAGCCTCACCCCAATTTCGTCGTCGACCAGCCGTTGATTCAGAGACTTTTCAGCCTCTCGATTCCTTGCGAGAAGCGTCTACTCTGGACATCAAGCACAATTATGAGAACACGGGACTATCCTCCACTCGTGCATCTCAAGGTGTGTTGGCATACGGTCACAATTGTTTACTCTCTCATCTTCCTTGCTTGCACACAGTCATTGACATACTTTGCGAACCTCCTAGAGCTATTCGCTGAAGTGTACGACCTGCTAAAGGACACAATTGGCGAGCGCACCATCTGGCAACAGGTCAAGAGGCACTCGGCAGGCCAGTTTGAATGGCTATTGACCCATCTGCCGTCTCCGAATTCTACCATCCACGACAGCTCCTCTGAAGAGTACGAAGCTGAGCACGGAGTTGACGGCAAAGCCTACGTCTGCAATCTAGTGCTGCAGAAGAAGCGGGAGCCACATAGCGACAGCGAGTGCCCGCTCAATTCATATTATTTACTGGCCACGCCACTGCAATACAGCGCCAACTGGACCGTGGAAATGCAGGAGCCTCGGATTGCCGGCGATGACGATTCCGTCACCTGGATGGACCACAGCCGTCCAGTAACGCCGCCAATGAAGGTTCCTGAGATTGTTCTTGCCGTTGAAAATGCAGTGTCGCCAGCGTTTACTGCGGTGAGCGACAGGAGCTTTGGCGACAGCTCGTCACGAGCCACATCATTCTCGCTACCGCGGATTGAAGACTCGCTGGAGGAGCTGGATCGGCTCGAGGACCAGATAGAGGCAGTCAACGAGTTTACACAATCTCAGCAACTGGCTCTGCTGACAAGACAGCAACAGCCAAAGCTTCCATCTCATCCAACTCCAGAAGAGGCAATGAGAGCATTCAAAAGATCGACGGTGTCGGGTGCGCCGGCCACGGTTCGTTCTAAGCCTGCCGAGAAGGTTAGCGTACCGCCGCGTCGATCTGCGTCTCTGACTATTCGGGAGAAGAGTCCCGAGGAGCCTGCCAAAGGATCCTCGAACCGTCGGTCCGGTCTTGGTGTATTCATGTCTAAGGCCGGGAACACCCTGGCCACGGTGGCTAAATCTTCAGTTCGCTCATCAAAAACGCCTACTATTCCCAATTTTGAGCTGCCAGGTAAGGCTGTGGCTCGACGACTGAGAGAAGTCCGCGAAACCCGCGAAGCACATCATGCGGCGGCTCTCAAGGCGTTGGAGGCCCCCCCAAAGCCCAAATGCAACAAGGCCTTGCCCAAGCCTACCTTTGAGCTGCCTGGAGATACCATTTCTCGGCGCAAGAGGGAGGAAAGCGAGGCCAAGCTGCGGGCCCAAGAAGAAGAGCAGCGCAAGAGGCGCGAGTTCAAGGCACGACCTGCAAGGCCAAACTCGACGCCCAGCACCGTTCCCCGGGACACAGTGGCAAGCCGGGCTCGGCAGGCCAAGATTCAGGAGGAAAACGCGGAGAGGCAAGCTGCCTTGTCTAACAAGGTCAAGCGACTGTCGCTGGGTCTCGTGCGCGATGAGCCTATGACGCCCACCCTGAGCAAGGCAGACAAGCAGCGCGTGCGTGGTTCCATGATTGCAGTCGCAGAGTCTATCAACCGGTCGATACTCTCATCTATGGTCAACGCCACTAAGAGTAAGAATCCGCTGTCCATTGAAAACATGATGACGCGCCTGCGATCCAAGAGCAAGGAGATTCTGGCCCACGACTCTGCAAGCATCATGGAGAAGAAGAGCCACGAGAAGAGTGAGAGGCCGATGACTGCCAAGGCTGCCCGAGACGAGGCTGCTGAGCGCTCTAGAATAGCGAGTCGAGAGTGGGCAGAGAGGAAGCGTCGTAAGGAGGCGACGTCTCTGAAGCAGATCACGGGGTGATGACGTTGCGAACAAGCAATAGCTATACTGCTAGGGTTTGGGCGCTACTGTCAACACTTTTTTTTCCTTTGTTCGTTCTCATTTTCATCATACCCGGGTTGTTTGTTTGTTTTTCTCAAGGGGGTTCTGCTCTGTCTGAGCAGCATTAGGCGCGCAACGAATATATCGATTAAGGAGGCGAGTGTATCGATGTTGCCATGGTTTCAACTGTACAAATAGGGACGGGACTGGAGTTTTCTTGGGGGCTTGTGGATTTTTTTGGTGTCGCACATTTGTCGACACATTGGGATACAAAGACTTTTGGGATTCTGGGAGCAATCCCGTGGCTCAACTATGATAAACTGTAGCTACTTGTGCTTTCTACTAGATAGAGGACAGGGCTGACAATTGGACAGCCAGTAATTGGGCGGCTGGATCGGAGAAAGGTGGATGAGGCTAAAGGGATCTGCCGGCTGCAAAGCACGGCTTGGATGCATTGACGGCTAAGAGAGGAGAGCTCTAGAGCAGGGAGAAGAGAAGTCTATGGACCACCAAGGTTAGATTAGACGGCTAGTATCAGTATTAGTATTAGCAGTAGAAGCAGCAATGCGAAGCTTTTGAGCTGTCATCTGTCATGTGTATTTCGCCATCTGTCATTCGCCATCTAGCCAGATTGGAGTGAGTGTCACGCGAGCTGAAGGACTGTGGACTGTGTATCGATTTAGCCCGACAAGTGCAGCAATGACGTCTATTGGCTCCGCGAGTTTTTGGTGTTCACTTTTATTGATAATGCGAGGCTAGGGACTGCATCGTTACATGCTCGCTTGGCTGCAATTTTTTTAGAGAATGCCTATTCAGCACCCCGCTACTCCGTACTTGCTGCTACTATCCATATTTTCTTCTCCTTGTACTATCTGCCATTATTACTACAGTACCTATGCCGCTTTTTAATCTAAAAACGGGATGCTGAATAGCGAACATGGGGTGCTGAATAGTCATCCATTCCCTTTTTTTAGTTGCCTTTCTCTCACACTCTTTGTTTATTATTGAGTCATCCATCTCTGACGGACGTGTGCTTTGGTGTTTTCACACCTCTGTTTCTCTGTCTGAGATTGCATATACGAGACGAGAGACGAGAGACGGGCACCTATTTGCGTTTTTCTTGTTTTTGTGCCTTGCTTGGCGCTGTCGCTGTCTATGCCGGATGCAGCTGTGATGAGCCGTTGAGAGGAGAAGAAAAAAAAAATTCACTTGGCAAACTCTTCATCTCGTCACGTTTTAGCTGTTCTTCGTCGTCTTTTTTTGTCCTTTTTCTTCTCATTTCCTCTCTCCAATACCGTATATATCCGTCTCCGCCATCGTCGCCTTGATTCCAAACGTCATCTCGATTTCTCCCCATCGAATCACCCCACGTCATATCCTCACTGACTCGTTCCCCCATCATGGACGCTCCCACCGTCGCCGTCAACGGCTGCTCCATCGTGGGCGTCTTCCAGCCCGCATCGGCCAAGTACCCAAAGGCGCTGGACATTTTCCACGGCATCCCGTTTGCCAGCGCCCAGCGCTTCCGGGCCGCCGTGGCGATGCCGCTGTCCGAGGCCACGGGCGTCGTCGATGCCTCGCGGCCGGCGCCCTCACAGCCCTTCCCCATGGCCCAGCACGCCACGGCGGAGAGCCCGCTGACGCTCAACGTGTTTCGGCCGTCGGTGTCGGCGTCGGCGTCCGAGTACGTCGTCGGGCCTGAGAGCGAGGGCGTTCGGGACCTGCCCGTGGTGGTGTATGTTCACGGCGGCGCTTTCAACTTTGGGTTCCCGCTGGAGAGGGACTTGGCGTCGTTTGTGGCTTGGGGAGCGAGCCAGGTGCTGGTTGTGAGCATTTCGTATCGTCTGGGGGCGCTGGGGTTCCTGGCCGGGGCTCCCGAGACGCAGGAGCTGAATCTGGGGCTGAGAGACCAGCGGCTGGCGGTTGAGTGGGTGAGGGAGTGGATTGGCGAGTTTGGAGGAGATGCTGGCGATATCACACTGCTGGGAACGAGTGCTGGGGCGCATTCAGTGAGTTTTCAAATATCACGTCTCTTGGTGGAATGTCCATCACAGGATGAAGATGCAATGATACACCATATTACAACGGCGTTTACTAACTTCTCTCCCCTCAGGTTGGCCATCACATGCTAAATCCATCCCCCCTCCCCTTCCGCAAGGCTATTCTCGAATCTGGCTCTCCAACTGCACGCTCTGTGCTCTCTCCTTCACATCCTCGCAACGTAGGCCATCTCAACGAGTGCAGCATGTACGCCGACAACAAGCCTCTTGACATCCTCCCCATCGACTCTCTCATCCAAGCCTCATTCACCGTCTACGCCATGCACCACACGCCCGTGACTTGGCCCTTCCAGCCTGTCATTGACGGCCCCGGAGGCATCATCCCCGATTTGCCCCTGAACCTGTGGCGGCAGCTCGTCGACTCGGGCCGTGCCAAGGACATCTCCGTCATCACCGGCTTCTGCTCCCATGAGGGCACGACGTTTGCCCCCCAGCATGCCTCCACCAGCGCCGAATTCCGCTCCTTTTTCCAGAAACTCATTCCTTCCTTTTCAGCAGACGACCTCGACGCCCTCGAGCTGTTGTATCCCGATCCCCTCATCCACCCGGACTCACCCTATCGCCAGCCCCCGGGCATAGGGGGCCCTCAGAAACGCCCGTACGGAGCGCAGTTCCGCCGCATCCATGAGGCTTACGGCCATTACGCGTACATCTGCCCTGTTCTGCACACTGCTCACACGCTATCTCGAGCGGGAGCCCGTGTATATCTTTATGAATACGCTGCTCTTTCATCTCCATTCAAGGCGGCATCTCACGGCGACCAGCCCCCCGCCGTAACACACGATCTAAACATCCTTGAGTCAACCCCGGGCCTCGTAGCCATCGCCAAGGAGATGAACCACCGCTGGATCTCCTTCTCCTCCTCACCCTCCGGCACCCTCAATCAAGATGACCAGGAGGAAGCTTGGCCTACGTTCCAGAGCCCCCTCGGGGACAATAGTTCCGCTACGTCTTTCTCCGGAGCAGGAATCGGTGAGCTTCTCGTCTTCGGGGAAGGCAATGATGAAGCCGCGGGAGGAAGAAACCAAGGCACGCCGGTCAAGACGAGGAGACTTACAGACAGGGAGCTGGAGCAATGCCGCTTTTGGTGGGACCGCATGGAGTTGAGTCAGGGGACGGGTGAGCGAGGCACTGCGTCGGCTTGGCTGAAGGCGTAAATTAGGGGGGGTCAAGGGAATGGGAAAGGAAAAAAAGAAAAAGAAAAAGAAAAATGAATAAAACAGGGGAAACGAGAAAAAAAAAATCCTTTAATCGTCTTGCTGTGGGAGGGAGATGCTAACTGGCTGATGAATGATTGGCCCCCGTAAACATTAGCAGAGAGCTTCGTAGACATTCGTAGCCCGTAAAGAAGCAATATGGGTAGGTAGGCTTCAGTAGCAGTAAAGAAGGAAAGATGCGTGTTTATGCCCATGGGCAATGCCACACAAACCGCAGGCTAAGAAATCCACACAAGTTTACGTCTAAAGAAAGTATGAAGTAACATTTATCAATCTTGCTCAGAAACACCCATCACAACAAACTCCAGCAATGCCTCTCCCCTCAACACAAAACCCCAAAAGAGCAAAGAGACGGAAAATAGCATCGAAAAACCAAGGGAAGCAAAAAGAAGAGTATATAAAAATATATATAGATAGGTATATATATATATATATAAGACACGCAAATTTGTACCACGATGTAATAGCATTTCCTCCATAAAAACATCCCAATATCCCCATCTATACCCAGCATCCCTTTTGTTTTGATTCCTCCGCATTACCAAAAGACATTTTCCAAGACACGACAAAAGTACAAATCGAGTGGGAAGGGGGCCACAACAAAAAAAAAAAAAAAAAGAATGAAAGAAAGAGAGGCATCAAAAAAATCTAAGCGAGATCTGCGGAGGAATCAACGAGTGTAGCACATCTAACTGATCAGAATCCCATAGGTACGGCATGAGGGTGATTTGTGATATTTGAACCAAAAGACATTAGACGGCAACATGGCAGAATCAAAAAGGGGGGCAGGGGATAGAATCAAGCCCAACCGTAGCAGCAACAGCACCGGCAGCAGTAAAACCGACTCGCTACGCCCGCAGATGCAGATGCATATAAGTTTTGTATGTACAAGTGCGTCTCCCTTTTTATTTGATTTCTCTCCTTGTTTGGTCATGAACAGTACACGCTCAGTATGAAGAACATGCATTGTTCCGTTTCCCACTCCATCCAACATCGGCTCTCTCCTTTTGTTGCCTCCCCTTACACAAGCAGATATCGGATCCCTTCTCTTCTTTCATTCTTCTTTCTCTCGTTGTGCCCATATTAAATCAATTCTCATTCCCGTCAAATCAAGAACAAGCATGAAAAATGTTCGACTGTACCGTGCTGTGCCGCGTTGTAAATAAAAGCGAGTGTATGCGAATGAAAGCGAGCGTAAAATGACGAAGAACAACAGGGGGAGTGGAAAAACAAAAAAATCAAAAGCCAGATTTCATCGTATGCAAATCAGTATTAAACAAAAGTGGTGGGTGGAAAAGAAAAATCCTAAAAACGCCTATCATGTTCCCTCAGCGTCTTCCCAACCCCTGAGACGGGCCAAGACACCTGGCTGAACGGGGGTATCTATCTTTCGAGCGCAACAAGCGTTAAAGCATCCAAAAGTCTCACAGACGCGCGGCACTTAGAAGTTCTGGGAAATGCCAGCGCTCTGCTGAGGGAAGTGACCAGGACTTTCAACGCGCGTGCTGCGCCGAGCGGGATTGTCACGGATGATGGGAGGAGCAGGCATCTCGCTGGCTCCATTGCCGTAGCCGGTGTCATAGGGGCTCTGGCCATATTGATCATAGTAGCCGCCACCGGTGCTATAGGCCATGCCCGCGCCCGCGTCAGAGCCATCTGATCGGCCGGTCGCGCTGTACGAAGAAGATGCGTTGGAAGCTCCTCGTCGAACATCGCCGCGGTTGTTTGCCGCCGACGGCCCCATGGCGCCTAAAATCTCTCCTTCGGGACCATCAATCAATGCCGCTTCAGACATGTTGCCACCACGGGGAGGCGAAATGTCAGAATAGCCGCCGGTGGCACCAGAAATCGTAGTCGAAGCCTTTCGGCCTGTTGAGCCGCCATGGGGGGTTGATCCCCAGCCTCGGTAGCCAACAGATCCCTCCTCCCTCATCTCATACGCATCTCCTCCGGTCATGCCAACTACTGGAATGGTGGGATCGGCATTGGGGTTGTAAGCATAGTCCTCAACCTCCTTTCGTCGCTCGGCCTCTGCCTCCCGGCGCGCACGACGCTTCTTCCACAGGAAAAGTCCAATGACAGCTAAGATGGCAATGGCGACGATGGGAACAACGACACCAATAGCCACCTTGGCCTTTGAATCAAGACCGCTGCTGCTATCCTTGCCAGCAATGCCATTCGGGGTTGCTGTAGAAGTCGACGAGGTAGTCGTGCCACTGGGAAGGTTATTGGTAGGTGATCGAGTGCGCGTTACAACAACTGTGCTGGTGAAAGTCTCGCTCCCCGGGACAGTGGTAGTGTCATCAGTTGTCGTCGACGATGAACTGGAAGTAGTACTTGAAGGAGGTGCTGTTGTAGACTCAGAGCTGGTCGTGCTTTGTTCCGTTGTTGTCGTAGAAGAAGAAGAGGTCGTCGAGCTTGTCGAGGATGAACTCGACGTAGATGAAGGTGGTTCCGTGGAGGTAGTCGGGGGCTCTGTCGATGACGATGAAGTAGGCGGCGGAGGAGGAGTGGTGGAACTCGATGGAGGTTCAGATGGCGGCTCAGACGAGGACGGGGGACTGGACGGCGGATTAGACGGCGGAGTTGTCGATGACGAAGGAGGAGGTGGTGGTGCCGTTGATGATGGCGGCGGCTCTGGCGTTGAGCTCGGTGGCGGAGATGGAGTTGAAGAAGGAGGCGCCGAGTCGTCCGATTGCGCAGGCGGCTCCGAGTTTCGAGGCGGACTGGTAGACATGGTGACGGCGTCGATGTGTATAGCCGTAGACTTGGATTGACTGTGTATAGGTAGAATGTCAGAACGGAGGTGCAAGGCGCTTAGCCGACTAAAAAAGAGCCGGGCGAGACGGAGCGCAATGCGCAGCAGCAAATCACGAGCATTATCTTCAACAGCCGGAGTCGACGACCTAAGCCAGCGCAGATAAGCCATCTAGACGATGGCCATGCAATGGCACCAGGCCGAACGCATGCGCCACGCACGAAGCCGATGAGAAATCAGCTGCACTTGACGTCCACGGGCATCGTGCGAGGACGTCAGGAAGCATGACAGAGAAGGGCGAAGCACAAGATCGATCGAGCTCGAATCGGCTCGCAAAGGGAGGCCAAAGGCAAGACAAACGAGAGCCGCAAACGTACTTTGTTCAGTTCAATGTTCCAGAGACAATCTGAAGAACGTGCGCGTGGAACGAATCAGTCAATTCGAACGACGGAGGGAGTGAGCGCCTAGTCACAAAAATAGGCTGCTCTCTTGTTTCGTTCCGTAAACGAGGAAGAAAAAAAATAGAAGAGCGTCCACCCGCAACGTTGGATTCGGCGACAGGCCCACGAACGTTTGACGGCACCTTAGCCTTGGGCTTAGCTTGACGGGCTCGTACAAGCAGGGAAAAAAACGCAGCGAATGGACGCAAGCAGATGCGATGAGGTGGGCCGTGGGGCGTGTACGAGGTTTTGACTGATGCAGAAAAAAGAGGAGGCGGATGGCAGAGAGCGCGAAGAGAGTGAGGCGCTTAGGAATGCTCAGGCCGGGAATCGGACGAGATCAGCTGTCAGGGTCAAGCCAATGCAGCGTCCGGGAAAAACGCGTACCAGGGCGATGAGGGAAAAAGAAACGGGAACAGGAAGAAGAAGAAAAAACTTCGTTAGGGGGGGGTTGAGTGAGCGATACGAAGGAAAAGGCCGAGAAGAGCTGTAAAGTTCTGACGCACCCGCACCCGAGCGACGATAAAAGCACAAAAAGGAACATCGGCCGCCTGCGCTGGGGGGTCCATTGCGCACTGTGAGATGCACTGTGCGGCTGTGCGTAGCCTGTCGCGCACCGCCACGTGCGCCGTGCGCTAGCGCCACTGTACTGGATGCCCGTTCCTGCAGTCTCGACCCTTTGGTCCCCCTCTTGCTCGCTGCTGGATTACTCCGTGGTCCTTTTTGGGCTTTATTTTGCTTCTTTTTTTTTTTTTCTTTTTTCTGCCGGGGGAATCGGGTTGGCTGCGGCTTGGTGCCCCGAACGGCTAGCTTCCAGCGGCTGCGTGTCCCCTATGGAGCAGTGGCTGGGCTTCTTTTCTTGACAGGTAAGGTACACAGGTACGGTACAATTACTGACACTGAACCTTCAAGTGAGGACCTACACGCAACATCGATGCATCAATGGCTGAATGCTGGACTCAGTCTCCAAGGGCTGCTCCCAGCTGGCCGCCGCCGATGCTGACCCTGATGGGCTCAAGGTTTCTGTTTTAGTGGTTGGCGCGACCACTAATTTCGCCTAAGTCGACCTCCAAGCCCAAGCCACGCAGGGCACTAAGATTCCAGCGAGCTTCAGCTGTGGACAGTACGAGTACAAGTTCTGCAGCGAGGTTGGGCACCTACAGTTGCGGTACCTGTGAGAGCCAAGAGGCCGCCGCTCTGTTTAACCTTTTCGCCGTCCCCGTTGTCACATGCGTCCTTTAATCTTTTTCACTTGGAGAGAGTTGGGGAGAAAACAGAAGCAAGAGAAGACACCCCTTTTGATTGTAGCGTACCTATGGCAGCAAAGGTCCGGAGTACTGTATCATTTACTGTCAATACAGTAAGTACACTCCGTAGGGAGCAGTTCCGTAATCAACTAATAGGCACTGCGCAGAACACGCGTGCAGCCAAGGTGCTCACGCAAAAGCAGAGACCCTGGTGCAAATTCCCAGCGCAGCCCCCCGTGGTTATTACCGAGCAATAAGCACGGAGCATGCACGTACGTACGTGTGATGATGCGTGTCATATGCAGAGTGCATCACCCAACTCTCGGGGCGCGAGGGCTCTTGGCCCGACAACCACACACATTTCAAAAGAAGCAGTTGATTTACATCAACCGCAGCCGCGAAGTATAAACAACCGACGAGACCCTCCTCCATCTTCTCAAACCTTCCATCAAGCCATTATACAACCGCGGTTTAGGCGACCACCTCCGGTGTCGACGCCAAAACACTCGGTGCCTTAGTACTAAACAAGACAAAAAAAAAACAAGGCAACCCGAGATTTGCACTGCCCGTCTCACTATCGACTAGGCTCCGTCCGTCCTCACTGCCACACAAAAAAGGTCCGTGGGAAGCTTACTAAAGCGCCAACTAACACCCGGTTATTATTAGCCCTCCCTTAACCAGAAAAAGGGCGCCTTCTCGCATTTATCTCTCAATCAAGGCGACAATGGTTCGGCTTCCTGCTCGAGAGGCGGGGAATATATATAGATAGGCATAAAAAAAAGGCGCTATGGAGTACTAACGTCAAAACTGCTGCAGGTTACTGATACGAGTGCTTCATATACGAAGTACATGTACCGATTGGAACACCTGATCCGAAATACCGCGCCAATCAAGGGAGTGATCCACAATAGCAGTCCTTGGAGCACAGATGATCTCCTTATTCCAAGCAGAAACAGCACGTGATGCCGACTTCACTTCGTCGAACTGCCAGTTCATTTCTGATAGTAAAGCAAACGACGCATTGGCTCAGTATCAAGAAACTGGGCATGACATGTCAAACATTTGACGCAGCACGAACAATTCACCGAGGGACATATTACCTCTAACAAAGCAAATACCTAAAAATACACAATTCAAGATATCAATACAGCACGAGCACCACTGACAAGAGCACAACAAAGGAATTAGGAGAAAACATGCAGTAATAAAACAACAGATAAAAACAAATATGAAAAAAAGGGTGAGTGCATCTGATTGACCTATATTGCCTATGTACAATTTTTCCTTCAGATGCCAAAGAAGAGGCACGAAGTCGTCACCTGAGATGTAATTCATGTGTTGGGTTAGGTTCCAGTCCATCTATATGCAAACATCGCGAAAAAGCCCAAAATTCGAAAAGAGTCCGTCGTAATCCCTAATTACTCCTGTGGAAGTGAACAAAATAAACAAACCCCCTATGGAGAGCGCTTTGAATGCCGCTATCTGTTGGCAAGATCATGCAAATGCCGTAAGCAAGAAATGACGACGCTGATACTAAAGAAATGCCACCCGAGGCAGCTAGCCTACTCTGCTCCCTTTCTAGGGTCGCAGCGTCCATGAAGGCTTCAGCTGGTCGTCCATGGCAGCTGTCGTGAAAACCGTGTCGCCAGGGAGGCGGCTGACTCGGCCTGCTCCGCTTCGGATAGCCTGGAGGTGCGCTTGGGACATGCCACTCTTGTTACTCCTGATGCTGCCTGCGTCACTGGCGTTTTCAGGATCTCTAAACTTCTTGGGAGGGGCGAAATCCAGAGCCGTAAAGGTGCCTGATTTTCGGAGCAAGTGCCTAAAGAACAGACGGGTTAGTCAATGCATCACATCACATCGATATCTCAGTAATGCTACTTACGGGCTTGGGAGAGCGGCTAATTCGTCAAAGGCACCCGCCAGCTGTGAACCGGCAGTTGGTGGCTGGAGGAAAGCTTTTCTCTCGCCAAATGGACTTTGGCTTCGGCCAGCCACATTATCACGGATGCTGCTCGGTGGAGCAAAATCAGCGGCATTGAAAATGGCGAATGAATCGTCGCCAAGTTTAGAGGGCGTGGGGAGGGTGTTCAATGGTGCAGGAGGAGGGAGGTTCTTCTTGGGTTGCTGTTGACGGGCCCATGCGCCAGAGGCGGATGAATCTGGTCTAGGTCCAAAGGCCGAACCGGCACGAGGTCGTCCAAAAGCCGAGCCAGCACGAGGCCGTCCGGGACCAGGAGAGAAGGTTCCTCCATTGCCATTAGGTCCACGGAAGCCTGGGCCACGCGGGCCGGGACCACGAGGGCCGCCCATCGGTCCACCTTGGCGTCCGCTTGGGGGTGGTGTCATGGCACGACGGGTAACAGGCTGGGCATAGGGCATAACAAAGGCGTTGGTGTCGGCATCATAGTAGGCAGCGGCCTCCAGATAGCCCTGGTCGTAGTCTTCATAGTAGTCAGGGCCGCCTTGCTGGCGCTGGTTGGGCTGTTGCTGCTGGTGTTGTTGCGGTTGAGTGGGCAGAGGAGGGGGTACTTCATTAGAATCATCAAAATACTCCTTGTAGAAAGATCGAATGCGGTTGGCACGGATTTCGGGATCATCAGACTCCATCGCTTCACTAGGAGGCAGTGGTCGGAAACCAACAGAGAGTCGCTTGCTATTGTTTTGCGGAACGCCGAGGCCACCAGCTTGGTGAGGGGGAGGCGGCCTTGACAGAGGTCGGCCACGGCTTTCTTCCTGCGCATCTTCATGAGGGGGCAGTCCGGGAGAGAGAATCTGAGGAACGTTTCGATCAGCGGGGTGGGCCGGGGAAGCCATGCCATTATCAGTGTAAGCAGATGAACGAGCCGAGTTGGGCTGCTCAAAATGAGCAGGGCTTCGAGAGCCGTCTTGGCCAATCTTCAAGGCAGCCGGAGCGGGGGCCGGGATATCAGGCACTTCGAATTCATCCGCGTTAAAGACGTCGACAGGAGGGACCGTTTCGATTTCCGGGACAATTGGCTGGACAGGGAGCATGACATCATGGACCTCGGCGGAACTGGGAGGCTGGTGCGTAGGCTTGGGAGCGGTAGGAGTAGCAAAAGGGTCGACCTTCTCATCCGGGGAGGGGGCTCGTGGCGTCGACGGGTTTGTCTGCATGGGAGGCTTCGATAGACCACTAGACTTGGGAGGGCGGGCACCAGAATTGTCGTTGGGGTTGAAAGATCGAATAGAACCAACATCACTAGCTGCATATTGGTTGACGGTTCTATAGGGGTCATCTTCGGTTTGGAGGGTTCGAGCATACGAGTGAATAGATTCGCGAGATCCATGGTTGCCCGGAGGAAGCAGGTATGGCGACGAGAGGTTCATGTCCATGGAAAGTCCACCCTTGTGCATAGGTTTTTCTCCTCCTAGTCCCAACAGACTCTTTCGCTTCTTAGTAGGGCCATTTCCCATGCCGAAATCAAGGTCTTTGGTCGGGTCGTTGAGCTCCTCCAACTTGTCTCGGCGCATATTCCTGCGGTGCAGGAAGAACAAGACGACAACGGCCACACAGACCGGAATTCTGCCTCAATTAGCACAACCATCCTGGGCAACCCCCTCCTGCGTATTCTTCTTCATCTTCTTCCTTCCCACCCCCCCTCTCTTTACATCTTTTCTTCCTCTCCTTTTCTTCTTGCCACAAAATGAAATGACTCACATAATACCCAGCACAATGGCGAGGGTTGAGTCCGACGGCCCAACAGGCTTCTCGCAGGTGTTGGCGGCTTCGGTAGCAACACAATCCGATCTGCGAAGCAGAGATCCAATGGACTCTAAGCTGCGACGCAGATTGATTCGAGGTCCCATACTATAGCTCTCCGCATCGCGTGTAATCGCCCCGGCCGCGGCCGGGTTCATCCCTCGAGCTCGTACTATGCTCATCTTCTCACTTGCTCCTATTCAAGAAAAAGAACTTGTTGGAAAAGACGGCGGAAGAAAAAATAAATATTACGAATGACGTTGCGGATCAAAGTCGAAATGATGTACTGATCGCCATGAATATGTGGTGTGAAAGTGATGTTTTGTTTTGTTTCGTTCTGTACCGAACAGAAACCCGTAAACGAGAGGTGGTGTCGATCGACGTTCGTCCAGCAAGAAACCAAAAAAGCGGGTTAAGAATGCAGTGCCAACCAGGCGGGCAAAGACAAGGAACGACTGTTGCTGCTGATTCGCAGAAGCAGCACGCAAAAAGGAGTGACTGAGAGCTTGACAAGCAATACCAAAAAATGAGTGACAGGCCCGCTGGCAGGCGGTTTGCACGATAAATCGCAATGGTCGACAGAGGAAAAACTGGCGATGGGGAGAAGAGAGAAGAAGAGGAAGAGCGCGAGAGAGGCTCCGAGCCAAAGGAGACGAGAGCGAGAGACGAAGCGGGCTAGCAAGGCGACAGGCCTATCCGGTCAGTGGGACAGCGCATGCAGGTACTGCGACTTGGCGAGGAGCAGGCGATTGCAGGGAACCCAGCAGGTTTTGGCGGGCAATTCCCCCCTTGTTGTAGCGAATGAGACAGCGCAGGGCAGGATGCGAGCAGGGGGCAGGTCGCAGGTACCTGAAGGGTCTGGCCATGGTCAGTGAGCTCCCAGGGTCGTAGGGAGTTTAATTTGAGCATGGAGTGCTAGCGCCGGGCCGCCGCGAGAGAGATGGGCCAGAGTCGACATGGCCGGGCTGGTACTGGTACCTGTGCGACCGACGACCACATGTGCAGGACAGTAATACCACACCATATTACGAGCACAGCTTGCCCCCGTCGCTATCCCCGTGCCAGTGCAGCATCGCAGCGCCAGACTCGCGGGTAGCGGCACGGGTACAGGTACTTGGAGCGCCATCGCCAGCGCCATGGCCCCGTTCGGTGTCGAGGCGTGCTTTGTTATTAGCCCAGTCGGTCGAAAGAGGAAAACGAAGGTCTGGCGAGCTGTGCCTAGCAGGGGTCTGACGCAGGTACCGCAGGCGAGTTGCGTCCATTCAGCACCCCGCACAGTCTGAGGGGGGGGCTTCACATGTGCTCACATTGATGTGCTCACACGGGCGATCCAGCGCCAGACAGAGGGCGGATCCGCGTGTCTGGCACTGTGTTTTGCACTAGAGCCCCTGACGCTAGCCCAGGAGCGCCTTAGCCGTCCCGCCAGCGCGCGTACAGTCGAGGCCTCTGGGCAGAGCTTCCATTGATCGAAATTGGGCGAGCTTGTCGGTGCACGCGCAAATGGGGTGTGTCCTATTATCTCTGTCCTGCGTGCGGAGTATTACAAGTTTGCTACTACCTATACAGTACGAGTACTCCGTACTAGTATAGGTACCTGAAGCAGCATGTGCTCGTAATATCCTCACCTCTTGTGTTGCTGTACCGTAATTCGGGTCTAGTTACTTACTAAGGCGCCAGTAGTTGGATATCGAGGAATCAAGTTGCGCATGTTTGACGAAAAAGCCATCAACCCATCCTGCTTTACTCCTTTCCGCCATGGCACCATCACCGGGCGTTTTGGGCGGCATGCCAGCTCACAGCTTGGACGGGGCACGGAGTACTCCGACCTGAGATAGCATGCAGAGAATGGGCCGCACCGGCGTGTCAAGTAGAGCTCCAAGTACAGTACCGTCAATATCGCCAGTGACAGACAGACGAGCAATAGCGCAGTATTGAGGGCTTATTCTGTCCATGTTCTCCAACACCACCTCAGCGCTGCCAAGGCGGCGACTCGACAGCTTATCCCCGCAAGCCTCTGATACCACCCTTTGGATTGTGATGAAAAAATTGCGCACTCGAGCAGTGTGTACATGGCGGACTGTGCATGGTATCCACGCTGTTGTTGTTTTGACGACATCGAAGCCGCCTCAGCCACTATCCTGATTTTTTTTGGTCTGTTGGTCATAAACAACAACAGCAAAAAGAAAAGCACCACCTTGTTCATTGGAAGGAAATGGCGCATTCGAGAAGCGAGTTCATCATGACACAGCCAGCAGTTGAGGCTACCAGGTACTAAGGTACTAAGTCAGGCAGGTACCTTTGTACCCGTGCCCATGTGCCTTGAAAAATCGCCTTATCCAATAGGAGCAGTTACGCAATCAACCTCATTAAAGGAATATCCACCGCAATGCACTCGCGGTCATGGTGCATGTACCGCTACTTGCGACTCCGTGCTAATGCCGCTTCCTCCTGTCTGTCTCCGTTCATTCACCTCAGGCCTCCACCATAGACCATAGGCCATTTGCCACTTCCGCCCCTTGGCCAAGTGCAATCTTACCCTTCTATGAAATGCCATCTTTTTATAGATGCTGTCGACACTACCGATAGGACAAGTCCTGCAGGCACTTGCCCGTTATATGAAGATCCGGCCCGCTGCCCGGCTGATTAAAAGGGCCTGCCGCTTTTCCGATATGAATTATGCCCCCTAGCACCGTGGTTCGGAGCACTGCCCAGCCGGTGAGACGACGTTGGATGCGGAGTCTGGTTATTTGCAGGAAATCAACTGACTAGACGCAGGAACTGCGCCAATGCTACGGAGTACTGTCCCTCGACGGAGCACGGAGAATAGCTCCAAGCAGAAACAATCAAAGCTACAGTACCGAGTGCTCCGTGGTGCTAGTGGTAATTTGATATTACAGAGGGCCAGGCAACACGTTCGGATGCTAAGCCGGCGTGGGACCCTGTCTGTGTTATGTTCCATCTCCATGTCTCCCTTGCTGCATAATGCTACAGTCGGTGTGCCGCCAAAACAATTCAGACGAAACAGGAGAAACGGGTCTTGATATGCATGCGGTTGTCGAAACCTTGAAAGCTTGTGCAGCGCTGTTTCTACCCTAGCGAGACATGGGGCCCGTCGAGTCTTGAAGAATCAGTCTCCACATCCAAGACAAAGGTCCAAAGCTGACCTCGACACTTGTTTGCTGCACGGTTCGGCAGAGTTCTCTATGGCAACCAGCGAACCAGGTAAACAACGCTTCTTCGACTTTCACATCGACGTTGGCGGCGCTGAAACATGTCCATCCAACTGACACTCATATTCTGACTACATGCAGAGGGGTTTCTTGGTCCGTGAACCCAGCTACCCATCATGGCAATGTATAGGTGCCTTGAATCGGTGCATTATTTAGTGCAAAATTCGGCAACTGTTCATAACCTGGTCATGCCCAGGGATACGGTACTACGGATCCTCATGGGGCCGAGAAGTCAAGCAAGGGGGCAGGATAGCATCTGCTATATGCTGTACTCCATGGTTGCTGGGCAAACACAGGCAAGAAGGCAAGTCAGTCGATCGACGGCGGGAAGCCATCGGAAATGGGTGCCCACAGATCAGTTGCTATTATTGTTACTATTATTGTCCTCTAGAGAGCTTCGAGAAGCGTGAAAAGCTTGCTTCGCCAGCACTAATCTGCATCGTGGAGCATGGTGCCAAGGCTTGGATTCTATTCACTTTCGGCTATTCCCACTAATTTTGATGTACTCTACATAACAGCAATATCACAAGCACTACTTCTGGTAAGACCTAACAGTATGGGTATATCGCGGCATTAGGCAGTCCTTTTCCGTCTGGGCGGCAGATGCAAAAGGGGCATTCCAGAACGATCCATGGAGCTGTCCAGGGCCGGCACCTGCGGCAGCAGCCTGAATCCAAAGACAGAGTTTTCTGTGTACTGGCCGATTCACGCACAAGTATGAAGTAGCCATGCCTTGTATGCCTGAATAGCGAGTCTGTGCAACAATATTCTGCATGGAACGCACAAGTCCACATGTGCCAACCGTAAAGTACGCAATCAAGGTCCAGTCGTTGCGTTTGAAAGCTTATAAAACTCTGGCGCATATTCAACCAACCAATTCTTCTCAATTTTCGTAATGTCGCGAATATATGTCTTCTCCCCCGTTTCCATAATCTCGTGAAAGAGGACCCAATCAGCTTTACGATTAAACATGAGAGAGTTGGGATGCGCGTGCAAGACTGTGCCGCCCTCGACATTTCGATAAGTTCCATCTGGCTGCATGCGTGCTGCGTGGGCGAAATAGCCAGACGTGAGGCAACGTCTAATGTGCTCTGCCTTGTTGCCGTGATCCTGTTTGGATGAGAGCGTCTCGTCCACCTTGATGTTAAACCGCTCGAGATAGCGTTTGAGTTGTGCTCGGATGCTAATTGCCCGAGTCAGGGATTTGTAATTGAGATTGTGCTCATGGCAAAACTTGGCTTCCTTCTTGCCCTTTGTGATGAACGTTTGATAGACGTTGAGCAGCGTCAAGTGGTCTCCTTCTTCCACGGCAAATTTGCGCCTGGAAGATTCCATCTTCCTCTGTTCGCCGTCATGATAGAACCACACATTCCCGCCCAGACTTGTCATGGCAGCAATGGTCAGCATTTCGCTTAGACAATTGAACTGCGGCGCTGATAAAATAGTTTTCGCCATCATTGGCTCGACTGCCAGCTCAGCCATGCGTGATCCAAGCGGTTGTGTTAATTTGGCATATTCGTCCAAAGCACCCAGCGAGTAGAGCAACTCGAGCGCCTTTGACATGAGCTCCGATGGCGGCGCGGATAGGAAATCAAATCGAACCACATTGTCGATACCAAGGGCCTTCAGCTGCAGGATAGTTGAAGCTAGGTTCGACCTCTGTATTTCCGGAGGGTTGGTTTCCGGTAACGTCTGGTAAGCGTCTTCAGTGTAAAGGCGGTAGCATTTCCCAGGCTTTGTTCGGCCTGCACGGCCTGCTCGTTGGGAGGCGGATGCTTTTGATATGGGCGTGGTTGTGAGTGTCTCTATTCCCGTCTTTGGGTTGTAGGCCCGTAGTTTGACGAAGCCGCAGTCTATGACATGGACTATGCCGTCGATTGTGACCGAAGCCTCAGCGATGTTTGTTGAAAAAACGACCTTTCGTGTTCCCTCCGGCGGCTTATCAAACACGTACATTTGCTGCTCCGTTGACAGCCCGGCATAAAGCGGCAGCGGCTGCAGAGGTCCGTGTCGGCTATCCAGCTGGGCAGCTCTCTCTGCTACTGCTTGGATAGCGTTGTCAATCTCCTCACGGCCCGTTAGGAAGACCAGGATATCGCCTTCGCCCTCTTGGGTGTGGATGTCGAAAACGGTGTTCACCGCCTTCTCGACATAGTCTTCTGCCGGAGATTCGAGATATAGAGTGTCGATTGGATATGTTCGTCCTTCCAGGCTAACAATCTTCGCAGTATCATTTGACGACTGGCCGTCTTGCTGATTTTTTATTTCTTGCCCTGAGCCTTTTGTGAAGAAGTCAAAAAACTCCTCGGCCTGGATAGTCGCGCTGCTCACAATGATGCGGAGCTCAGGCCGCTTCTTGCGAATCTTTTTTAACAGGCCAAGCAAGATGTCAGTGCTGATGGATCGTTCGTGAGCCTCGTCAACCATGATGACAGAATACCGGCTCAGCAGGGGATCAGCTAACGCCTCCCTAATGAGAAGGGCGTCCGTTAAGAACTTGATGCGAGTGGACGATGAGGTAACATCTTCAAAGCGGATGGAATATCCAACTTCTTTGCCAATCTCACACCCTACTTCGTCAGCGACCCGCAGGGCAACTGTTGTGGCAGCCACTCGGCGCGGCTAATTTATAAATGTCAGTGGAAATCCTCATCTGAAGCAGCTTCTCACAAGAGCAAACGCTCACCTGAGTCACCCCGATAATCTTCCCATCTGAGCACCATCCGGCCCGTTCGAGGAATTGGGGGATTTGTGTGCTTTTGCCAGACCCAGTTTGGCCGATAACAATGGTGACTGGAAACGTCTCGACGACATAGAGTAAGCTCTCGCGATGCTTTGCTATGGGGAGTAAGGCTGAGGGTTTGTGTAATGCTGGGATGAATGACGAGTCGAGGTCAAGTTCGGCCATTGTGAAGGTTTATGCCGTTTGCATAGGGTGAGAAGTAAGCAGCTACTAGTAGTTTGAGAGGTTGACCTTGTTTGACGCCTGTTTCAGCTTAAGCATTTCATGCTTTCACACTCGTCAAGCTACTGGAGGAGTTGCATTATATAAAGATGATGGTTGAAGCAGGAATCAGAGCATTTTGTTACTTTTCAAAGCCAAGTTTCGAAGCCATTCAATATTGGGCCGTTGTTTGTTTGTTTCTCTTTTGAGAATTTATCGCGGTGTCTTACCCTGTAGCAAATCAGGAACCCAACTCAGCCACGCTGTGGCGCTGTGGCTCGACACGCTGATTTCACATACGAGTACTTGAGCTCCTTTATTTCGGTGGGGCGCGTCATCAGCGTCGTGGCTAGCTTCAAACCCCTCCGTCATAATCGCAACGGAGAGCCCGAGCCTGAAGCGAAATCATATTCCTGAAGCCCTCAGTTATAAGCGAAATCACGAGAAATCGATAACATAGGACCCTCTTGGCGCGCGCGGGCGAATACAGACGCAGACAATGTCAGCTCCTGCAGAGACGGTATATATGAATCCACCTCCTATGACGGCTTGTTAGTGGCGAGAGCTTGCGATGCTGATGCTGGCGGTGCGACTGTGCAGAACAAAGTGACGGATTCAGGCGCTGAATCGCCCACTACCGCACAACCGCTTGATATGTCAGATGATGACCAAGAGACTGGAATCATAGGCGACGGCAACGTATCACCAATGCTCGGCTCGAGACAAAGCTCGGAGGGTCCAACCCCTCCGCCAAAACCTCCGCGCCCCATGACCGAGGCGCAGAAGAACCAGATCATTCTGAAGGAAGCGTTCCCGACGGTTGATGATAATGTCATTAAGGCGGTTTTGAGCGCAAGTGGAGGGCGCGTGGAGCCCGCCTTTAATGCTCTACTTGGTGCGTTGTTGCGCCGTTGCGCCGTTGCGCGCAACAAGGATATTCGAGCCATCTACGGGAGCGCATGCTTACTGGGAAAGTAGAAATGACCGACCCGGATGCTGCCAAGAACGAGCCGCAGGACGTTCCTCCTCAGCAACCCCCAAGGCCGCAGCGATCTCAGATAGAAGCGGATGAGCGGTATGCGCGCCAGTTGGCGGAACAATACGACAACGTCGGCGCCTACGAAGCTCGCACCTCCAACCGCGGAGGTAACGGACGAACGAGATCACAGCCTGGATACGAAGAGGAACGAGAGCGCAACTTCCTGGAGGACGACCTCCCCGTCATCCGCGAAAACCTTCGACAGGGATTCCTCGAGACCCAGACCAAGGTCAACGGTTGGATCAGCACTTTGAAGAAGAAGATTGAGGAGAACTTTGACGAGAGCGAGGATGCCGAGCACAGAGATGGACCTCAGTACCGACACGGCGGCCCTAGCAGCAGAAGCACCGACTATGATGCAGATCCGCAGGTGCTTAGCGATGACTTTGCTGGCATGAAATTCTCGCCAGACGGTAGTAAGTACCGGGACGTCATGATGACAACTGAGCGAGGCTGACTATTTCATTTTCCTAGCCCCTGCCTATGGCAACCGACCGATGGCCAATACCGGCGTTTACAGACCACCCCCCTCAACCTCGCCGCGACCAGAGGGCCGAAGAGTGGGATTCAAGGATGAACCCGAAGAGATCAAGATGTATGATGCTTCGCCAAAGCTCTCACCAAAGGGCGAATCCGCGGCAGCGCCAGCGGCCAAGGCAAGCAAGTGGCAACCGCTCTCGAGTGTAGAACCGGATCCGATTTCCGACAACGACCCCTTCAGCCTTGGTGATAGCGAAGATGAGAGGGAGACGAAGGAGAAGCCCAAAGATGGCAAGTTGGACGATACCGAGCGGCTGAAGCAGGCTGCGGCCGAGGCTATGGCAGAGAGCCTGGTCGATCAAAAGAAAGATGGAGAATCGAGCGCAAAGAAGAGCTAAATCACCCGACAAAGATGGAATGGGATTAATAGGTACCTAACGTAACCAATGGCGTGGCTGTTTATGTATTTCAAAAAAGAAAATTCTGCGTTCTTGATTGCGGCGACTACAAGCAGTAGCTGTTAAAAATGGTAACTTATTGCGATGATGTTACATCGCTTCAGCTGATCTTGGGGGTTGTGGACTGGAGTGGCCGTGATGTCATGCTGGATTGAATGAAGTGTGTGATGAGACTGAGGCGGTTATTTTGCAGCTATGACAAAATGACGAATACCTATAGTAGCCTTGACCATTCAAACTGTTGCTCATCTCGTATCAATACCTAGTAGGTAACTCGTACTTCGTATGTGCAGCAGGGCTGCGTGGACAACGCTCGGTGGATTAGGTGGAACTTTTCGGGAAAGGTACCCTGAAGTTGGTTGCCTATTCAGGATCCTCATGTAGGTAACCTTAAGTTTCAATATATGGATCACACTTGATAGATAGGTAGGAATGGAGGCATCGATGGATACACTTGTGCGTTTCCAGATACCAGAAGGACATGGTGTTAGTAGCAGCAGCAGTATAATACGCCTGTATTGGATACGAAAGAGTAACAGCGGGTAGGTAGAGAAATACGGCCACGACAGCTTCCAGTTAGGTAATATATCAGCCCGAGTGGCCTGATGAATACTCGTACTTTGGCGCTCAACTCCGTAGCTGCATTTAGCCTTTCCGCATGCTGGCATCTCTTTAAGGTTACAATTACCTCCGTACAACTGGCAACTTACCTAATGCGCCTCTGGGGCGGAACATTGGAAGCCGAGTGGCGGCAGCGAGGGCACGAGCTGGAAAAAGTCAAGTCAGAAGAGGGCTGTCGGCATGGGCTGCGCTTAAACAGACTGCACCTATCGCTCACGCACGAGGTGCAATGCTGGACGGCGATTGGATCCGGTATAAACAACGGGGACGATGTTAGCAGCAGATCCGGCAAAACATCCCTACAAATGCAGCCCAATGGAGGGGCCCTGAGCAAATGCTTTTGGACTCAAAAAGTCTGCGCGACAGCAGCTGGCGTTAGCGCACTACTGCACTTTGTATGGCGGCAACGCGGGGCAGCTGCGATGCGGTTAATCTTCGGCCCTATTCTCGGACGGCCAAGTCGGTACTGCGGCCCGCCAGAAGGCTCAACGCCGCATGAGCAACCCTGGTCGATTCTGCAGAGCGACGTTCTTGCGGTGCTAAAGGCGTTGAAGTTACATACAGTACAGCTGCCACGGGGTTTATCGACTAGCTTCGCGATGATCTAGACAGCACGAGGGCTCTGATGAGTCGCCCCCGCTTCACAGGTCACCTTGCAAGTACTTCTGAGTGAGCGAGAAGTGGCATTTTCACCGGCTCGGAGTCAGGGCGTCAGGATTAAGAGCCTTAGGACCAAGGACCAGCTAGTCACTCACTCACTCAGTCTCATCTCTGCCCTCACCGAGCACACGCTTCTGCCGACCTCCTTCTCTCCCTCCTCTCCAATTGGGTCGACCAGAGACATCCTGACTAACAGGCTGGACAGACCAGACACGCAGACACGCAGACACGCAGCCAGCCCCGTCAGCCCAGCCTCGTCACCTCTGCTGCTGGTCTGATCTGATTCACCAGCCTATTCTGTACACCGGCATCCTCCGTCCAGTCCCGGTAGGCTAACTACTAAGCTCTCTCTCTGCTGCTGGCTGGCGCCCTCGTGATTGAAAATCTCAGTCTGGGGCCAGGCAACGGGAGTGGTTTTTCTGACCGCGGCCTCGTCTCTTCCTGTACGTAACAGCATAGCCCTTCGTTTCCTCTTGACAATTTTCTCTTGCACCAAGTAGCATCGAAAAGCCTTGACCACTCACTATACGCTACACCTTGCCTTGGCTCTTCTTGTCTTGCATTTCCCACTCTGCTACATCCCGGCTTTCTTACTCCTCTCGGCCTCAACCTGCATCCCAAACTATCCCGGAAGCAGAGAACCGACCTCCGCTTGCTGCCACAGCGGGACAAGGGCTTCAAGGTACGAGCCGCGCCGGAGCTGCTGTCTGATGGGCTCCATGGACTTGTCAGCGAGCTGCCGACGTCCATCAGTCAATCGTTCCCCCCACGCGGACAAGTGTTGGAGACTGGCACATCAACTACCCCTGCTCTGCCCTTCGTCACCTCCGTCCTTTCCCGTCGATATGGCTGTCATTGAGAACAAACGTTGCTTGTCGCACACGCAGCTAAATGTCACAGCAGTGTCGTTCTTACAGGCGCCGCCGCCCACATCTTACCACCAACCTGTCGTCACCCAAAGAAAGCTTACAGGCGTGAGATTGTAGCCCGTGCTGCTTCGGCCAGTATATCCTTCCTTGTTCTGCCCGGCTTGGGCTTTTCTGTTTCCTTAACTCCTCTGCCCCCGCGACTCCCGTCCGCCCGGGGGTTCTGTGTCGCAATATGTAAGTCAGATGGGTGCTGCGTCGTGACGCAACCCCTGCTGCCCCGGGAATAATCCCCCCAAGCTCACATAGCTATGTGCCGCAGGAAATTTGGCAAGCAGATCCAGAAGCGCCAGCTTGAAGTTCCCGAATATGCTGCCAGTTTTGTCAACTACAAGGCCTTGAAGAAGGTAATTATCTATCCATTCATCTACTCATCGCTGCTATAGCAACACGGCTGCCCTCACTCTTTCCCCTCTTTGATCTTCCTCCCCCTCCTTGATGTGCCTTCTTTTCGCATCTTCCTTTGTGCTACTCAAGAAAGCCCTGAGGTGATGGGAGGTTGATAGAGGGGGGAGTGTCAAACCCGCTCCAGGCATCCTTGTCCTTGCATGCCACCCTGTGGTTCTCTCCCCAATCAGTGGCATACTTGGCGCCCTTGTACACCATCCATTGCTGTGTCTTGTACCACTTTTGACTAACACTTGACCTTATTTGCCCTCCAGCTCATCAAGAAGCTTTCAGCTACTCCGACCCTTGCTGCACAAAATGACGGCCACCGCCTAGCCACACTTGCCGACTCGCAGGCTGCTCTGCAAGCAAACAAGGCAACTTTCTTCTTCCAATTGGTAAGCCACACTCAATGCAGCCACCATGATGAACATTCCGGCGGCATTGCTGACGCCCGACCAGGAGAGAGAGTTGGACAAGGTGAATGCCTTCTATCTGCAAAAGGAAGCCGAGGTATGTATACCAAACTAATCCGTGCCCTCATCCTGTGTACAATGTCATCGCCAACCTTTTACATAGCTCAAAATCCGCCTCAAGACGCTGCTCGATAAGAAAAAGGTCATTCAGTCGCGCCAGGGTATTTCGAGACGCTCGTCCAAATTTACCACTCTCGAAGAGGGATTTCAGCAATTCGCCACGGACTTGAACAAGCTTCAGCAGTTTGTCGAGATCAACGGTACTGCCTTTTCAAAGATTCTCAAGAAATGGGACAAGACATCCAAGTCCAAGACAAAAGAGCTGTACCTCTCGCGTGCCGTCGAGGTCCAGCCGTTCTTCAATGCCACAGTCATTAGCGAATTGTCAGACCAGGCCACCACCAGCCTTCAAGAGCTTGGTGCCTGGTCTGATGGAATTCAGGTCAACTTCGACTCGTCTACTGCGCATGTCGTTACAAGCCAACATTTCGTGGGGACCGATGAGGGGGATGCCGATACGCTTCTATTGGATACCGTCATTACCGGAAACCTCGAATCGATAAAGGATCTTCTTGCAAAGATGCAATCGGCCACCCAGGCTAGCGATAGCGATGTTTCTTTGATGGAGCGGCTGACAAGAACCTTCTTGACAGCCATAAACGAAGCTCCCAAAAGTGCTCTGCAGGTTCTTTTGGATACAGGGTTGGTGGACTTGCATTCATATGATGATATCAACGAGCGAAATTGCCTGCACCAGGCTGCCATCTACGGCAGACAACACGTCTTGGAATGGGGCCTCGAGGCTAAAGTGGCCGTGGATCGAACCGACGTTTACGGGCGCGTGCCGCTGCATTATGCTAGTTTGCATGGACGCTTAGATATGTTGGAAACTTTGTTAAACTGTGGGTTTGAGACTTCCCGGGCAAATCATTTGGCGGCCAATGCAGCTAACGTCTGATTCTTGAATAGCCAACTCCAGCACCATTGATCTGATTGATCACGACAACTTCACGCCACTGATACATGCCATTATACACGGGCATGTCGAGTGTGTCGAGCGCCTCCTCGCCAGATCGGCTCGCATCGACCCTGTATCAGATGCAGACCATGTGCCTTTGAACCTCGCCTGCGAGCATGGGTCAGTCGCCATTGTTGAAATACTGTTGAAGCATGGCGCAAAGATCCTCCCCGATGCCGAGGGATTGTATCCCCAGCACCTGGTAGCCCGATGTGGACGGACCTCGGATTTGCTCCTGCTCCTGAAGCAGTTTGGAGCCGACCTCGATCAAATCGACAAGCTGTATGGATGGACACCGTTGCTGCATGCTGCCAGCGAAGGCAATGTCGAATGCCTTCAGGCGCTGCTCAAAATTGGCGTCGATGCGACAATACGGGATGAAAAGGACCTTCCCGCCATGTACTATGCCGCTTGGGAGGGCCACTTGGAGTGCATGCAGCTGCTCACCCCGTTCAACAGGCGTCCGAAAGCAAGCCCATTGGGAGGCCAGCCCCCGATTGACATCATAGGCAGCAGCAATGCCCCCCTACCCATGTCGCTGGATCCGGATGCTATCCCGATCCTGGAGCTGCCTCCGCCAATCATCCCACTTCGACGATATGGCCACAACTTCCTTGATACCAAGACGGTGGTGCAAATCAGCTTCCAGGACTCAGGCGAGCAACCACTGGTTTTCTTCCAGGATGGCAAGTATCCAGCTGCTCGGTTAACAATCTCCTCCAAGGTCTCTGATCTCATCCCCAAGAATATCATTTTGCCATTCCAAGAAGATACCCGCATTGTTTCTTTCCAAGTCGACAACTTGAAGACATTTTCACTCGACTTTGATGTTTTCCCGGCGTACGGCGCTAAGACGATTGCAAAGACGGTGGTGCTGCCATCTGTATTCCTGAACCAGTCAGGTACCTCGAAATCTGTCTTGCCACTGTTCGACCCGCGGCTACGAGCCATCGGCCAAATCACCTTCAACACGCAGGTGATCAAACCTTTCAGGGGGCAGCCGCTTGAGATTACAGACTTTGAGACTTATTGGAAGGCAACAAGCCAGTTCAACCAGCCGACAAACGCCATTGTTACCGGATCAAGCCTGTCTGGTGACTATGTCCGAGTGTTTGTTCAGTACACGAGCGACGCTGTGCCCGTTATTTGGCCACAATGGACGATTTCATGCGGCGGGCTCGATATTCCCGTCTGCAGGCTGTCATTTGCACAATTCGATGCCATCACTTCTCAGGGCGCTAGCCGCGCTCAGCTCGCGGGCCTAGCGACCAAGACGGCGGAGGACATTGCCGAAATCTACCACATCTTGGCAACTGCAGGAATAACGTTGAAGGACGCACTGGCCATTCTGCCTCCGGGCATTCACGTCAATCTGCAGATTGTATATCCGACTGCAGAGGAGGAGGAGACGCTGGCCCTGGGCCCGGCTCTTGATGTCAACATTTACGTTGATTCGATCCTCACAATCGTTTTCGACCATGCCCGAGCTCAGAGGGCACAATCACACTCATCGCATGTTGTGCGTTCCATGGTGTTTAGCAGCTACAATGCACGACTCTGTACTGCTCTCAACTGGAAGCAGCCCAACTTCCCAGTGTTCTTGTGCAACGACCTGGGTCGGGATGAGAATACGGTGCAGGCCAGCGGAAGGCGGACGATGTCAATTAAGGAGGCGGTGCGGATTGCGCAGACGAATAACTTTATGGGTCTGATATGCTATTCAAGGTTGCTGGTAAGATGATATTTCCTTTGCTTCTTCTTTCTGGTTCCCTCTCTCTCTCCTGCAGGTAGCTAACCTCTCGGTCAGGATATGGTGCCGGCGCTGGTTGATGCTGTCAAATCGCATGGACTTGCCCTCGTGATGGACAAGTCGTCTGATACCCCTGAAGCGAGCCCTCTTGTGGATCCTTTCCCTCGGCCACCCAAGGGTGTCGACGGAATTTTGAGAAGGCATGGTATTTTACGCTTTAATGATTCTATAGACATGTAGACGATGTTGGGCTTTTTATTTGGGTTGGGGCGTGAATCTGGGCGCGGCATGCCGTCAAAATTCGGTGACTGTTGGCATGGTGTGGAAATAAAAGAAGAATACAAAGAGAACTGTCATTTCCTCGGTATTACAAGGTGGCCTAGGTGCCCATTTGTTTTTCTTTTTGTAATTAGTATATACATATATGTATAAAAAGCCTCCATCAAGCACCTTTGTAGCCGTACTTGAGACCAGCCAGTTCTTTCTCCGGATCTACGCCTGCCATGACAATCTTTGCTGTTATGGCGACGGAGTAGACGAGGGCCGGCAGGTTGCCCATGCTGACCCAGCCAAATCCCCCACCTCTTTCGTCTCCTCTTACCAAGCCCATGAGGATGAGCAAGACAACCAGGCCAAGATTCATATACGGCAGGGTCCTTTCCAAAGGGGACCGCATTTCAACAGGTGCACGGCCGAGGACGCCGAGACCAGCAGCAGCACCGCCTCCCCTAAGAGGACTGCGCAGCTGAAATCTCGTTGAAGCACTAGATTTGGAGCCGTTGGCCCAGGAATCGATTATGGGGATGCCCGTCTCGGTGGGAGGCAATTTGTAGAGCAGAAACGCCGTGGCGAGGAGGGACGTCAGGCAGAAGACTGCGAAAGATGTGGTAGCGGGGTTGAAGAGCGGGCGGACGTAGGCGATTGTCGAGAGAAGCGGGAGGGCGATGAGGATGCGGTTGAGGGATTCGTTTTGCGATGCGTTTTGGGTTGTGAGGGTTTGGATGAGGGAGTCTTGTTCTGTTTTTGTGTTGCGGGTTTGTTTAGCTGAGTTTGAGGAGGAAGGGATTAGATTTGGGATAGGCAACCTTGCTCGTCCATTGCTTCGAGGGAGTCGGAGTCGGAGTCGTTGGGGTAGGCAAATGTTCGCCTTAGACGGGTGGTGGGCGTGTCGGCGAGGGAGGCCATTGTGAAGGCGAAATATGGTGGTGACGACGATGCTTCTGATGGGGAGGAATGAAAGATGCCCAGGTAGAAGCAAGGCCTGCGTGAAGTGAAGCAATGCTATTCCGTTAAGACGAAGAAAAAGACAATAGTGAACAGAAGTAGACGACGCTGATGATGGAAGCTGGTAGGATGTCAAGGCAGCGACACCTTGATAGCTTTCCAACAGAAGCTCTCAGCCTTATGACGCCACAACGCAGAGGTACGTACCCAGTCCCTTTCACCCCACCACCACAACAAACCGCCTCCCCACTAAAATTCCTTCAGCCTCATGCTAAATATGGTCTGACCTTTGCGATTATCCGACCTTGTAGACCAAAAGCAGCAGAAACATCCAGCATGATATCGCGAATTGCGAGACGCAGGCTGTTGTCCGCGGCCTCTCGGCGGGTCGGCGGCGGCAGAAGCACCGAAAGTGCAGGCTGGAACGCTAGAGCGGTGCAGAAGCGGTGGATGACGCCTGCGCCGAAGCCCGGCGATGGGCCTATGATGTCGAGGCGAGCCGATCGCGAGCTTCCCGGTGAGTGAAATTACAGCCTCAACAGATTCCAATTAGGTCTTTCATTTGCTAACAAACCCTTTGTCTAGATGTCGGCCAAGTCTCGCAGGGCTGGCGCCGCACAATGCCCATCTTCCTCGCCGTCGTGGCCGTATGCTCCGTCACAATCTTCAACTACCAAAAGTCCTCATCGCCCATAATCTCGTCCACGCTCTACGCACTGCGCACCTCCCCCGAGGCGAACCGCCTCCTCGGCGACGAGATCTACTTCAAGCACCAGATCCCCTGGATCAGCGGCGAGATGAACCAGGTCAAGGGCCGCATCGACATCAGCTTCTCGGTGCGCGGATCGAAAGCCGCAGGTGTCATGCGCTTCGCGAGCTTTCGGCCCTCGAACAAGGCGCTGTTTGAGACGACTACATGGAGTCTGACGATGGAGGACGGGACGGTGGTGGATTTGCTGGATGGGAATGATCCGTTCAAGGGATTGTTGGGAGATGATGAGGATGATGTGGTGCTGGTGGATGATGTGTCGACCAAAGGATTTAGACAGCAGGGTGCGTTCAACAGGTGATGGATGCGCGTGAGAGATGGAGCTGGGTCGAGGACGAAATGGCTCTTGTACAAGTAGAAATTTTTCGGTTTAGTAGTTTGTCTTCATGAGTGTCATGATGTGTATAGTGTACTCCTATAAATACAAAAAAAGCCCGCTTTCCTCTTTTGCCTTTTTCTTCCCTTTTAGTCCCTTCATCTTATCCCCATGTACTCGTTACAGATACCCGCCATGAAATTTGGTATGTTGTTTTTACACTTCGGCCACGTGCGCCCTCCGCTGGGCCTGCATCTCCAGGTGCCTCAGCCTCGCCTGCTCCAGCTTGGACTCGAGATCGGGCTGTCTCTGGTCCAGCTCCTCGCGCGCCTTCTCCCTGTGCGGCAGCGCGGGGGCTTTCCTCTTCTTCGCGTCCTGGAGCCGCACGATGCGGCCCTTGGGACCGGGGATCGGCCCGCTGACGAGCACCACGCCCAGCTCGTTGTCCACCTTGAGCACCTTGAGGTTCTGCACCGTCACGAACTCGTTGCCCATGCGGCCGGGCATCTTCTTTCCGGGAAGCACACGACTTCCACTGCCCTGCGAAGGACCCGTTGAACCGATTGTTCGGTGGTTCTTGGAGTTACCGTGTGAGGCTTCCTGACCGGCGAAACCGTGGCGCTTCATACCACCTGCAAAGCCCATTCCTCTCGACCGGGCCTTGACGTCGACGTGCTGGCCCAGCTGGAACCAGTCCGGCAGCAGCTGCGCACCCACAGGCAGTAATCCCTCCTGGTTGCGCACCTTGAACTCAGCCAGCTCGGCCTTGGGCGCAATGCCCTTTGCCTCGTAGTATCCCAGCATCGGGCTCGTCACGTTGCGTCCCTGCCTGGCGCCGAGCCCAATCTGCACCGCCCAGTAGCCGTGCTTCTCGCGCGTCTTGTTGGCCACGACCTGCACCTGGTCCATCTGCAGCACCGTGCACACCACTCGAATCTTGCCCTGGAAGATGCTCGTCATGCCCTTCTTGACGGCGAGCACGCCTGTCCGCAGGGGCGTTGTGTTCTCGCGCCGCTTGAGCGCAGCCGCGGGCCCGGTCGTCAGGGCGGGGAGGCCAGAAGTCGGCTGGTTGAAGCGCTTGTGCTTGGATCGTGGCGGAGCGGTCGACCAGCCGTACTTGATGCCTCGCTGGGGGATGTGTGGGAGGAGGAGCGCAGGCCGGTTGACGGCGGCGAGGCGTGGCAGAGCCACTCGGATGGGTATCCTGGGAGGCATTGATGCGATTCTGTGTGTGGCGTTTATGTGGATATCATTGGGTGGTTGTGTTTGGGGGCCCTCGGGGCTGGATTGGGTCGGTCGAGGTTCGCCTTGGTTGGATGATATGATGGGAAATTTTGGAGTTTAGCTCTGGCTATGCGGCTCGGGTATTCTGCGGGCGGGGTGGTTGAGCGGTTCAGCCTCGCGGGGTACGTACCTACGAGTTGATTGATGAAGCAGCAGCTCAACTCACTCAATCTTCAGTGGTATAAAGAGATGTAAGTTACAAGCAAAGATATTGCTTCAACAAGTTCATTATACATGTAATAGAAGTAGTTTATAATTCTTTTGTTCCATAATCATCGTCATCACATGCATTTCATTTCATTTCATTTCATCTACATCCCGGGCCCCCTCCCTCCAATCCCGCTTCCCATCTCATTCACACTCGTCCCCTTGAGCTTGTGATCCCCCGGCTGCGCAGCCGCCTCATAGATGATATTTGTCGGCGCCTTCCCCAGCCTCGTCCACTCGCCCTTGAACCCCAAGTAACTAATCCGCGACACGTCCTCGTCGCCCTCGCCAAAGTTGTCCACGAAGAAGAGCACCAGCCGCTGCACGCTCCCAAACAGCGAGCGCTTGACGGGTATCTCCTGGATGTCGGACGTCTGCGAGAGCTCCAGCGTCTGCACCGGCGTGGATTCCTCGGCGGCGGAGAAGTCGATGTTGTCGCGGTTGATGAAGAGTTGCAGCGTTTTGGGGGCCGAGAGGGATGGTGATGTGCGGATGAGGATGGAGTGTAGCTTGACTTGGGCTGTGAATCTGTTGAAAACGGGTTAAAAACTGAAATGAAATTGCTAGACATGAAGTAGAACAAGATTGAAGCTTTTCGGGGTGTTTTAAAGTAATGATGCATATATATAAGTGATAGAGAGATTATAGAAAAAAATGAAGGAAGAATAAGACTAAGAAGATGAAGATGAAAACCTTACGGCACCGTCATGAGAAGCTGCTCGTCGGCATCGCTCTCCAGCTCCGGCTCGGTGCTCAATCTCTCTGCCCACGTCTTCTTGACGATAGACTTGCCAGCGTCTCTACGCGCCTCATTGAGCGTCGTGATCTCGTCAAAGTTGATTTGTTCATACAGCGAAGACTGCAGCGCGGGTGTGATGTCGTCTGAGTGATCGTGCTCGCCGTGGTCGTGGGAATGGCCGTGGTGGTCATGTTCGTCGTGGCAGTGAGGCATTTTTCTTTAATTTTGCCGATGCGTTAGAGTATTGATTGTTTAATGGGGATGTCTGCTTTAAGATGGGATTCGTAAATGTAGAGGGCGGGATGGAATAAATCGTCGTTTCGATGATGTAGATGGTTTGTTTGCTACGGCATCAGAGGCCCCGCAAATAGCCGTTAAATTGAGCGACTCTGAGTCTTACCTGAGAAGAGCAACACCATTTATGAAACAGCATGTAGTTGTCATACAATCTTGCATAATTCTATCAGCATTGTCTTCTTATAAATATCCAAAATCTTTTTAAACAGCAAGACGCATCCATCTAATATCTCATATCTAGCGGGTATCAATGAAATCAAGAAATCATCAAAGTAGAACAAATCCACAACAACTGCAAGCAAACCAACATTACAAACACTTCCCTCCAGCTACTAAAAAGATAAAAATCATCTAAATCCGCCCTTTCTCTTCACCTTCTTCTTCTTCCGATCTCCAAACAATCCAGAAACAGGCTGGCTCATCGTCACAGCCGGCTGCTGCTGAGTCGCATCTGGAGCCCCCTGGCTCGACATGACCTGCACAGGGGGCGGCCGCACCGGTGCTATGGGATTGATATCTGGAAGCCCCTGTCTCATGAATGCCGGCCTCCTGAACTTTTCCGATCGCGCTTTGCGCTTTGCCTCGATCCTCTGTAGCCGTTCTTTGGCGTCTCTGAAGAGCTCCTCGTTAGCTCGTGCTACGCTCGATACGTAGTCGTTTGGATCAACGCCCCGTTCTTGTGGCCAGTATGCTAGCACTTTGGATCGCTTTGAAACATCCGGCTTTTCAGTGTCCAAAGATTGTGCCAGGAGTCGTAATCGCTGAACTGCCTCATCCGGCCCGTTGAAGATTGCCGATGCAGCGGGCGATGCAGCAGGCGAAGATCCTATGTCCCTAGAACCTGATCTCGATGACGTGGTGATTTGGGAGCTACCAATCTGACGCCCCGTCCGAGATCTCTGAGTATCCTCCTCCGGCACCTCAGAGCTACTGGGCCCAAGCAATGGAGTATCCTGATACATGATCCCATAGCTAGATAAGAAGGCGTCTCTAGCTAATTCGGTGATCCAGATTCGTCGAATTTGTTGCATATCCTCCGTGAGAATACCCTTTACCGGATCGATCCATATGTCAGAAAAATACCGCTGTAGATATTGTAAGCTGACCAGTGACATGGGCATTTTGTCCTGGCTATACAGCTGAAGTGGCGTGACGACAATCTTTTCGTTATTTTCATCTAGCATCCTCTCTATTTCGTCTCTCAAGGGATCGTCAGCTGGTTCAAATGTCGGATCCCGCAGCATCACTTCAGCAACTTCGCCCCTACATTATCACATCATTAGTACATATTTGATGAAGAATACCAGTAAATTTAGTTACTTACCACGTCAGTAGTGGTAGCCTCCCCTGGTCGAATCCATCGTTGAGACACTGTCTAAGAGCGTCAAACAATTGAGAAGGGAGGCCAGTTTCTCCCTGGTTTATTGAAACTTCTAGAGAGCTTTGGAGAGCCTGATATACTTTATCCATTTTGACCAGAGTCGGCCGAACAACCGCTGAGCTATCAACATCATCGTCAGACTCTCCTTCATCTTCGACCTCTTTGCCGTTCAAAAGCGTCTCAACTTCGTCGACAGTCATCTCGTCGGGGAAAATAAACGAGCTGGAAATCTGTGCCATGGCTGTTCTTCTCGTTTTTTCTTTTTGTTTTTGTTGCCTAGCTTCGGCCCACGCAACGGGCGTTGTGGGATCTTGGATTTCAAGTTTCGGGTCGTCGGACGTGGCACATAGGCAACGCTGCAGGCTGAAATCTGTACCCAAGAAAGTAAGTTGGTAAAATTGAGCCCCCTTTTTATGGTAGTCTATCCCTGGACTCGACGCATTTTCTTTAACCGAGACGGCGAGTTGGACTGGGTCAACTCTGAGAAAGTTAATCACATTCTTTGCTGGGAACTCCGCGTCCTCGCTACCCGGAAGTGAGATAATGTCTCGATGCCACTGCGGCATTTTGGTCACAGGCGAAAATGTGAACCAGAAAATACAAAGCTGACCCATTCGTGGATAGTAGATAAAGACCAGCGATGTGTCGTCGTCATCATCTGACGCTCGGCAAACAAACATCCTCGAGTCATCCTTTTTAGTTCCCAAATGCGGACATGAGAGTAGTATAGACGGCTTTAATGGTCCCGCTCCTGTTTCGTCACGGCTGAACACATCGACCCAAGTGATATGGTATTGCGTGAGAATAAAAACGTGGCCTTGTTTAGTTGGACTGCGATGAATATCCAAGATCCAATCCAGCTTGCCTCTTTCCCGTATAATGCGCCCCAGCCTTGGGAGCAAGATGTTTGCGTCCAAATCCAGCACTTCCATCCTCTCATGGTTCCACATCAGCATATATCGTGTGATAGCGTCTGTCGTCTTGCGGGCGGATGGGGATGGTGAGCTTTCTATTTTGCCAGACCACGCCTCTTCCAAAATAAGAATCCCGTGTCTCTCACTGGGATGAGATGGGATAGATGGTAATTCGTTGAGTAAGCCGTCCGAAATATGTCCACATTTATTGAGAGTCAATTGGGGAGCGGCTTTTCGTTGAACCTGCCAAGTTCCTGGAAGGTCCCATATGCTCCAATACCCGCCCTCGTCTATAATGGCAAGTTGGTGTGATCGGCCAGATGCCGTAGTAAACAGTGCAACATCGGAATGAGCACTTCCTCCCGTCTGATGATACTGAATAGCCAGTAACAGATTTGGGTTTATCAACGACGGTCGTTCCCGAATCAAACTGCTCGTTGATTGATTCGAGGTGGTGGGCACCTGGCGGAATTCCGGTTTAAGAATGGTTGTCGCTGTTTCTTTTTGAATCATCAGCCACCGTGGGGCGTCGTCCTGCGAATGGTTCCCAGCAAATTTGATCTGTCGAATTGGCAATCCATCATTAGTCCAAATCAATTCTGCCTCCCTGTTGGCCGGATCAATGCCCTGAAGATTCAAGAATGCATTTGCATTATCTCCCCACTGCAGCGGCACATCTTCCATACGAGCAAGTCGTAAGAGCTCTCCCGATTCTCCACAAGCGACAGCCATTATGGGGAACTTTCCAGACCCTGATTTATCACTTGGATCAGGAGCATGTCCGATGGCCAGTAGGGGCCGGGTATTAGGGGCTTCATCTGCAATATCGAGTGCTTCCATGTCTGCCTTGAGAACGTCTTGATACGCCAAATTGCCCATTGCAATTTCTGGGTGAGACTTGAGCAGCCACCGTTCTTGAGTTTGCCGCTCTCTCCAGAGTCGGGTGGATATCTCCGGAGACCGACTCTTCGAAGCTGAATAAGTCACAGTTGAAGCGCTAATAATCTTGAAATGAGGCCCTGGGACTCGCCGTTAGCATTCGTTTTTGGCTCTTTGTATACTTCCCTCTTTTCCCGCCTCAGCTCTCACTTACATCTTGAGGTGAACCGGGATGTCTCCAGGATTCCAAGTATCTTTCCGGGATGCTCGCTGGGAATGTATTTCAATTCGCCTGGAGTACCAAGACCCATCAGGGGATGAGGCCACCAGTCCGCCATTTTAGGCCAGTTATCGTATCCGATGCGATCAAAGAAGGCTGATTTTTCTTCATCTCGAGTTCAGCTGAGACAGATCAAGCCAGCATTCGGGGTCACATGGAGGAAGCGGCGCGGCTCAAGTTGACATTAGCAATGTAGTAAGAGAAAAATACAATATTTTAAATTATGCCAGCAAAGATATGAATTTCTCAGCGCTCTTCTTTCCTTGAGCATGTCTCGACATAAACTGATCTGAGATTTGAGTTCTTCGATTTGAACCACGTGACTGGGTCTGCACTCTGATTTTGCGCCACACTTAGCTTGTCGACCCAGCAACGTGCTTTTTGGGTAAACACACGAACCGGAGCTCTGGGACGGGCATTACGGCGCTTTTGCTGCATCCCACATCGGCACCTGCAAGCAGAAACCAGAAGAACAGAAGAGCAAATACAGATACCATGTCTGCCGCTTTCGATCCATCAATGTCAATCGGCCATGGCCGCCAGACCATGGCCCCTGCTGGCCCCTCCGCTGCCGACACGCTGCCCAGCATCGACTTTGGGTTCGACGATTTGCGCGAGCGCATGGCGAAGTTTACTGCTAAATTCGATGCCTTCATCGAGCAGGGCCGCAAGCGTGTCTTGGAAGAGCGCAATCAGTTCCGCGTCAACATGGCCGAGCTTCAAGGTATGCGTTGGTGGGAAGCGGGATACGGACAAGGATGACATGTGCGATGCGAGACTAACTGTCGCCCGCCTGCAGAGGATGAACGAATGAAACGAAGAGATATTGAAATCGCCCAAGTCAAGATGTCGACGTACCAGCAAACGATTGAGAAGGAAGAAGCCGAGAAGCGCGAAATGGAAGCGTCAATATCCTCGCTCGCCGCCCAGCGCGACAGCCACATCACCACCCGAGACAATCTCAAGGTCCAGATTGCCGAAACCCAAGCCGAAATCGACTCTCGACTGGCGGCACAACGCGCCTACACAAAGCAGAAAGAGGCGCAGTTACGGTACAACGTTCCTGAGCTGGATTTTTGGATCACGAACCTTTGTCTGCGGATTGAGGGCGCTGGAAAAGACGACCGGCTCAAGTTCGTGTACACACACATTGATGAGAAGAACTGGGAGCGCGAGGCGTGGTTCGAGTTGGTGACTAGCTCGAGGGATTACGATGTGAAGCATTGCAGGCCCAAGCTGGAGCGGGAGAGCGTCGAGAGGGTATTGGACAAGGTCAATGAGACGAGGGAGCTGGTGGTGCTGCTGAAGGGGATGAGAGAATTGTTTGTGGAGGCTATTAAATCCTGAGTCTTGATGGAGGGAGGTTGAATTGTTACGATGATATGTGTGTGCTAGATACCCGCAGCTGATGATTTACATGATGTATATTGACACTGAAATTCGCTTCTGATCTCGAGTAATGTGCTGCACAATGTCACTAGGATGCAACAAGTACCTGCGAATGGATTATACAATGACTTTGCTTTTCTAAACGTATGATAATTATATACTTACAATTTTATATAACAGACAAAGCCACCCATCTCCCACATAGGAACCCGACACTGGCCTTGATAGGTTCTCACCAGCCACATGCGCAAACCACTAACAGGCACTGCAAAACCACCATCAAACTTCGCTGTAGCGCGTCCAGCCCCACTAAACCAGACATACAGCACCTACTAATACAACAAACGTCCAGACATCCTCCCAACTCCAAACCCTCTCCAAGCCGTGCCATCAAAATCATCCACTCGCCATGCCCAAACCCGACAAACACGTCGCGGCCTCTCAAGCCGTCGACATTCTCGAAGAAATTTCAACCATGCTGGTACGCATCTCATTCTCACTCCCAAAGAAGAAAAAGAAAGAGAAAACCAGCTAACGTCTGCCAGAACTGCCACATGGACCGCCGCATGCTGTCCACCTGCGTGTCATTAATCGAGCAGGGCGTCCATCCAGAATCTCTCGTAGTAAGGCACCCCCCAGTTCCCCTTTTCCCTTTGCACCGCAAGCGTTTACTTCATGCTACATTGGACCGTCGCCGTTATATTAACGCTGCTCTTAGCAAGTCATCAAGGAGCTGCGTGAGATTGCCGACGACACGCGACGGGAACAGCAAGAGGCCGCCGCAGCTAACAGTCGGTGAAATCTCACGTCACCACACTCGCTGCTGGACTTCTCTTTTCGCTTCATCCGCATGTTTACCCTTTGTAATTGCTTTTTCCCCTGGATTTTTACTAGATTTTGAGCTGGGATTTTCAACTGTTATTCATGGCGCTTAGGGCGTGTACAAATACTATATTACCACTTTTGACGACTATTACTGTACATGGTAGATATTAAATTGACGGAGCATTGCCCCAATGACACCCAATTTCCATATGCAAAAGTGACATTCTCCCTTTTTTTTTTCTTCCATGATCCCCCTTTTTCTGATGATGCAATACCATGTTAAGCGCCATGCAGTCGTGCTAACCCGAAGAACTCCGTCAAAGAAAAAATGACTTGAAACGGAAAGAAAGAAAAGGGAACAGCAAGAAGAAAGCAAGAAAAAGAAAGAAAAAGAAAAGAAATACATGGTATCCCAAAACTGAAAAACAAACAGAAAGCAAGTAAATAAACACCAAAAAGCTTAATTTGCCCAACTCCACTCCATAGAATGCCCCTTGTGAATGGCAAAGTGTTGTCGTATGTCGTCATGCCTCATTAACAGCCTCCACATGCTCTCACCAAGTCCAAAGGCCCATTCATTCAAGCCGCAAGCTTGATTTGTTACCTGTGCCCGATCAAGTTGAACTCATCTTCATCGTCATCTTCGTCATCATCTGCCTCTGGAGCGTCGCCCTCACTCGATTCATCTGAATCATATTCATCTCCGCTCGATTCATCATCTTCGTCATCCCCACCACCTCTCCAGAAACCCAAGATGTCATCATCAGACTCTCCATCCACTTCCACAAGGGCGGCCTGCGGTATATCCATCATCATGTGAGAAGGCGACATGGACCGCGCATATCTTTCCAGTATGCGTGATGGAGGCTCTGGTGCGTTGGAGGAATGTCGCCTCCTGTTGGGCACCCGCGAGCCTGTTGTAATCGAGATCCGCCGAGCTCCAGGTACCGCTTCTTCCGAACCAGCCTCCCGTGCGGCCTGAGGCTGATCACCGGCTGCAGGCTGGAGCGAATCTGCATTCTGCCCCATGATCTGCAGCTCCACTGTATTATAGGACCGGCATATCGAGCATTTGAGTCCGAGCCAGTGGTATGCCACTGTGCTTCTGGCAGAGCAATCGTTACACAGAATCTTGGCCTTGGTGTCACGGAAGTCCGGCGGCATGGGCTGGCTCAGGATGGCTAGGTCCAAGTTGCGAAACTGCGTCTCCATATTCATGAGGCTCTTGTTGCAAATTGGGCATTTGTACGAGGCCCGCGTGTGTTGCTCATAGCACTTTTTATGTATACTATGGCCGCACGCCATGAAGACAACCCGCTTCGGCGATGTAAACATGTATTCTCCGCAAATTGGGCAGTCACAGTCTGTTGATCGCTCGATACACTTGTGAGAGCTCTCGATTGATGTTGTGATGCAGGCTCGGCATGTCTATCATCTCGTTTAGCCATACACAGCCTACAAAGGAAGGGAAGTGATTGAACTCACCTTGCAGTGGAAGAAATCTTTTCCAAGCCCCATGCCCCGACGGCATATTCCACAGTCATTGCAGTGATAGATGGGCTTATTGGCACGATTCTCCCAAAGCTTACAGATGTTACAGTAATACTGCGCCGACACTACACCGCAGTTGCTGCAAGCCTCAGATGCCTTCTGAGGTGTGGCACAGAGCATGCAGAGCATGTTCTTTGTATCCTTGCGGATCAGCGTGTGGTCCTCATGGATGTCATGGCAAAAACGGCAGGTATACCACTTTTTGCAGGTGGAACACTGCAGCTTCACATTCCGCTCGTAGTGCTCACATCCCAGCGGACCTCGAGTTTCAGTAAGCGAAGCAGCCGAGTGCGTTGGTGTAGTTACGCTTGGTGTCCTTGAATGCCGGACGGGAGCATAGGTCGGGGCTATGTCGCTTTCACTCAAGACAAACGTCTCCTTGACGGACGGCTCCCCAATCAATTGGTTCTGCCAGTATTTCAGTGACTCCAGAGGTCCGACAGGGCTAGCAAGCTCCCATGTCTGGCCGATGGATCCGTCATCCGAATCGCTTTTGGCAAGGGGCGAGCCGGCGATCACAGAGGCACGGTAGCCCTCCAGCAGGGTATCGTGCATGAGCCTGGCCTTTTCATTAGATGGAATCTCCCGGGCGTTGATCTCCTGGATGCGGGTGCGCAGCTCTCGCATACCATCATCCTCGGGAATGGGCCCGCTCTTGGTCGGCGCATTTCTGGGCGGTGTTATCGGGAAGCCAAGATGGTCAAGTACAGGTCCGTGGCCCGCGGCTGGTCCGGCCGGGACTTCTTCCACGATGGTCTCCTGCGTTGAAGAGCTCAGAGGCCGGGAGCGTCGTCGTTCAGGCGATGCATTGGACCCCTGCTGCCCGACATCGTCGGCTTCATCAGAGTCGTGGACGGCGTCGGGCGGAACTACTGGCGTCTCTTCATCGCCGGCCAACGTTGCACGGGAGATCTCGGAAAAGCGGCGGGCCTGTCGCAGCACAGGGTTGATGATGAATTCGGAGACAAGGGAAGGCATTTGGATTGCTTGTGTCTGGCGCAACCACGGCGCCTGCTGCTGAGGCGCAGCTGGAGACGGGGGATGCTTTTTAAGATTAGGATGAGGCTACCTAGCTCATACAGTGGAAAGGGCGGTGATAGCAGGGAATTAAATTAGAAGGAATGGAAGAAAAGAAGCACGAAACGGGGGGTTCCCACGCAAGGTCAATCTCGACGTCAGCCAGAACTGTGCATCTGGCGAGGGCGTTTCATCTGCTTGGCTGACCGGAGCAAAAAATCCCAACGAAAACAAGAAATGGCCAGAGGTTCGGCGAGATGTTGGAAAGACACTGGCCACCGTTATTCGGCAAGGATGACATAAGGCAATTGAAAGGACGGATTAGTATTCAGCACAGCACCAAAGCACCTGCTCTGCTGACTGTGGTCTCAGACGCTTGCATGTGATTGCTCCAACCAGACAAGAAGAAGACCGCTTTAGTGCGTGTTTTAGCGCTTTCGTCTGAGACCAATAGCACAGCGGCGCTCCCTGTGGCTCAGGCTCAGTTCAGCTGTGGCTGGTGGACGGGAGCATCCAAGCGGCGCAGGTACGTACCGGCCCGGCGTTTACCACTATTGGCACTAGCCACGCGGCTGAGCAACTGGCATTGCAAGGTGGCCAATATTCCTAGAGCTGAACCAGGGGGGTTTTTTAGAAGCTGTCGTATTCTTGGAATATCCGACGCAAACAGCAATATCCACCAGAAACACCTCCTTTGTCCTCTCCATTTCGTTTCCTCTCCTGAGCCGGGCTTGGCCTTCAGGATTGTTTCTCCTTTTCTTGTCGACGGTGCCAGCATCGTTGTCGTTGATGTTATAGTATTTTGAGTCCCCAACTCGTCCAGTCATTACAAATTGTGCCGCAGCCTGCCTTTGTTGGAGCTAGCTGGTTGCCTCTCCCCTTTTTCTCTTCCGACCCCTCGTGTTTCGAAATCCGTTCAACCACTTCAATTGATTCCTTTTTGCTTCCATTCGCCAGTTCCGGGGGGAACAGAAAGTTGTCTTCAAAACCATGGCTGCCGACAAGGCCGCCCTCGCCTCCGGCGCTGATCTGGGGGACGGCTTGAGGAAGCGACAGGTAGCTTCGCAAGCCGCGCCCGTGGCCAATGCCCAGCCGGAGGACAACAAGAAGCTGGCAAAGAAGGTACATCACCTACGAGAGCCTGCGGGCTTAATTGCGTGCAAGCATCGGCTGACAGCGGTTGCAGGAGAAATCCTTCTTCGAAGTGTTTGCAGACATTGAATCCATTGTTGCCCCGCTGATCTTCACGGCCGTTGCCATCTTCACTCGATTGTGGAAAATTGGCATTAGCGACATCGTCACTTGGGATGAGGCTCAGTATGTAACCCTTGCCTATGTGTGCCCGAGAGACGCACTAGAATGGAACGAGTTTGCTGATTGTATATTCTTGACAGCTTTGGCAAGTTTGGAAGCTACTACATCAAGCATGAATACTACTTCGACGTCCACCCTCCGCTCGGAAAGATGCTGGTAGGTCTCTCCGGAGTCCTCGCCGGCTACAACGGATCTTTCGAATTCAAATCCGGCGAGAAATATCCCGAAGATGTCAACTATACATTCATGAGAGCCTTTAATGCCGCCTTTGGCATTGCCTGTATCCCCATGGCCTACTTTACCGCCAAGGAGCTGAAGCTGACTCGACCTGCCGTCTGGTTTGTTACCCTGATGGTTCTTTGCGAGAACTCTTACACCACCATCAGCCGTTTCATTCTCCTCGACTCCATGCTTCTTTGCGGAACTTTTGCCACCACTCTTTGCTGGGCCAAGTTCCACAACCAGCGACACAACAGCTTCGAGCCCGAATGGTTCTTCTGGCTCTTCATGACCGGCGTAAGCATCGGATGCGTTTGCAGCGTTAAGCTCGTCGGTCTGTTTGTCACTGCCTTGGTTGGCCTTTACACAATTGAGGATCTGTGGAGAAAGTATGGTGATAGAAAGATGCCCATTGTGAGTATTCCTCTCGTCGTGCCTGTACGCCATTCGCTTACACTTTTGCTAGCCTGTCCTTGCCGCCCACTTCTCTGCTCGCGTCGTGGGCCTCATCATTGTTCCTTTCCTCATCTACATGCTCTCCTTTGCCCTGCACTTTGCCATTCTCGATTCCACCGGCCCTGGAGATGCTCAGATGAGCTCCCTGTTCCAAGCCAACCTGAAGGGAACTGAAGTCGGCAAGAACAGCCCCCTGGAGATTGCCATTGGATCTCGTGCTACCATCAAGAACATGGGTTATGGCGGTGGTCTTCTTCACTCTCACGTTCAGACTTATCCTGAGGGCTCTGGCCAGCAACAGGTCACTTGCTACCACCACAAGGATGCCAACAACGACTGGTTCTTTTACCCCAACCGTTTCGAAGCCGATTACGACGCCGAGTCCCCCGACCTCCGATTCATCGGCGACGGATCCGTTATTCGCCTTATTCACGCCCAGACTGGCCGCAACCTGCACTCCCACGAGATCGATGCGCCCGTCACCAAGTCCCACCGCGAAGTGTCAAGCTATGGTAACCTCACTGTTGGTGACGACAAGGACCACTGGCGCATTGAGGTCGTTCGAGATACCGCATCCCGCGATCGCAGCAAGATCCGCACTCTCACAACTGCCTTCCGCCTTAAGCACACTGCACTAGGCTGCTACCTACGCGCTGGAAACGTCAACCTTCCTCAGTGGGGCTTCAAGCAGATCGAGGTTACCTGTGACAAGCAAAACAACCCCCGCGACACTTACACTCACTGGAACGTTGAGGCTCACTGGAACGAGAAGCGTGAGTGAATAATCTCTTATTCTAGCATTCTAACATGACTGACCCTTATGATCTTTTAGTGCCTGCCAGCGACCCCGGCGTTTACAAGTCGCCCTTCATCCACGATTTCATTCACCTCAATGTTGCAATGATGACTTCCAACAACGCCCTGGTGCCGGATCCCGACAAGCAAGATGATCTGGCCTCGCACTGGTGGCAGTGGCCCATCCTGCATGTCGGCCTTCGCATGTGCGGCTGGGATGACAACATTGTCAAGTACTTCCTTCTTGGTAACCCGTTTGTCTACTGGGTTTCCACCGCCTCTCTCGGTCTTGTCGCTCTCGTCGTGGCATGGTATATCGTGCGATGGCAGCGCGGATTCAAGGAGCTCAACAACGCTGAGATTGACCAGATCCACTACGCCGGCATCTATCCCGTCATCGGCTGGTTCCTACACTACCTTCCCTTTGTCATCATGGCGCGTGTCACCTACGTGCACCACTACTATCCTGCCCTGTACTTTGCCATCCTTTCCTTGGGCTTCCTGGTCGACTGGGTCCTGAGGAACCGCAATGCTGTTGTGCAGGGTGTCATCTATGGCATCCTGTATACTGTCATTATTGGACTTTACATCCTTTTCATCCCCATCTGCTGGGGCATGACTGGAAGCAACGAGCAGTACTCGTACCTGAAGTGGTTTGACAACTGGCGCATCAGCAATTAAACTCGTTTTCCTAGTATTTCCAACTAGCCAACTCAACATACGATGGTGGCGAACATATACTTTTTAACTCATGTTCATCATCATAGGATTTTTTTACTTTTTTTTTTTTTATCTTGGTGGTAGATGGATGGGAGAATGATGATTGTGGGAGGCTGCTTATTTTCAAACACCCAAAAAAACACTGGCACGCTCTGTAAGATTTGTAAAGACGTGGGAGGTGTGTGGAGATTTCTCACATTAATGAAGAAAAAGACATGGGCTAGGTAGGATGGATTTTGCAAGTCATATAAAAAGATGATATGGGAAAAAGGGTTGGCGGAAAATACTATACACCGCATTTAATGCAAGACATATATCTCCCCATTTTGCCATTGCCCGCTGCAGAAAGAAGAGCGTGATTAGGCCTCGCGTCTGCCAGTTGCGTTGTGCATCTACTACTATTATACAGTGCCATGCTTCCCAGTTACTTTGCTATGGATGTCATCAAGGGCTTTTCAGACTTGTAGTCGTGTAAATGATGAAAGCCCATCGGGGTATCTTGTCTTGCCGACTTTCTTTCCTCCTCATCCTCTCCACGCGCACACGGGTTTCGCTTACGATTCGAATTATACAGAAAAAGAGAATTTAAAATCTGCCTCAACAGCATCCTCCACCCGATTTAACGGCGTCTGTGGATAATCTCACTTGCCGGTTCCCGCCAGCGCTGGGGCCTTTGACGCCAGATCTTCTGTCGTTTAGATTGTACTTGCCGGCCTGGATGTTCTGGTATATCCTCTCGGCAACCCTCATAAAGGCCTTCTCGACGTTCTCGCCGCTCTTGGCGCTCGTCTCGACGTATTCAAGGATGCCATTGCGCCTGGCCCACTCTTCCGCCTCTTCCCGCGTCACCTCTCGCTTGTTGTCCTCTTGCTGCGTCAGATCGGCCTTGTTGCCGACCAGGACAATGACAATGTCCGGCTCGGCAATCTGACGGAGGTCGTTCAGCCAGTCTGTAACGTGCTGAAAGGTGGCCTTCCGCGACAGATCGAAGACGAGCAGCGCGCCGCTTGCGCCGCGGAAATATGATCTCGTGACGGACTTGTACGTCTCTTGGCCGGCAGTATCCCACAGACTGAGCTTCATATGCTTCTGGGGGATGCCGCTGGTGTCGCGCCGGGGTTCCGGGAGGCCTGCGGGGGACGAGGGCTCATCGGGAGCGGAGGACAGGGAAGGGATGGCGCCGGCGGGACTGTGAGGAGGGCCGACAGGCACGATGCGGGAGCCGAATTCGACGCCGATTGTGACGTCGTGGTGCGCGGAGAAGCGACCTTCGCAGAGGCGGATGGTGAGACTAGATTTGCCGCATCCCGAGTCGCCGATGCAGACTAGCTTGGCGATGTAGTCCCAAGGAGCTGATGAGGACATGGGAGGGAAGAAGCGTGCAATGTGCACGACTCTAGGTAGAGTAGCGGGATGGAAGGGGGGGGGGATGGAAAGGATAAAGAAAGTAATGGAGA